GACCCCCGAGGGCACTCCCATGAGTCCCACATTGAAACTAAGTACTAAGAGCATCACAAATGCTCTCTATAAATAGAGCCCCTTGGCCCAGCCAAGTGGCAAGATTTTTTACTTGACTAGTGCTTTCACTCTGTCAATTGAATTGCTCTTAGTTACTAACTTTGGCATCGGAGTGCCTTTGGCAGGTACCACACCGGTACCAACTCCTCAGTTCAAAGGTTCAGCTCCCTCTCAAAACCTTCGGACACACAACGAAAGAAGGTCACTTCGGTCCACGACAACCAACACACTTGTAAGTTAGCCTAAACTCTCATCTGTTCAGATTTAGCGCCAATAACTACTTACAAATATTAATTACACAAATCAACAACAAATGCCTAGTAGCTTGGTTGAAACCCGCTTCCTCAAACTTTGCCTTGAATCCTGCACAATTTATTAGGGTACGAACATTCTAATGCCCAATAGAGTATCGTCAAACCACTCAAGGTCAACTATCACAGTTAATCAAAGTGTCATGTATCAAACAACACAAGATACATAAATTTTGCAACCAAACCGGATAAATAAATTTGCATATGCGGTGTTGCCATGAACTCACTCCCTTCTAATTCCACTAATTCATACCTTAGGGCAACAAGCCTGCGTGTCTCATACCATGCATTTCATCATTGTGGCTCTGAATATCCTAAAATATGAACTAGTGCCCATTCGTCCTTTAACCCATTTTTCTTTTGTTTACGAATTTCTCAACTTTCACTTTCCATTAGAGACCCTGCTCCTATCACCTCAATACATTCAAAGCCTACTTCTGTCACCTAAATATATTACACATTTTTACTCAGATATATCTAAGGCCGTCTCCCACCCCTTTGATATACCTCAAAAGACACATACACCCTAAACACCATTGTATTTATGACACATATGTAATCCAGCGCAACATCATTTCTCTCTGTGGAATAATAATACTGATAATAACAATAATATTCCAGGCTTAATCACATGAATAATAATATTCACCCAACATCAAATAACATCCATGGAGAAACATCAATAATAATATACACATAACAACAAATAATATTCACTGAGCAACGCAACAATAATATTCATGTTTATAGTGTTATATATAAGCACCAAGATTAAAAGTGACATAACCCAATCATCAGGAAATCAAGAAACCCGACCTTATATCCAGCTAGCTAAAGTACCAAATTTACCTTCGAAAGTTCCCAAAGTTGTCGAATCTACACTTTTGATCTAATTCCTAAACAAATTCAAATCCAAATTATTATTCAGCAGTCTTCACTCTATTTCACCTAAGGCCAGTAAACCTCAACTTAACGCCTCAACCATACACACTTCAAAGATTCTATGTGAAAATAACGAAAATACCCCTAGGACCAACCCAGGGCCCAAAGCGGCCAAATCTCGTCCAAAATAATATTAAACTGTGTCCTATGCCCTGTTAACACCGAAACAAGGCCAATGACACCCGTTATCCAAAATTTACCATTTGGGTCCCATAGGCCCCACAACAACCGATAATTTAAACAAAATCTGCATCGACACACAACTTCAGATTGTCTCAAAACATATACCATCAGACTTGGATTGAGAAATTGAGTCAAATGGACTAAAAATATAGTGTCAAAGGCTGTCGAAACATCCACCACATGTCTTCACCCGAAGATGCGAGTGGGCTTGGCTGCAGTTACTGTTCATCATCTTTTTTTAAAAAAATTTGTAAATTCCCCTGTTTTTCTGTACTTAAACCCAAACTTTGTGACCAACCAAAAGTTAATGAAATTGGGGAAACTTGCAGTGGTTTTAAAGAGCTAAAACGAAGGAGAACAACAGCTCCAAAGTTGGGCTCGTGGCTGGTTTTATGCATAAAACATATTTTTGTCCAAACTTTGCACATGTGCTTGACGTATCAAAATTCAACAAAATTCAACGGACCAATTGTGTTTTGTTCCTTGCCAAGTCTAGTTTAAAACCTGACAAATGGCTTCCTCAAACACTCAAAGGATTGGGATTAAAAGTGAGCCAAAGTGAAGCTCGTGGACTGCAGATTTCCAGATTTGGTTATACTCCCAAGTTGTTCATAAGGCTTCTAAACTCTTATAAAGTTCATACTTATCGTTAGAACACATCAAAAACTCAAAATGGAACCAAATCATAAACACCCATACTTGAAAAATTGCTATATCTACCCAACCCGAAAATGGAAGTTCAAACTCTTCCAATTCAATTTCCCTATCATTCAGGTGACTAAAAGTACTCTTTAAGGGACTAGAATCACATAAACACAAAGTTAAAAATCACAAATTCGAAATTTGACTCACCTTAGAGATTTTTTTTCCTTTCTTCCTCTTATTCTACCTTCTCTTCCTCACCGAACTTCCATCTTTTTCATCCTACAATATTATCTTAACTTAAGCAGTCATTATACTTAGCCTAGACTGGTGATTCATCTCTAATAGGTGAACAACTCACCCCTAATTGAGATCAAAATCAGATTTTGAAAGATAAGGTAATAGGGAAGGGGAGATGAATGAAGGGCGATGGGGTTTTCCTACACGTTGCAAAACTAAATATTTCTTCTCTCTCTCTCTCTCTCTCTCTCTCTCTCTCTCTCTCTTAGCTCTAAAAGAAATCAGATTCATTTCTCTTTTTTTTTCCTACAAGGGTATTTTGGTAATTTTCACACATAAGGGTATTTTGGTCATTTTGACCCAAAATTCAAAAATGATTTCCTACGTGTTCGTTAAGTCGACTACTATCGTACTAACTAAGAGTCATAATGGTCTCACCTCAATGTCTTAAATGTCCTTTGAAAAATTCACAAAATGTTATGTAAGAGCATTTTTGTCCAACTTGAAATTAGACACACTTAATCCAATAGTCTCAGTCCAAAATCACTTGATAATACCCATAATTATTCTTCACCATAATATTATTATTATTATTATTTTATAACTAAAATATGAAAGTCCACTTTTAATTATTTTCGGGGTATTACATGTTACGTACTTCTATTGACATCTACGTGGTTTCATTAGCAGGATAATCACGTATTCAAAGATAAAGAAGTCTTGGTTATTGATCCTTGGTTCACTACAATCCAATTTACAAAGAACGGACATGAGGCATTTAGGGGAATTAATTGACAAAGAGCCAAAAGTGATCACCACAGATGGCTGTTGATCTTTGTTTCTTTTGGCATTGAGTCCAAAACAAGAGAATTATTACTTCCTTATCACCTATCCATTAGTGATCAGTGGAGGAATACTTTCCAGTTGTTATTCTTCAAATATCCAAGAGGCATCATCATACATTCTCCTATAAATATAAGAGTACTTGAACTGGAAAACACAACAAAACAATAAAACAAACAACCAAACACCCAAATCAATCTCTACATCAAACACAATCAGTCGAACTGATAAACACCAAAGATCATAGGATATTCAAAGCCTTCAAGCCCAAAAGCAAGCAAGGGATCTTTTCTTTGAAGCAGTCCAGCTCATAAAAAGCACCAGCAATCAAGCTTACAAAAGCAGTCCAACTCAGAAGAAGCACAAGAAATCAAGCTCACAGAATCAGTCCAACTTAGAAGAAGCTAAGACAATTAAGAAGAAAATGAGGTTTCTTTCGTTGCAAATGCGATTCAGAACAGACGAATCAAGTAGAACTCAAAGAGATTAATTTCTCTTACAAATTTGGTTTAGCAAGTTGAAGCAGGAAGAACTCAAGTTTTTCAGTATATGAAAACCTCAACAAATTACTCAAAGACATCGTGTTGTCTTAATCTCATGGAGACAGTTTCCACATCAAACTGAACAGGTGCAAACTCTCACTTCCGCTCACTTTCCAAGCCTCTCCATGGCTTAATCTGATTATAGCTCTGCCAATATAGTCATTGGTATCGATTTCCAACTAATCTTCATTAGTTGAAGGTACTGACGTGCAATTCCAGTACAAGTAGATTCACTCCAGCCATAAGAAGTCTAGTCGACCCTGATTAGAAATAAATTCAGCAAGGTGATTCCTACAGGAAATGAAAGTCCAAATCTCTGAGATCTCTTAAGAATTGGCAATCTTTATTATGCTTTACAGTTTAGGCAGTTCTGCTTGAACTTATTTGTTTCATTTTCAAAATACGTGTATTTTGCTTTACTTCCCAGTTTTTATTGAGATAAATTATAAAGTGCTCCCTCGTCTGAGGCAGAAAAAGAACTTACTTAGGAGATATTTCTCGCCCAAATTCACAATCATTTGTTAAAAGTCAATATTTTGGGGCGCGAGTTATTACATCTTTCAAGTTTGTTAAGGTTTTTAACCAATAACTGTGGTACGCTCAAATATAAAAGAAAGTTGACTTATTGATCACGAATGGTCTTTAGGTCAATGAGAAACTTTAGCTAACTAGTACAAGTACAACAGCAAAACGAACAAACAATATGAAGGGCGAGTTTTGTTATAATACTTTGCTTAGTCATTGGTGTTTTATGTTCTTTTTATTTTCTTGTTTCAATTTATGCCCCTTATTTCTTCGTCTTCTCTTTGTTGAGTGCTATTTATTTTCTTTGTTATTAAGTTTTTTGTGGCTTTATCTTCTTAAAAAAATAGAAATAAAAAAAAAAATCATTTTTTGTCCAACATTAGATATTTTAATTGTCGTACTTTATATTACTTTGTAGCTTGCAGTTGTTTTGTTGTTTCATTGACACATTAAATTTGTCAATGAGTTTGTGTTGTTAAACACAATCTGACATTAAGTTTGAGTTTTAAGTCTATGCCATACCCATACCATAGGCCTAGAGTCGATGGCAATGGCAATCACAAAATCATGTTTCCATCTTCTGTATTGTGATATACAATTTTGTTGTTGAAGATGTATCATCACATACATCCTAATAATTAATCAGATACATTGAGTGCAAGAAAAACTTTTAGTAAATTTTACACTTCAGAAATTACACCAAGTTTACTGCCTAAGAGATATTGCCGACACGGTTGGCAGAAGGTTCCAGCTGAACCTCTGATTCAACCTGAATCTGGGAAGGTTCTGGCGCAGAGCTTTCTAGCTGGGAAGATTCAACCACACTTGGCACTGAGGCTTGGATTATCTCTTGTGGCTTGAACTTGTTGATATAGTAACTAAGTGATGGCCCAGAGTATTCTACCTTCTGCACCGCAGGTGGGTTCTTACCTACTTGGAGGAGTATTGATGAAGCTGCAGCAACGGAGATGAGTGCAAGCCCAGCAGCGATTGCTGCTGTGTTCTCTGCTCCATTGGATGAAGACCCTGCACTTCCTGAACTTATTACACTTTCTGCTACATAAACTGCAGGCTGGAGAATGTAGAGAAGTAACTAGAGTTAACGCACCATAATGGAACATAGACTCAAGCCTACATTAAAGAAGAGAGGAGAGAAACAAAATATCCAAGCCTTGTATCAGATGGCTACAATATGCATTAATAGTTCTTACTGGCAATGTGCCCAAACTGAACTAACACACGTCTAACATTTCTATGGCTCACTTTATTTTCCATATGGAATTTAAGGGATTGATCATACCCTATTGCAATTGCACAGGGCTTTCAAACTCAAGTTCAAAAGCAATCCTAGATACTAGTTATAAACAAACATGCAACAAACAGCCCCCTTAAGTTTCTAAGAAAGAGCAGTGCATCCATTTGGAGAGAGAGAGAGAGAGAGAGAGAGAGAGGGAACATAACTCTCTCTCTCTCTCACACACACACACACACACAAAGGCACAAAGAAGGCTTAAAACGGTGTGAGTTACATTGTGTCTTGGCGTATGAAGTACGCCAATTAAGTGCTCTGCTCAACATTTTCAGCTTAATTCTAACTAAAACCACCATGTCCTGAGGCAAGACTTATTTACTAGTTCTAAAAACATGGCAAAGAGAATGATGTTTACTATTTTCGTGATAAAAGCTTTCTACTTCTGCCATTGAAAAGAAGCAGCGTAATAAGCTACTAATACATCAGTTTTGACTTTTGAGTACCGGTGAATTCACATTAACTCAATGCGTATCTCCTCATGTAGAAATAAATTTACTTTCAAAATTCTCCAACATACAGAATCCAGAAGTTCGGTCATCTGAACTGAAAGTATTTCTATTATTAAAATATCTTGTGAAAAAAGATGTCAACTTTGGTTTTACATTTTTCTGTTGACATTGATAACTTTGCTCAGGCAATCCTTGTTACTGACTAGTAAATCTAACAGTTCATCTCTTAAACTCAAACTCTGAATAGAATATTTTACAGTTTTCTTCATAATTATCATTCTGTCCGTCCAACTACAACACATGTTACTTTGACATTTGAAAATTAAGAAATAATACACTCATTCATCAAAGGAAAGAAAAAAAAGAAGGGAAAAACAACATTGAATGCAAAACTCTTGCACATTTTGAAGACAGAATAGTACTAACCTCAACAGAATATATGTTTGTCTGGCCAGCGGTGTCCTTCTCAACATATCCAGTCCAACCACGTTTGCGAGGTGGAAATGTCCCAGAAACTTTTGTCTTCTCACCAGCCAACCATTCCACGCTGACCTTTCCAACCTATTCATGCCACAAGAAAAACATCAGTGTGTATTTATTTAGGTATTATTTTCTGTCAAGTTTAATGCAACTAACTATACTGTACATAGTGTTACTGATAAACTTGGCAATTACCTTAAAAACCAACTATACTTAATTGAGGGAAGAAAGAAACAGAACAGCCAACAAAAGAATAAAAAAAAAAAAAAAAAAAAAAAAAAAAAAAAGAATTGAGACTCAATCAAATTTCTATCCCATTCTGGCTTATGATCTTCCGAAGTAAGAAATTGGTTTTTTCTGGAAATCTATTTATGGGTATAAAATATTCCAGGTTTTGTTTTTGGCATGAGAAAGATCACAGTGGTGTACTGAAGAAGGATGCGGACATCAAAGCTTGGAACATTGGGGCTCAACTGTTTTGAAATAAGATGTTGCACATCCTATTCCCACAACCATTTTATATTTGCTTGTTTAGTGTCTTCAGACCTCAAACATAGTTAGAAGTAAAATAATTACTAAAAAATTACAAGTTGAAATACACAATCCTAAATTAGTACCTCTGTTTACTCCGAAATTAAACCCTGTAATCTGGTATTCCCAACTAGCCCCATTACTCCCAAAACCTATAACATTTCTGGGTTAAATGGAAAGCTTTTGCTACCCATTAGCCCCATTATTATTTTTTGTCAAGTTTAAGTCATCAAATATAAACATAACCCTCATCAAGATGAAAACCCATTAACAATATTATACCTACACCTAAAATAGAGAGAGAGAGAGAGAGAGAGAGAGAGAGAGAGAGAGAGAGAGGTCACCTCTTTGTCAGGAGCACATTCTTCAACATTGCAGTCAGTTTCTTCAGTGGAAGCTCTAACTGTGAGATGATTAACTTTCTGAACTCTTTTGGAAAAGAAGAAGCTCTTTTGTGTAGGGAATGTGCATGTAAATGTGTTTGCTGCAATCACAGCTTGTGCTGCAGTTGCCATATTATTTTTTTTCTTGCAAAGCAGAGCAAATACTTGACAGAGAAAGTAGTCAGATGCAAAGTAAATTTTGTTGGGGGTTTATGGTGGAGAGGAGAGAGAAGGTATGCTCGGAGAGGGATGATATTTTACTCCTTTGGATTGGGTGTCCGTGCTTTGCGTTGGAGGTTTGGTGGATTTTGAGATGGCTACGTGTCAACTCATCTAAACTTATATGTCTTGGTAGTGCTGGGCCCATCAACGCTTATATAGAAGCCTAACCTGTTTTTCTTTAGTTTTTTTATTCTTTTTATTTTTTATTTTTTATTTTATTTATTTATTTATTTTCAAACAATATTAAAAAGGAGAGGAAATCAAACCTAAAATCTAAGGTACAAGAAAAAACTACTCTTAATTAGTTGAGTTACAAGTTGCTTTTTTTTAGAGGAAAAACGATTTCATCCATAATCCAAAAGTTTCATACATAGAACAACATGAGAATAGTGGAATGTTCAAAACTTTCTAGGAAAACCACGTGAGAGAAACCCTAGAGTAGGAAATAGTACCACACATGCCTCCAGCTAATATAAGAGTTTAATCTAGAACAACCAAGCCATTACAAAAATCAACACAGACTACCAAGCTACTAGAAGACCAACACAGACGACCCCACATGAGAGCATACCAAACGCATCTTAAATTGTCAAAGAAAGCCTACTATGAGAACAATCATAATCCTTCATCCAATGCACATAGGGCTTGTTAATGGCCCGGGCCGAGCTAGCCTGACTCAAATTGAATGGGCTTGGGTCGAGCCGGGCTAGGCTTCAAAAAGGAGAGAGAAAATAATGAGTCGGGCCGGGTTGGGTTTTTTTTAGAAAATTCAAAGGACCCCGTAAGAGCACACCAACTCCTCCCAGAACATGTCAAAGAAAACCTCTTATGATGGCTGTTGAGGCCCAAAAATCCAGGGTTGGGCCCAAATAAAATTTCGGCCCAACGCAATGCCTTATTAAGAAAAGACCCGATTTGGAGCACGCGAAAGTTCGTCATTCACATTCGCACGAGTCATGACCCACGTGCCATGCCAAATAAATATGCAATTTGTTATGCTAAGAGTTGAAATAAGCACTGGCTTTATGAGCCCAAGCTAATTATCCCGTCATGCGTCATATCCTTCTTCAAAGCGACAAAATTCAAGCACGCCAAGCGACATGCAATGCTAAGTGGAAAATCATGATTATTACACCTAGCCATGCTACAAGCTTAAGTGGGCCCAAGCCACGCCAAAATTCCTGGGGCTTGCTTGAGTGAGTTGTGGTATGGATGGTAACAAGCTTTCATGAGGCCCATTGATGAGCCGAGAAATAGAAGTTTTGGGCTGCTTGGGAGCCCCAAAACTCAAGCCCATTTCTTGAGCCCAAATATGTGGGTAAGCATAAAAGAGAGAAACATTAGCCCAATACTCTAAGAAAAAACTAACACATCACCTTAGGAAGGCCCAAATAGCCCAAGTGGCTTAGAAAATATCCAAAAAATCTCCAGCACATGGTTTGAAATAAAACCACGATAGAAAACCAGGAGATGTTTGTACACTTAGGCTGCTAGGAGACTCCAGCACATGGCCAAAGACAAACCCAACGCAAGCCATCAGAAAAACCAAAGGGAATTCGTACGTGTAGGAGGAATACCCATTAGGCAAAAGCTCTATCCATTCTTTTTTCCTCTGTGAGCTCTAATGGGGAAACCAAGAAGAAAAGCAAGTCGCGCCTCATTCCCATGGGAAGGTCCAGCCTCACAAAAACCTTGGAACCCCAAAGAGCCTGTGACCCATCCACTTTGGTTAAAGAAATTTCACCAAAAAGGAGTGAATAGAAAGAAGCAAAGGAAAAGTGGGAATGGAGGATTGATAGAATTAGGGTTCTAAGTGCCTATAAAAAGGAGCTTCCTCTACCCAGCAAAAACCATCATCCATAGTGTGACCAAGCTTTGTCAAGTAACTGAAAATTCACTAGATCCCCATCCAGAGAGCAAGCTTCCTCTCTTGCCTCCAAAACTCAGCAATTTCGTGCTCTGTTCATCCTTCTCCCCCTATTTTTCCTTCTGGTAGACTGTTCTATTACTTGACAGAGTTTTCGTCAAGCGGCTGGAAACTACTCAACACACCCATCATACCCCCATCTCTCTCCCTTTTCAACAAATCCTCTTAGAATCCATTCCTGAACTCACAGCTCTCTCTCTCTGTTTATGCTAAACTCATGATGGTTTTGCTCCCATGCAACAAGCTTCTCATGCCAAGCTAAGAATCTACCTGTAAGCAGTCATTGTTTTTGTTGGTGAAGGTGACCAGGGTGTTTCCTAAGGCTTCACTACCCTTTCGAAGCATTCTTGGGTTCTAATCTATGAACTTAGACTCAGGGGGTAATTTCACCTGTTTCTCTTTTCGGCAGCCCAAGCTCATTCGTTAGGCTGCTAGAATAAAAAGACCCCTACAATGACAATAATAGTTCTCCACATAGTGTAGGGATTAATCAGCTTGCAAAGAGGAAAAAAATAAGAGAATAAGAATAAATAAATAAAACAACGAACAAACACAATAAAAGCAAAGAAAATTTTAGAAGGAGCACACAACCGCTTCCTAAAACACAAGACCCAGCCTCGCCCACTTAACCTAAAGAAGAGAAACTTCAGGTAATGAAACGTTCATCGAATGCCATGTCCATGAATGTTCTAGCAGAACCTTACTGGTGAATTCCGAGAGACCCCTCAAGGCCAATATCCTTTTCCTCATCAAAAGGAACACCACTATAGATTCGTTTGTCACCAACTGATTCCGCACTAGAAGCCAAAACAATCACGATTATCCTACTACTACTTATATAATGTGTACAATACATTATATTGTAATAGTATACATGTTTTCCTTATTGTTAGAACACACTAGATATATGTTGATGTTCTGGCCAACACATTAATTCCAGTAAGTAGAGCCATTATTTTTTATTTATTTTTAGATAATGGAGACAGTATTTTATTAATAAGTGGGCAAGCAACTAGTACAAAAACTAAGCTATATTGTCGGGGATTAGGTAAATTTCTCTACACATATGAGCTCAGTCATCGATCTAACTGGGTGGCCTTACCCGCTCAACCGCAACTAGGAGCAGGAACCTTGCCATTGATAGAGTATCCCCCCCACCCCCCCAAACCCCGCGGTCCCCCTAAAAATATGCCTGTAAAAACAACTTGTTACAATCCTCAAATAAGACATCAAAAATAAAATCAAGAGGTTCCTCAAACCAGTAAGAGCCATAATTTATTCGTAAGAAATGAAACTTTAAAATCCCATAATTTCTAAATAATAAAAAAATTCTTTTGAAAGTTACAACATTAAATTATTGTAGCTCTCTGTATAGTTGATGAGTTATGTCATCGTGCTTGGTCACATAAAAAAAAGTATACAACTTTGAGTATGGTGATGAGGTATCGCACTCCTTTTTTATCTTTCTTATTTATTTATTTATTTATTTATTTTTATACAAATGATATTCTAACTACTGGGAGGGGGGTGAGTTCGGATGAAAGGGGATATATATATACATAAATATATATATATATATATATATTATTAATATACAAACCACATTTGTTGTTGACAAAATCCTTAAGTTTTGTTCTTTCATATTTCTCTTTTTAGCTACTGTTAATATTAGATAAAATAATATTTCTCTAACATTTCTTCTCATCCAACATTATTTCTAATTTCATACATTGTACAAAGAGTTGTACTTCCACTCTTAACAACTTGAATTAGAAGCCCCTTACACGTAATAATTTATTTCGTGTTTTAAAACCTCTCTCGTTTGTCTTTACAAAAGTATGGGCTTCTAAAGTTTTACATGGGCTGATTTCTGGAGATAAGGCCCATGCTTTTGTCTTCTGATCTGGGCCAAATTTAAATGGACTGGCGTGTGGAATTTTTAGTCCCAAACAATGCCCCTAAGTATGAATCGTTTAAAAAAATGGTTCCAAACTTAATGATTGACCAATTAATTCCAACACCAGTCCATTTAAATTTGGCCCAGATCAGAAGACAAAAGCATGAGCCTTATCTCTAGAAATCAGCCCATGTAAAACTTTAGAAGCCCATACTTTTGTAAAGACAAATGACAAAGGTTTTAAAACACGAAAATTACAATTAAGATTGCCATTTAATGGTAAATTAATACCAGAAAGATCAAAAACCTCCAAAAATTGGTTTAAGCCCAGCTTCTGAAAAATTCTCATCGCTTGATCTCAAGAAGCAAGTCAGTAGATCTTCCTTACTAAAAAAATGTGTTTTCTCAGGAGAGCCCCACATGACTTTTTGACCTTGGAAAAGTCAAAATTTTCAACTATCACAAAAGAAGCGATAGGAAGTTAATAAAGGCAGGACTTACAGGAGGACTTCTCCATTTTACAGCCAGGGAAAGAAGATCAAATCCCCTCTCCATATGCAGAGAAGCTCTGCACCAAAGTAGGTTATACTTCCAAGAGATAAGCAAGCTACATTTTCAAGAGATAAGTAGGGGCAAGGGAGTTGTTCACCATGAAAAGCAAACTAACCATCAACACAAATTGTGCTTTTTACAAGGAACAAACAGAGAACAAAAGAGAGTTGATTTTCTTTCAGGAAAAAGCAAGGCAAAGACCACCATGAAAACTGACTGTTGATGGTTTTTTCTCTGCCAAAATAAATAAACTTCCTTTTGTTTATGGCATTGAGAAAGGAAAATATTTTTGAAAGATTTGCCGCCCATTATTTAAGATTAAAAATCCCATTCCAGCATTTTCTATAAATATGAGAGGAGGTGAAATAGATCACAGACAACCAAAAAATCAATCAAAACAAAAACTTTCAAAGTCATATTGACAAATTCAAAGAGATCAATTGATCTCAAAAAGCCTTCAGATACTGAAACAACAAAAAAACTCCTTGATCCACAAAGAAATAGGTCAAGCCAGAATTCAAATCTTTGACTTCAGTTCAATTTAGAGAAACGGTTCTATAAAGCGAGATTTCTCTCGTTACAAATTTGGTTCAACACAAGTCAAGTCAAACAGAGTCCAGATTTTTACAATATGAAACCTCAACAAATTTACAGAAAGCTTTGATCAAGCAGAACAGGTACTATAGTGCAGCTACAGCCTAGTGATCATCAATCCAGCCACTTATGTCCTTTTCAGACCAAAGGGTCCTCAATTCTGCCCATTCAACAAGCCTTCCAGGGCTCGAAATAGATTGAAACTCTGCCAAATTCAAACTTTGGCATCGATTTTCAGCTAAAAGCTATCAGTTGAAGGTGCTGACAATTCAATCCAGCATAAACACATCCAATCCAGCCCAGTGCAGATGCAGCTACCCATGCAGAAATTGAATTCCAAGCATTATGTTATCTTTTAAGTTTGGCATTTCTCTTTTGAGTTTCGTAAGAAGGCAGTTATGCTTAAACAATTTGCTTTCTTTTCATTTATTATGGCCAGAACTACCAGTTTTATACTGTGAAAAATTGTGAAGTCCTCACCAGTCTGAGGCAAGAAAAGAACCTACTTGGGAGATATTCCTCACCCAAATTCACAATTGCTTATTTAGAATCAGTAAATTGGGGCTCAAGTTATCTATTTTTTAGAAGTTTGCTAGGGTTTTAACTGCTAGCAGTGGCACGCTCACGCACAAAAAGAAAGTTGACTTGTTGACCACCAGTGGTTTTCAAGCCAATAGGGAACTTTACCCTACCAGCACAGGACTAAATCAAAACAGGTGAACACCGAGTTAGGTCATATTTTAGCCAAATATTTGCTCAAGGCACCCATGCCCTCTTCTTTCTCAAAGAGACCAAGAATCTCTCCCCCTGCTCAGATAGAAAGCAAGAGCAGCGAGCGAAATGAGAAAAAGGTGGAAAAGGCTCGGCTCAGCCCCTGGCCACCCATTGTAGCGACCAAGTGGGCTCGGCTCCACCAATCACCTAGATTCACCCGTGACTCCTCCGTTCCATTCTAACCAAGTCCTACCACTGCGTTGACCAACACCATGTCATCGAACACCATGTTGACGGGCACCACATCGCCCAACACAACATGGCAGAGCATCACCCTATCATTCCTATTGGAGCATACCATTGTAGTCTACAAAGACCACTTAATTTGCAACACTACTGAACTCAGGGCTCATATCTACAAATACAAACACCTAGTCGGCAACGCCATTCCCATTGTCTAAACATGCGCAATTCCATGTGCTTTGTTTGAGACCACCAAAGCGATAAGAAAAACTTTATCTCATGTCTACATGTTCGAAATATTATACATTTAATATCATATTATAAATATTATTATGCACCATGTGATAAAATCTTAAATCGCATAATTATTATTAATTATAATCCCAAGGAGTAATACTCACATGGGATCACATAAGGCCGAGACCATTTTGAGTAACCTACCTATTATACTACCTGCCAGCATATTGTGAGATAGCATGGACTCTTGTGCTCAGCTCTGGGAGAGAGTTCTCGCATGCATGCTAGAATTATTCCTATGCCACCAATACGTGTACTACTCGACACCCAGGTTGCAGTGGTATGTACTTCATATAATTATACTTGCCACTGCTTAACGGTAATACGTGCCTATGTGATTATGTTTTCACGAACTCCATGGTACTCACCCATTTTTTTATGACATTATTCCATATGCACTGCCCCAATACTCGGCTAAGCACAAACATTCTCCAGAGTGCTACTACATCGCTAAACAACTAAGTCCACAAAGGGATACCTCACCAACAAAAGATATTCGCCCATGAAATGGGTTCTCCACTATTACTATCACAGGGTCTCGACATCGAGACCGAGATGGCTCGAACGACATCGAGACCGAGACGGCTCGAACGACATCGAGACCGAGACGGCTCGAACGACATCGAGACCGAGACGGCTCAAACGACATCGAGACCGAGACGGCTCGAACTACATTGAGACCAAGATGGCTCGAGCCCACCTGGTACCACCATAGTCAAAGCGAGATAAGGAAAATATATTATCTCCATATATGTGCTCAGCTCAGCCACACTATTTCCAATATATCTTGTCATGCTTAAAGAGAGGGAAAATTATATCTTCATATATGTGCTAGGCTAGGCCTTATTATCTCCATACAGGTGCTTGGCTCGGCCTTATTATATCTTCATAGCCTTATTATATCATCACATATGTGTTTGGCCCGGCCTTAATATCTCCATTTGTGTGTTTGGCTCGGCACCCTCTCCACCTTGTCACACTATCTCCAATATGTCTTGCCATGCTTAGAGAGGGAAAATTATCTCCATATATGTGCTTGGCTCGGCCTTATTATCTTTATATATGTGTTCGGCTAGGCCTTATTATCTCCATATGTGTGCTCGGCTTGGCACCCTCTTCACCTTGTCCCACCATGGTCAAGGAGAAGGAATATTATATCCATATATGTGGTCGGCTCGGCCAGACATTGGTCTTTCTTGAAAGTTCCCAGCCAAGAAGCTATTCTCGATTGTGAACTTGGGGGCTTCTGTGGACACCATGATGACCTCACCTTCCTCCTTAAGCAAATCCCACCAATTAAGGGATAACCCTTGCTTGTCATATGCATACATCACTTCCCACCAAACAAGGAGTAGCTAGCCATGCCCCCTCCTATGCCTTCTCAAGGCCCAAGACCCTAAATTAAGAGGAGCCATGCAAATGTTTCAGCCATCAATCAACCTTGTCTACTCCAACTTGGACTATAAAAGGGAGCTCACCACCTCTAAGCAAGAGGATCGGCTGCTACTTCACTTCTTCAAGAGCTGTCCAAAGTTCTCCCAAACTTTCTATTTCTCTTTTACTAGAGCTCTCAAGCCTCTCTCCCCATATTTCTCTCATGTACAATGTAATCTCCATATTCAAATACAAATACAAAGCTATAAACTATAGTGGATGTAGTCCCGTTATGGGTGAACCACTCAAACACTTGTGTTATGTGTGTGATTATGTCTTAATCCGTTAGGTACAAACTCTCCTGTTAACATCTCCAGTAAATTCAAATATTGTTGCATGAGCTATGTAGGATCAACCTGAACGAGCTGTGCAGATGTTGGCTAAAATGAAACAATTAAAAGTTATGCCTGATATTAGGACATACGAGCTGCTGTTTTCATTATTTGGTAACGTGAATGCCCCATACGAAGAGGGCGACATGTTGTCACAGGTGGATGCTGCTAAATGCATTAATGCTATAGAAATGGATATTGCGCGATATGGTATTCAGCAGAGTTATTTATCAATGAAGAACTTGGTAAACCCCTACCCTCATGTATACTTCCTTTTAGTTTAGAGAATGAAATGGGATATTGATAGGTGGCATATTCCTGCCTCTGATTGACATGTCATTGGTATGCATATGGTGGGAGACACTCTGGAATTTGTCTTCTGCTTCCACTGTACAACATAAGCATTTGTATAGTATCTTTCTTTTTTTTCTTTTTTTTTTTTTTTTTTTTTTTCTTTTTTTTTTTTTTTTTGTGATTGTTTTCATTTTTTTTTTTTTTTTTTACACTGATTCCTTAGTATCTGCTATGGTTAAGTTGTTTTAGTGGTTATGGCGTTTATATATGGAAACATTGCATGAAACATGATGCATAGTTTTGTACACTTCTGTACATGGAAATCTTAAGAATATCAGCATCTGATAACTGGACTGCACAGTTAGAAAATTTTATAGTCTGATAGGTGACTGGAGAGAATCTTCCATATTTTACATGGTTTATCAAATAGTTTAGGTAAGATAATACAGATTCTCCGTTCAAAATGAAGTTATAAGGAGCATGATTATATAACACTTTTGTCATTAAAAAATTTAGGAAAAACTATATTAAACCACCTAAATTATAGGGTCATTTTCAAGTTCATACTCAATTTTAAAGACATTTACAAATACATACTGAAACTCTCAGAAACCCTCCAATTTACTCCATCCGTTAATCAAACCGTTAGTTAATTTAAATGATGATGTGGCATTTATGGGGCCTATTTTTTAATTGATATGGACTTCCATGTGGACAAATATATAATTAAAAATTCTCCACTTTTAAAAAAAAATTAAAATCATATTAAAAATTAAAAATTCTATCCTCCAAGCCCCCTACCCAGCGAACCCAGCTACTCCAGCCACCAAAACTGTTAAAGGAAAGAATCAAGTCATATTTGATATGCCCATATTATAGGGTCGTTGATTGATTCCTTGTATATATGTCATTCAATTGTTTTATTTCCTTCCTAGAATAAGACTCTCTCAGTTTGTATAAAGCTGTAGTTATATTGTATATTTTGATATCAATAAAAAATATAGAGAACTTCTCTACCAATCTGTTTCCTTCATTCACCATTTTTACATGGTATCAGAACACCGATTCTGGTGACTCTAGAAACCCAAACACCTTCCGCTACAACACAAGATGGGTGGAATAAAATCCACAGAGAAATCAATTGATGTTTCGGATCCACTCACCTTGCATCACTCGGATCACCCGGGAATTGTTTTGGTATCCAGGCTTCTTGAAGGATACAACTATAGCCAATGGAGTCGATCTATGCGTCTCAATCTTAGCGCAAAGAATAAGATCGGCTTTGTCGATGGGTCTGTCAAAGCCCCAGCATCCACAGATGCGAAACACTCTATTTGGCAACGATGCAACGACATGGTATTGTCGTGGATCTTGAATTCAGTACATCCGGACATTGCCGGCAGCGTGATCTATGCCGAAACAGCGGCTGAAGTTTGGAATGACCTCAAAGAGAGGTTTTCACAGGGCAATGATTCCAGAATTTACCAACTCCAACAAGAAATTGTTGAACATCGACAGGGACAGCAATCTGTCTCGGCTTATTACACCAAGATGAAGGCACTTTGGGATGAGTTGTCTTCCTACCATGACACTTTATCATGCACGTGTGGAGGATTGAAGGAAGTTGTTGCACGACAAGAGAAAGAAAGAGTCATGCAGTTTTTTGATGATGCAACCCCTTCCTGATACACGCAAGGTCCATGCCTTGATACTCCAGCAAGAACGACAGGTTGAAGTAGCTGCACGACGTGATAGCAATACTAGTCATCATGCAATGAAGGTTGTTCAACCCAGCCGTTCACCTGCAGCTCAAGGGAATCTGACTCCCTTAAAGTGTAGTTACTGTGACCAAGAACGACACATCGTCGATCGCTGTTATTTTCTCCATGGTTTTCCCGTGTGCCATAAGCTACATGGGAAAAATGTGAAGCCACCCAACCGAAGGAAATCAGCTGCACATAATACTCAAGCAAGCCCTGTGGAGTCAACTCAGGCACCAACTACCACTCCTAATGAGAAGCCTACATTCACCACCGAAGAGTACACTCAACTTGTGGCGCTGCTTTGGAAAGAGAATGGTAATACACCACCTTTTGCAAATGCCACAGGTATTGTTACCCCCACATGTTATAACACAGTACATGCTTCTCACTCTACTCTGTATTGGATAGTAGACAGTGGGGCAACGGATCACATATCCCATTCCGTGCCCTCGAATCCCATGACTCCGTCACAAAATGACTTTGTTGAATTACCTGATGGTGGGCATGCTAAAATCACATCGGTTGGTTCTGTTAAATTGACCAAGGATTTAGTTCTTGATGGTGTTCTACATGCACCAAAATTCCAAGTCAATCTTTTGTCTGTTAGCAAACTCACTCAAGCTTTGGGATGTATGGTGACATTTTTCCCTAATTTTTGTATAGTGCAGGACGTGGCTACGAAGAGGATGATTGGCCTGGGCAAGCAACATAAAGGGCTCTACTACATCACCCGCCAACAGAACCCACACCTAGTACACCATGTCAACCGTCATTCCAGCCTCTGGCACCAACGTCTTGGACACCCATCTGCTGCCCCTCTCCAAGCTTTATCCAAAAGCATTCCTGAAGTTGTTTTTGATTTTTCCAATAACTGTGAGGTCTGTCCCTTAGCCAAACAGACTCGTTTACCTTTTTCTTCTAGTTTGATTAAATCCGTAACACCTTTTGATTTGATCCACTGTGACATTTGGGGACCTCACAGAGTTACTTCACACTCTGGGGGGCGTTATTTTTTAACTATTGTAGACGATTATTCTCGTTTTACATGGATTCATCTTATGAGCTTTAAATCTGAAACACAGTCATTGTTGAAATCTTTCTTTTCTTGGGTGCAAACCCAATTTAATTGTCGCATTAAGTCTTTGCGTGCTGACAATGGGGCAGAATTCATATCCATGCGAAATTTTTTGGATGACAATGGCGTATTCTTCCAACATTCTTGTCCCTTAACGCCTCAACAAAATGGGGTTGTTGAGCGCAAGCATCGTCATCTTTTAAATGTGGGGAGGGCTCTTAGATTCCAGGCTCACTTACCATTGTCCTTTTGGGGAGAAAGTATTCAAACAACATGTTATCTCATAAACAGATTACCTACACCTCTCCTCTCTCACAACTCCCCATATGTCATGCTTCATCACAACCCTCCTACTTATATGCACATGCGTGTTTTTGGTTGCCTTTGCTATGCCACAAATACACACCCCATTCACAAATTTGATAAACGAGCTAGGCGTTGCATTTTTGTTGGTTATCCCCTTGGCCAAAAAGGTTATCGTGTCTTTGATCTTGAAACCAAGAAATTTTCCACCTCCAGAGATGTCAAATTTTATGAACATGTTTTTCCATTTTTGACTCAACCCGTCAATTATGATGATGATACAACCAGTCCGGTCTTACCACTACCTCCAGACATCTCTCATAGCCCAGATGACCTTATTGGCCCAGATGACACCTCATCCTCTTCACTAGTTGATAACTCTAATCTTTCCAACCCATCTCCAGTTGTTAGCCCAGATATAAACATTCCCGACAATTCCCAATTGTCACCTAACCAAATCCCGGTTGTCCCAACCTCCCTTTCTGAGCCGCAACTTCGTCATTCTGACCGTGTTCCTCAGCCCAACATCAAGCTTCGTGATTATCATGTTTATCACGCCAGTTTGCTTGACCCCAGTGCCACCTCTGCCACGTCCAGCACCCGCTATCCATTGACTCGGTACGTTTCTTACTCCCACTTGTTTGATGCTCATCGTTCTTTTGTGACCAACATATCCCACTTGGTAGAACCAGTTTCTTATGAACAGGCTAGTATGGATCCAAAATGGGTTGAGGCTATGCAGACTGAACTTGACGCTCTTACTGCAAATAATACTTGGACCATAATGCCATTACCTTCTGGTCACCGAGCCATTGGATGTCGGTGGGTATTCAAAATCAAGTATAACTCCGATGGTACAGTTGAATGCTACAAGGCGCGTCTTGTGGCCAAAGTATTTACCCAACGTGAAGGAATTGACTACAAGGAGACTTTTGCTCCTGTTGCCAAGCTCATTACTGTGCGATGCCTTTTGTCTGTTGCTGCCATTCGCAATTGGTCTTTGCATCAACTTGATGTGCAAAATGCTTTTCTTCATGGTGATCTCCAGGAAGAAGTCTACATGCAGCCTCCTCCCGGATTTCGTCGACAGGGGGAGAGAGTTGTATGTCGACTCAACAAGTCCTTGTATGGGCTTAAACAAGCATCTCGCAGCTGGTTCCACAAGTTTTCTCATGCTATTCAAGAAATTGGCTTTCACCAATCCCGGGCTGATTATTCTTTATTCACCAAGGTGTGTGATAATTCTTTTACTGCTATACTCCTTTATGTTGACGATATGATCATCACAGGGAATAATAAAGATGCCATTGTTTGCCTCAAACGGTTCCTTCACACAAAATTTCGCATCAAGGATCTTGGACCACTCAAATATTTCCTTGGTGTTGAAGTTGCACGCTCCAAAGATGGGATTTCTATTTGTCAACGCAAGTATGCCCTTGACATACTTGAAGAGGCCGGATTACTTGGTGCAAAACCCGCAATGTTTCCAATGGAGCAGCACTTGAAATTAACGCCTACAGATGGTGTCATTCTCAAGGATCCTACACATTATCGCAGATTGGTTGGAAGATTAATCTATTTGACAATCACAAGACCGGAAATTGCATATTCCGTCCACATTCTTAGCCAATTCATGCAACAGCCAAGAAAGCCTCACCTAGATGCAGTGCATCGCCTTCTTCGATACTTAAAGATAGCTCCGGGTCAAGGGTTGCTCTTTCCCTCACAAGGCAGTTTAATATTACGGGGTTATTGTGATGCCGATTGGGCAGGATGTCCCACCACGAGAAGGTCCATCTCGGGTTACTGTGTTTTTCTTGGTAATGCTCTTATAGCTTGGAAGACGAAGAAACAAACTACTGTTTCCAGATCATCAGCTGAAGCTGAGTATTGCTCAATGGCAGCAATCACATGTGAACTCACTTGGCTGAGGTATCTACTACGCGACTTGTGCATTGATCATTCTGAGCTGGCAACATTGCACTGCGACAACCAAGCGGCAATACATATTGCAGCCAATCCAGTTTACCATGAATGTACCAAACATATTGAACTTGATTGCCATACTGTACGAGAAAGAATTCAAAGAGGAGAAATCAAGACGACATACGTACAAACTGGAAAACAGATTGCTGACATTTTCACAAAGCCGTTGGGACAAGTTGTTTTCCGTTCACATCTCAGCAAGTTGGGTGTTTTGGATATCCACACTCCAACTTGAGGGGGAGTGTTAAAGGAAAGAATCAAGTCATATTTGATATGCCCATATTATAGGGTCGTTGATTGATTCCTTGTATATATGTCATTCAATTGTTTTATTTCCTTCCTAGAATAAGACTCTCTCAGTTTGTATAAAGCTGTAGTTATATTGTATATTCTGATATCAATAAAAAATATAGAGAACTTCTCTACCAATCTGTTTCCTTCATTCACCATTTTTACATCCAAAACAACCACCCAAGTCACCCAAACTACCACCCAGCTCCTCCACTCACATCCCCAAATAACTTACCCAGGCCACCCATTCTAGCCATACAACCCATCTTGTTCCAGCCCAACCCCATCACTTCTCCCCCCTTTTCTTTCCTCCCCAACACAGCCCAACCCTCAAATCCCCAACTCTTGCAACTTTAGGCTTCGAGAACTTGGTCGCGTTTTGAAAATGGGCTATCGATTTTTTCAAGGTGTGATTTTGATTTCTGATTTATCCAAATTAGTGGAAATGGGATCTTTTATAAAAAAAAAAAAAAAAAAAAAAAAAAAAAAAAGAGTTTGCTGCATTTGTTTCACAATCTGGAGTCTAGACACTTGCAGATCTGGGTATGGGGCTTGGTGGTGGGGATATGGGTGTGTTAGCATAACTGGATCAAACCAGATGTAAGAGAGAGAGAGAGAGAGAGGAGAGAGAGAGAGAGAGAGGTGGAGAGATTTAAGGGGAGGAGGGAAAGAGGATGGGGTTGGGGTTGGGGCGGGGCTGCGTGGAGAAGAAGGGTCGCACTGGGCGATCGAGAGGTGTGATGGGCAATCGGGAGGGGGTGATGGGTCGTCGTGGACCTCGAAAACCTAGGTGGTTAGGTTGTCATCGACCTCGAAAACTAAGTGACGTTGTCGCGAACCCATATGTCGAATCTGCCATACGTCTCCGACGATGCACAGATCTCTTCCTCAAATCTATTGGCTAGGTCTCTGGTATTGGTTGGGGCTAGGAGGAGAGGACTGAGGGAGAATGAGGTGGTGGGTGGTGGTTTGGCTAGCTGGGGTGGTTGTTTGGGCTGTTGGGGTGCTGATTTGGGTGGCTTGGGGTCTTGGGTTGGCTAGCTAAGTCGTGCTAGGGGAGGGTTGGGAGGAGAGTGATGGAGAGATATTTTTTTTCTTTTTGATTTTTAAATTTTAATGTTTTTTTTTAATAAAGAACTTTTTATTATTCTTTTTGTCTACATGGAAGTCCATGTCATTAAAAAATAGGTCATAAAAATGCTACACCAGCATTTAATAGATTAACTAACGGTTTGGCTAACGGATGGGGTAAGAGCCTTTCCATCCATGAGCCCAGCCCGAGGCTAGGGGGAAAAAAAAAATGCGTTCTAGCGGAGCCCAGGCCCAGGGGGGGGGGGGGGGGGGGTGGGACCCACCACCTCGGGCTGGCCCGAAGGCAACTCCTACCCGAGGTCCAAAACGCGGGGGGTGACGTCATGTCGACGTCAGGCTGACGTCGACACGCGGTAATCAATTTTTTTTACCGTTGGCGCGTGCATTGCACGCGTCAACGGTAAAAAAATTTGAACCAGCGTGCGCTGACGTCTGGAAGCCACGTGGCACGCCCCCAGCGCTCCGATTTGATTCCACAGCCTTCATCCAACGGCTGGCGATTTTCCAGCAATAAAATTATGAAAAAAAATCGAATTTTTTTTAAAAAAAAACTATAAAATACTTTAAAATTCTGATTTTTTTTTCCTATAAATACCTATAAATACCCTTCACTTTCAACACCAATTCTCATACATTTTATTCTACTTCTACAATTACTCAACATTTTTTCACTCTTCACTTAACATTTTCATCTCTTTCACCTTGTATTTTTATTTCTTATTTTTATGGCTTCTTCTATTGAAACCGGAGGGGCGTGGAGCACCATGGAAGATGTTTCTTTGTGTGAGGTTTGGCTCCGAGTTTGTCATTGTCCCGTGACAGGCAATGAGATGAAATTTTTCCATATGTGGAAAAAAATTCATGCCGAATTTTGCGAAAAAATTCCGGAGTCGCCTCGTACGGAAATGGCATTGTCGAGTAGGTGGAAACTTCTCAACAAAGAGATGGCAAAATGGAGAGATGCCTTGGCAAAAGCGATGAACTTGTATAGAAGTGGGGAAAATCGTACTAACGAGGTAAGTATTTTGTAATTTTCGTTTTATTAAGTTTAATGTCCTAATATATATATGTTGTTAATATTTATGCATTTTCAATATTTTGTTATATTTCTGCATTTCAATATTTTGTTAATATTCTTGCATTTCAATATGTTGTAATTTCTTGCATTTCCAATTGTTTCTTCATATTTCTGCATTTTCAATATGTTGTTAATATTTATGCATTTCAATGTTTCTTCATTTCTTGCATTTTCAATGTGTTAATATTCTTGCATTTCCAATGTTTCTTCATATTTCTTGCATTTTCAATATGTTGTTAATATTTATTGCATTTCCAATTGTTTCTTCATATTTCTTGCACTTCCAATTTATTTGTAAGGTTAATTGCATTTCCATTATTTTTATTTTGTTACTTGCATATCCAATATATTTTAAATATTTATTGCATTGACATTTTTTTGTTAAATAGCTCATTCAAGCACAGATGTGGTTCGGTGCAACCGGGGGTGGCAAAAAAAGTTTCACCCATCATGAATGTTGGGAGGTGGTGAAATATTGTAAACGCTTCATGATTATTCCCACGGGTCCCGACGTTGTGTTAAACGAGACACCTCTCCGTGATTCAACGACATCGGATTCACCTCTCGATTCCCCTATGAGTGAATACTCACCCATCCAAAAGGAACCGAGGCCCATTGGCCGAAAGGCTGCGAAGGCAAAGAAAGCGGGTAATTCAAGCAATTTTAATTCAAAGTTTTTGGAGGAAATTGCAAGGCAAAACACCATAAGAATTGAAATGGAGCAGAAACGCCAAGATATGGAGGTGACAATTCAAGCCGAGTGTGCACGAGAAAAGGAGTATTTGCGCAAAAAAGATATGCAGAAGACGGATCGGGAAACCATGGCAATGGATACAAGTCATATGTTCCCCGAAACAAAACAATATTGGAAGCTAGAACGGAGGGATGTTATGAGAAGAAGACTTTTCCAGGATGATGGGCCTAGCAACACGGATTGGTTAAATGATCAAAACCATTAAATTAGTTGGCATACCTTTTATGTATTTTTATTTTTCATGTTTTCTATTAAAGTTGGTGTACTTCATGTATTTTATTTTAGTAGTAGTAATTCTTAATGACTTGTATTGGATTTCTTTATTTAATAAACAAAGCATTCAATAAAAGACCATTTTATTCAACATATTCCATACATCAAACAAAACATAATTAAAATGAAAACAAAAACTACAAACAAGGCACAATAATAAATAAAAAAACAACACAACCAAACCATAAGCAATAGTAAACAACACAACCAAACCATAAGTAAATAAAACATAACCAAAGCATCTATGCTCCATCATTCATCTTCATTCCCTTTCACCGCCCATATATGCTCTATCAAGTCAAGTTGACGGCTTTCATGAATATACGAAGATTGCATCTCTGTATATCGATCTATCATCCGGGTCATCATACGATCGTCCCTCACCAACGGTTCCGGCTCAAAACGGTTCTCCATTTGGCCCTATGGGCCTTTCATAAATCCGGGTCAAGGCCGTGTTTATTGGATCCGGTTCATAGACCTCTCCAGCATCATAATCGTACTCATCCTCCACAATCATATTATGGAGGATGATGCAAGTCATCATAATGCTTCGGAGGATCTCCTCATCAAACATACGGGCCGCACCTCGAACAATCAACCATCGAGCTTGAAGGATGCCAAAACACCTTTCGACATCTTTCCTGTATCCTTCTTGATAGGTAGCAAATAATTTTTGCTTATGGGATCGGGGATTCGGAATGGATTTGACAAATGTGGTCCACCTTGGGTAAATACCGTCAGCTAGATAATACCCGTCTGGTAGACTGTATTGTTGACTTGATAGGTAATATTGGGGCCTTGGCCGCTCAAAACATCGTTGAAGACCGGAGATTGACCCAGGACGTTGAGGTCATTTTGGGCTCCGGCAACTCCGAAGAAAGCATGCCAAACCCATGTGTCGAAGCCAGCAACGGCTTCCAGGATGATACTTTTTGTGCCTTTTCTATTTCCGTAATCACCTTGCCAGGCAGTTGGGCAATTCTTCCATTGCCAATGCATGCAGTCGATGCTACCAATCATTCCTGGAAATCCTCGAGCTTCGGCTTTTTGTAGAAGCCGTTGGAGGTCCCTGGGAGTAGGTCTACGCAGGTAGTCCCTAGTGTACAGATTTTCAACTGCATCACAAAATCTTACCAAAGCCTCCAACGTAGTGGACTTCCCCATTCGGGCAACCTCATCCACCTGATCAGCAGATGCTCCATACGCCAACATTCGTATAACAGCTGTAAGCTTTTGCTCCGGAAGAAGGCCCAAAACCCCAGTAGCATCACACTTTTGAACAAAGTATGCATCATAATTGCAAATATCATGCATGACTTTATTGAACAAATGAGGTTGCATTCTAAATCGCCTTCGAAAATCAACATCAGAGTACAAAGCAGTTGGGATAAAATAATCTTCCAAAAGATTCTTACCCCGAGAATGCCTATGTCTGTCCACATTCCGGCGACGGCCGACTTGTGAACCACGGCGGCGACCTTGGTTCTCTTCCTCTTCCATTGCCACTGCTATGAGAACTTGTTCATCGACTTGCCTCTGCAACTCATTGATTTCATCGGCTCTACGGTTTCTCTCCTTTCTTTCTCTCTCTTGCCTCTCCAAGCATCTCCTATATTCTTCCATTGAGAATGAATGGAGTATGAATTCTAAACTCTAAGAAATGAAAATATTGAAAGATGTGGTGTGAGAGGTATGAGGTGAGCCTCTGGTTTTATAGAAAAATTTGGCAAGATAGAGATGCCACGTGGCTTGATTTGATTGGATGAAAATCTTATCTGAAATTTGAAATTCATCCGAAATTTGAACCCAAATTTATCTTAATTTTGAATTTTGAAATTCATCCGAAATTTGAACCCAAAAATTTATCTGAAATTTGAATTTTGAAATTCATCCGAAATTTGAACCCAAAAATCTTATCCCGAAATTTTATCCGATTATGAATAGTGTTGACACGTAGGAACCCGTAAATCTTATCCGAAAATATTATCCAAATTACTTATTGAGGTAAAAAAAGTTGTGAATAAAACAAAAAAATGAATAGTAACTGCCCTTAGCAAGGGCAACGGGTGGAAACACAAAATTATTTGCAAACCACTATTCACGTGAATAGTGGCTGCCCTAGGTCCCCCCCTTGCCATGGCTAAGGGCAAATGGGTGGAGTTGCTCTAAATTGTAGGGTTTCCGGGAGTTTGAGTATGTACTCGTAAATATCTCTAAAATTGGGTATGAACTTGAAAATGACTTTATAATTTAGGGGGTTTTATGTAGTTTTTCCAAAAATTTATATACCAACGTCATCTTTCACCTATTGTGGCTGTTAGTTTCGCTTGCAGCTAAAGGAGAAAGGGAACAATGGATACTGTAATAGAATTTTATTTGGTGTTGTCAATAATTGTAGCTGTGCGTGCATACAACACTAATGCCAATTATTTGAAGACGTACGTCATATGCATCATTACTTTTTCGGGGAAATTGTTGCCATGCCTCTTAGTCATGGTATCTGTAATTATTTTCTTGAGCTTGCACGTCAAAGTTTGTGGAAAAAGTTTTAAAAGGATTACATACACCATCTACAGAAGGAAGATAAATTAGTGCATGCAGGGAGTTTCACTCATAACTTCTTATTTTTGCATAAATATTGATTCTATGAGATCAATATACAATTTTTGTGTTGTCTTCTAGAAGCTTATTTGCTTGGAAACAGTAAAACTTGTGTGCCAAAACATGAGAAGCTAGAATATGAGAATATGAGAAGATAATTTTCTGGATTTCAACTTCATTGATTGTTTTGTAATACATACAGCAGGATATATACAAGGAGAGAGCTTGCTATTCAAGCTTTACATTCATTACAAGCAGCTATACATTAATTACAACTGGTGGCCTTGTCTCCTAATCCTGGAGATTCAGCTGTACCTCATAGCTTCACTAACAGCCACCTAGAGCAGCCAACCTCATTAATGTCACCAACTACCAAACAATAGCCTACTAGCTACCAATGTCAAGCCAATATTTCCTGCTTTCAGACTTCCAACATTTATTGCTTTCACACACAAGCTAACACTCCCCCTCAAGTTGGTGCATAGATGTCATCAATGACCAACTTGCCAAGAAAGAGACTGTCGTTATTAATATTTCCGCATTGAGCTTCTTCTTAATAGAATGTCGATCCATTTCAACACTTTGTACTAGCTTCCTTTCTGCAACATGCCACCAAGGGGTCTGTCGTTATTTTATTTTATTTTTCCTTAACTAGAAACCCTACTCTAGCATTCCTTCCTTCTCTTTTCCTTCCCCTATCCCACCAGCCTCATCTATGACATTCAATATTTGTTTTTCCAGTTGAAAGCACTTGGAGCAGAGGGGACGATAAGAGAGCTGATCCAGTATTTGGACGTGGCAGAGAATATATTTTGTCGTAATAACATTTATCTGGGAACACTTATTTATAATTATTTGGGCCTAAAAATTCCACACACCAGCCCAATTAAACACTAGTCCATATCAAAAGAACGGAAGTATGGGCCTTATCTCCAGAAATCAGCCCAAGCGACTTTAGAAGCCTAGAGTTTTTGTAAAGACAATTGGCAGAGGATTAAAAACACAAAATTACAATTAAGATTGCCATTTAATGGCAACTTAATACCAAGCAGATCAAAACCTCCAAAATTGAATTAAGCCCAACTTTTAACAAACTCTCACCATCTAATCACAAATCCAAAGACAAGACAGTAGATTTTTGCTTAAAAAAATCTTTTTCTTAAAGGACTCACGTGACCTTCTGACTTTGAGAAAGCCAAAAATTTCAACTGAAGACAGAGGAAGTGATAGGGAGTTAATGAAAATTGGTTAACCAAGATAGCACTCTCTCCATAAACCATTCAAAAATGCCAAAAAAGAGGGGCGGCCAAGTCCCAAGTTTTTCTTTCTAGACTCATGGCAGGGCACATTTTTTGAGAAAAAGCATGAATGTAAGAGAGTTGTTCACCAAAAGTCAGGTAGAGGGCAGGAGAGTTGGTTTTTTCTAGAAAAAGCAAGTAGACCATCATAAGAACTGACTATTGATAGGTTCTTTTTGCCAGATTAAAATAAAACTCCCTGTGCAAAATAGAAAATCTTTGTTTAAAATATCTGCTTTCAGACATTGAGAAAAAACCTCATTCAAATTCTCTATAAATATGAGAGGAGGTGAACAGATCAAAGACATCAAAGACAGACAAAAAATAATCAAAACAAAAACTCTCAAAGTCATAACTGACAAATTCAAAACGATCAATTGATCTCAAAAGCCTTCAGATACTGAAGCAACCAAAACTCTTTGATCCACAAGAAATGGGTCAGCCAAAATTCAAGTCTCTGATTTCAGTTCAATTCAGAGAAATAGTTTTACAAAGCGAGATTTCTCTCGTTACAAATTTGGTTCAGCACATGCCAAGTCATGCAAAATCCAAGTTTTTACAATATGAAAACCTCAATAAATTTATAAAGAGGTCTTGATCAAGCAGAGCAGGTACCATAACACAACTCCAGCTCAACAATCATCAATCCAGCCACTTCTGACCCAGTCCATATTTAAGAAGCCCAATTCTTACCATCCAACAAGCCTTCCAAGGCTTGAAACATATTGAAGCTTTGTCAAATTCAAACTTTGGCATTGATTTCCAACTGAAACCTATCAGTTAAAGGTGTTGACGATCCAGTCCAGCATAAACACATCCAATCCAGGCCAGTTCAGAGGCAGCTACCCAGGCAGAAGTTGAAGCCCATACGTTTTGTTGTCTTTTTAAGCTTGGCAGTTCTCTTTTCAGTTATGTAATAAGTAGTTTTGCTTGAACAATCTGCTCTCTTTTAAATATTTTTTCTGGCCAGAACTACTAGTTTTTGTACTGTAAAAAATTGTGAAGTCCTCACTAGTCTGAGGCAAGAAAAGAACTTACTTTGGAGATATTCCTCACCAATATTCACAATTGCTTGATTAGAATCAATACTTGGGGTGCAAGTTATCTATTTTTTGGAAGTCTGCTAGGGTTTTTATTGCTAGCAGTGGCACGCTTATACACAAAAGAAAGTTGACTTGTTTTTTACCAACAATGGTTTTCAAGCAAATGGGGAACTTTACCCTAGCATCATAGGATTAGATAAAAAGCAGGTGAACATTTTTCCCACATAATCAACCAGCAACACATCTGCCTGAGTAGCCAGCTGTATTGCCCTACAGACCTAGAAGGATGGATCCCAATCCATTCCCTCCACTACTGAGAGGCAGAGGAGGGATCAACATTTTCCCAACCATGATAGAAACATGCTAGCGGCAAACTAGAGAAACCATCTAGACTTCGAGGAAGAAGAACAACACAGGGAAGAGGTCGCACCTAGGCCATATACGATGGAACAAAGGGTAGAATACAATTAGCCAGAACAAGGGAGAGACTTACCTCCCATTAATGCCTTAAATGATGTGGGGGCACTACAGAGAATGATCAGAGAAATGATGAATTCTAAGGCTAGAAGAGGGGAAAGGCATACTTACAGGAAGCCATACGCAGCTTGCATTGATCAAATGCCTTTACACCCTAGTTTTAAAGTACCAAATTTTGCTTTGTTCAATGGTGAGGACACCCATGCATCATCAATCGAGCATATAGGCAAATTCTTTGTCCAATGCATAGCCATGGAAAATACCCACTTTCAAAACTTAGGCTCTTTGGAAATTCCTTGTCCGGACATGCTTTTACCTGTACACTAACTTACCAGCCAATTCTGTCCAAACTTGGGAACAGATGGAGAATGCCTTCCATGACTACTACTTTAGAATCTAGCCAGAAGTCACTATCAGTGACCTTGCTGCCCTCAAACAAAGTGAAGATGAACCTACCCAGGACTTCATAACTAGGAGTTTACCCGTTTTGTGTTTGTTCATGTGACGGTAGGATAAAGTTCCTCGTTGTTTTGAAAACCATTGACTGGTCAACAAGTCAACTTTCTTTAGTGTGCGAGCATGCCACTGCTAGCAATAACAATTCTAGCAGACTTCTTAAAATAGATAACTTTCTAAACAAGTGATTGTGAATTTGGGTGAGGAATATCTCCCAAGTAAGTTCTTTTCCTGCCTCAGATTGGTGAGAACTTCACAATTTATCTCAGTACAAAATTGTTGGTGCTGGCCAGAATAATTGATATTAAAGTGGACTGTTTTAGGCAGAACTGCCTTTTACAAAACTAGAAAGAAAAGAAAATCAAGAAAGACAAAAAGAAAGCTAGCATTCCATTTTTGCCTGGATAGAAGTCTTTGATCCGGGCTGGACTACGTATGTCTGTGCTGAACTGAAACTGTCAACAACTTCAACTGCTAAGCTTCAACTGTAAATCGATATCAAAGTTTGAGTTTGACAGAGCTTTAATCTATTTTAAGCCCTGCAAGGCTTTTTGAACAGGCAGAACTGCAACTTCTTTGGTCTGAACAGGGCAGAAGTGGCTGGACTTGAGGATTACTGAGCCGGAACTACACTATGGTACCCGTTCTGCTTGGTCAGGGCTCTCCATAAATTTGTTGAGGTTTTCATATTTGTGAAAACTCAAACTCTGCTTGTTTTGGCTTTTGCTGAACCAAATTTGTAACAAGAGGGATCTCGTTTTGAATGACTTATTTTCTTAGTCTAAACTTGAAAGTTCTGATTTATAGCTGGCTTCTTCTGTGGCTTGAATGGGCTTTTGGTTGCTTCAGTTTGCTTTAGGGTTCTCAAGTGATCATTTTAAGTTCTTATCTTGGGTTGATTTTTTGGTTGTTTTTTTTTATTGATTGTCCGTTGCTTTGTTCACCCTCTCTTATATTTATAAGAAATGTTTTTTTTGGAGTAGGGTAATTCTTTTAAAAATGGGCGGCAAAATTCTCAAAAGATCTCTCATTTTTAAGTGCAAAGAAAAAGGGATTTTATCAATTCTGGCGGATAAGCTCTCAATAGTCAGTTCTTAAGACAATCATTTCTCTGTTTTTTGAAAGAGAACCTAACCCCTTTTTAATTCCAACTGCCCCCTGTGAGAGCTCAAACCGTGATGGTTAGTTTGATTTTCCAGTTTGAACAACTCTTTGTTCTCTTGCTTATCTCTTTTTGAGAACATAGCCTGCGTATCCCTTGAAAGATGGTGCCTTCTTTGGAGTAGAAACATTATCTCTAAATATATAAAAGGGATTTGATCTTCTGGTGGCAGAGATTCAGAGATGTCCCCTTTTTTTTGCTTGCGTTTGTTAACTTTTATCAACTCAGTTGAAAATATTGACTTTTTCAATTTCATATAGTCTTGTGGGTCTTCCTCTGTTTTTTTCAGTTTCCTTTTAATCATATCAGGCCCAGTCTGAATTTACGAGGCCATGTGCTGATTTCTCTTTTTATTCTTTCGAGGCCCATGTTTTGTTGTTATGTCTTGATAGATCCTAGGCTGGGTCTTCTTGGATTTTGGGCCTTTGATTCCTGTTTATTTTCAGAGTCCAGATTTCTTGGGCCCTGTGTCTTGTCTTTGTTATTCTGGGTTCTATAGTGTTGGGCTGGGTGCGCAAGATTTTGGCCCAAACACTAGGTTTAGGAAGCTTAAAATGAAGTGCCAAATCCCTACGGAAGAAAGGCACTTCATCCAAATGTCTCAAATCGCCCTAAAAATTTATCTGAGGAAGAGATTCGATGGGATGCTATTCGAAGATCCTGGCAGAATTGGCGGACAAAGCCTCCAAATATGAGGAATTGCTTAGGGAAGAACAACAGAAGAGAAACTCTTCCAAATGCACATACTACAAGACACCATCTTTCTCAGTACATTTGGTCGAAGTAGAATCAGAAGAAGGTGCAGAAAGTTCGAAAGAAAGGGAGGTTGCAGTGGCAAAAATGACGAAATTAAAACATCCTATTAGCTGCAAGGCTTTGACAAAGCCGCCAAAGGATTAGAAGCCATCACCATTTACAGGAGGGTTTGTCCCAAACAAACTAGCGTAGAGCGTGGTCTATTCCTTCGATTTAACCAAAGTTGACTTTTTGTTTGATGAAATGCTTCTGCAGAAAGCAATAGAAACACCTCATAGGTTGCCCAAACCTGAGGAACTCAAGGGCAAGCAATATTGCAGATGGTACAACTCTTGGAACCACTCCACCAATAGTTTTGTTGTTTTCATAGACATCATACAAGAAGGGATAATGGTAGGAAGACTAAAGCTAGCTGAGAAACCTCCCTCAATAACAACATATCTGTTTCCCCAACCTCAAGTCAACATGGCCAACTTAAACTGGCCAAAACAGGAGAAATGCAAGCTGATAGTAGAAGTCAGCCCCAACATGGGTAGAAAAGTCACAAAAGAGGTAAATCGGAGGCCAAAGGCAACTATTTCTGCTGGGGTAGTTCTGTGCAGCAAGTGCAAATGCGAAAGTGAGTTGGGATAACTCTGTGTTAGTATGAAATTTGTATTGTCATTTCCTAGACTCTAGCATAGGTTGAAAATTAGTGTGTGAAGAATTGTTACTGGACGTTTTGGCACAACTCATTCAACCCTATACATCCAAGGCATGACTTGACCGATATGAGAAACTTGACTTCAGGTAAATCATGACATAATCATGCATTCATTATAGGATTCCTAGTTGGAGTTTTTTCACTCAAAGTATTTTTATCTTAATCTTATTTTTAATAGGATTAGATTTTATCTCTTGAGATTACTTTCCTAGTTGGACTCTATTTTGATTTAAGTTAAAATATTATTTTTCATCCTTGACTTGAAAAGCACATTTCATTGATACCTATTTGATCTCTTTGATAAAGATTGTTATCTTGAATAACAATCCTTGCATAAGTTGACGAATTATTTAGTATTAGTGGTCTCAATGGTTTTTGACGTTTTTCATTTGTGCCCATATTGATTCACAACAAATAGTCATAGTTGAATAGGTTTATTGGGTGTTCATATTGCATCAGGTTAGAAGTCTTAGTTGAATGGGTCTTATAGTTGCATTGGAAGTGTAGTGACGTGGGGTTTCTCTCCAGGTAGAGAAACTGGCTTTGAATAAAAAGGATTGTTGTTCCTTTTCATTAGTTGCTTTTCAACGCATGAGTTTTTGAATATATTGAATCTGTTTTTGTGAAAGCTGCGGTTCTTATTTTTCTTAGATAAATCATCAAGTGTTCCTTGTCTACTTGGTGATTTATCAATCCTTTCATCATTCATATTGCATTCATATGCATGTCGGTGACTCATGCGGTTGAGGGCACCAAGACCGTGGTGGCGGTTTTCCTCCGGTGAGCTTGAAGCAATTGTGGCCAGTATTGCGTTCAACATAAGGAGTGTCGAAGATCATCCCGTGACAAAAGTTGAGTTATGAAAAAGTCGGTAAACATTATATAGAATGCATCTAGGATAAGTGTGTGAGTACTTCTTGTAATTATCGTTCTATAGTGGATTTGTGTTGGACTAAGGAGTCCCATGGATTTTCCCCAAAGGTGGGGTTTTACCATGTTAAATAATTCTCTATGTGTTTCTTTATTTTACGTTCAGCATGTCTCAGGATTGATAAGCCATATCAATCCTGCTACTGAAGTTTATTTTTATTTATTTGATTATAATCTTAAATTGGCCTATTCACCCTCCTCTAGGCATTTTTAGTCATCCTACAGGTATTTTCACTCTAGATGAGCAAAAGCAGCCTACAGCAAGTGTCTTTGATAGAATTAGAATGCAATACCAATAGAGCTCGGTTCTGGCCCTATCTAGAGACACAGCTAGGCAGAAATCCTATCAAAGGCCTGCTCAATGCATCAGAAAGGTGACTGAGTAGCCAAAGAAGGAGATGCCGATTAAGATGCCCAGAAATGATAAACCTTTGGCAACTATCATAAAAGGCAGATGGTATTCTATTGGAAAGAACGGAAGGCCAACTTTGGAGCTAACCATAACCCCAAAGAGGTGAACCCATATATGATCAAGAGGATTGGACTGAAGAATACGAAGAGGAACATGTGGATTACGAACAATCTGCAGACGATCAGACTGGACTCCTCGAAACAGGTGAGCAAGAAGACTGGACATCGGAATATGTAGAAGAACAGATGGAATATGATGGAGAAATAGATGAAGAAACTCAGGCTTTCGGTGTAGAACTGGAAAGCTTATTACAAGGTGATTTGGGCATCAATATGGTGTTTATCCTGCCAGAGAAGTTTAGGACAGCAGAAGGACAAGAAAACACTATGGAAGGAGATGTCCTCTCCTAGAAGAGTTTCGAATACAGGTTGGCAAAGGTAGGAGAACTGCAAGAACAACAAAATACTGCTGTCAAAACAAGCAGAACAGTCATGGAAATTGTCCAAGAACAACAATGCTTTTCCAAACCTACCAAGGAAATGGCCAATCATCTCAGGCCATTGTTCATCACTGCAAACTTTAGGGGCATTCTTATCCCCAACATAATGGTAAATGGAGGTGTAGCCATCAATCTTTTGCCTCACAGGCTGTTGGTTAAAATAGGCAGAACAGAGAAAGATCTAATCCCAACACGCCTAACGGTCACCAAGACTCATGGAATACTGGACGTAGATGTCATAGTAGGAACCAAGAAGCTGAAGATTGCCTTTTTTTTTGTGGTGGACACTACTTCTACCATTTACAATGCACTGCTTGGCAGAGATTGGATCTACTAGAGTCTATGTGTTCCATCCACCCTACACCAACAGTTGGCCCTCTGGCATGAAGAGGGTTTCATGGTGATAGTGGAGGCCGACCCACGACCATTTCTGCCATTTGCATTATGTTTTGAGGCCAGGTATTATCACGATGACCTTGGTCCTTTCATTTTCTTTGGAATCAACCAGAATGGTCGCCCTCATGGTGTCACGGCCCAGAGGCTCATAGAAGAAGGTTTGGCCGGTTCTCTAGAGGATTGGAACAGACCTTTGGCACTAAACCTCCTAAGTTCCGATGTTTAGCTTAAACCAACAAGAAAAGGACCGAACCACAACAATCCAATCCATTACAAATAGGTTGTTGGTCTATCGGAAAGAAAGGAAGCTCTCTATGTAGAATCCATCCGTCAATATGGCAGAATTCATGCATAAAAGTACGGAAGAACAGGAACAAAGTTTACAAGAGGAAGAATTGAAGTTTGCATTGGCAGCATTGGATGACTCCTTACAAGAAGTAGAGGAGCCTTTACAGGAAATAAATTTGGGGACAGAAGAGGACCCAAGACCTACTTTCATCAATGAATTATTGGAAGAGTCATTGAAAGGTGAAATCATTACACTTCTACATGATTTCAAAGACTGTTTTGCAAGGAATTATCATGAAATGCCTGGACTGGATAGAGGATTGGTGGAGCACAAATTGCCAATAAAAGAAGGATACCTACCAGTCAAGCAGGCCAGAAGAAGAATGTCCACGGAGATAGAATTGAAAGTTAAAGAGGAAATAGAAAGACTGGTTAAAGCAGGTTTTATCAGGCCAACCATTTATGTTGATTGGTTGTCCAATATTGTACCTGTTCTTTAAAGAAAGACAGGGGCAGTCAGAATCTGGTGGATTATAGAAATCTAAACGAAGCATCTCCCAAAGATGAATACCCTATGCCTATGACAACATGGTGGTGGATGGAGCTGCTCATAACCAAATGCTATCATTCATGGATAGCAATGCAGGATACAATCAAATAATGGTGGTAGAAGAAGATATCCACAAGACGGCCTTCATATGTCTAGGGCATATAGGCGCTTTTGAATACATTGTAATGCCTTTTGATTTGAGAAATGCAGGAGCCACTTATAAAAGAGCAATGAATTCTGTTTTCCATGACCTAATAGGCCATTCTCTAGAGGTATACATAGATGATGTGGTTATTAAATCTCCAGAAAAAGGAAATCATGTATCCAATTTGAAGAAAGCATTCCTAAGAATGAGACAACACAAGTTAAAAATGAATCCCAATAAGTGCGTCTTGGGGTTTAAGCTGGCAACTTCTTAGGTTTCCTAGTCCACCAAAGAGGAATAGAAATCGACAAGAACAAAACAAAATCCATCATATAGAAGCTTTGTCACCTTGGAACAAGAAAGAACTACAAAGTCTCTTAGGGAAGATCAACTTTCTCAGAAGATTCATATCCAATTCTGCAGGGAAAATCCAGCCTTTCTTCTCCTTGTTAAGATTAAAGCAAGAACATGCATTTAAGTGGGAAGAAAAGAGTAGGCTTTTGAGGAAATCAAGCACTATCTCTCAAAATCGCCAGTTCTGTCCCCACCAAAAAGGGGCAGACCACTCAAATTATATGTTTCTGCATCAGAAGTGTCTATTGGAAGCCTTTTGGTTCAAGATAACAAGGAAGGGAAGGAACAGGCAGTCTACTTCCTGATAGAAGCAGAAAGAAAATATTCTGCAATTGAAAGGCTTTGTTTGGCTTTATACTTTACTGCTATAAAACTCAGACATTACATGCTACCCTTTACCATCTACATCATTGCCAAAACATATTTGATTAAATACATGCTGACAAGACCAATGTTGAGAGGAATAATTAGTAAATGGACTCTGGCCTATCAGAATTTGCTTTCAGATATGTTCCTCCATCAAAGGACAGACTGTTGCAGATTTCTTGGCAGATCATCCAGGGGAAGAGATTGAGAATATGGATTCCATGGACATGGCCAATGCAGATCTGCTGACCAAAGCTCACACCTATCTCAACAATCCTATTTATTCAGTCCATGTCACCCCCTAGAAGCTGTGCTTTGATGGATCTAAAACCGATTTAGCCTTTGGAGCATGAATTGTTAGAAGATCCACTAGGAATCAGACATTGTTATTCATGCTAGCTAGATTTTGAGTGCACCAACAACCGAGCAGAATGCGAAGCTTTGATCATAGGTCTTGAAATGATGGTAGAGCTAGGAATTCAGTCTGTGGAAATTCTAGGAGATTCCATGCTTGTACTAAAACAGATTACTGGAGAATACAAGTTTTTGAATCCCTCCTTAGCTGTCTATTTAGTGGCAGCCATAAATCTCCTGGCAGAATTTAGAGAAGCCACTTGGGAACATATTCCAAGGGAAGAAAACCTTGCAGCTAATGAGATGGCCCATATAGCAACAGGGGTATAGATGCTTGAAGACTGTGTACAAAGAATCATCAAGGTGGGAAAGAAGAGTCTACCATCTGTTCTGACCAGAGGAATGAAGATAGATGTCAATTCTACCATGATGAATGAGGAGGAATGAAGAAACAATGGAGAAGAATGGAGCAAAGGACTTGACTTGGAATAAAGGAAGAGGTCGCGTGCGTGCCTCCCCTACATTTAAATGGTGCACTTGTGAGAGGCTCGACTGTAGAAAGCACTACGTTGAATGAGGATACTTATGGCTATTAGTCATCAACCAAAATATTATAGGATTCAAATATCAATAGATGATCCTTCATTCCCAAAAAACTACTAATCTTTAGCAAAAATACAAACATGTATATTAGAAATACAAAAAACAAAAATTTGTATTTTTTTTATTTGACAATGGTCCGATGAAAATTAAGAAATGATGGTAGAATTCAATTTTGAACATATATCTGGCAATTTAATTTTCAAATATTCAATTATTTGCCTAGAGTTTGGTAACCAAAATAATTGAATTTTTCATCATGGACAATACCCTCTCCAGGCCGCCCCCCCACCCCACTCACATGATTGCACCATGGGAGGAAGAAATTCGCGAGTAGCCAAATGCAACTGGTCCGTTCATTGCAACGACTTAGACTTGTATTAAAGGAAGAATGGACAATTGGGCATCTGTTTCCTTTTCCACGCATCTGTCTTCACAAATGTGCAAGAATTTGCTATACAGATGTCTCTATATATTCCATAAATCAAATATGGATGGTCAATCCAGTCTCCACGACATATTTATTAGCAAGTTGTTGTACATTTTTAGGCCAATTTCTTCTGCATGTTGTTATAAGCAATACAAAATCTTTTAAGTGTCATTACCTTATCTACAATTTTGGGATTGGGGCAGGGACGACTATGCACCCCAATGGAACAAATAGTATACAGATCACGCACCTTATTCGACATATGACCTCTGGCCAGAGGACTAGAGGCACGCACATGATTAATAATGGTACGAAAAGCAGAAGAAACCCTAGAAACCTTCTCCTCAAACCGCAACTTATTCCTTAAATCCCAAATTAGCCACACAGTAGGTCCGAACATAAGAAGCCATAGATCCATAAGCTGAGGGCTAAAATGAGCAGATGGGCCGGAAGAAAGAATAACAGCTAGAGGCCCTGGAGTAAAGTGCAGACCAAAAAAAAATAAACATAGAACTCCATATGGAACAAGTAAAGGGGCACTCAGAAAATAAATGATTAATATTCTCTGGAGCCATCCTGCAAAATAAGCATATTGAAGCAAGGGAAATACCACGCTTTTGAAGAAGCCTGCCATGCATAACTTTCCACACTAAAAAGATTTCCAGGGCTCAATAAAAGGTTTCCAAATTAACTTACACCAAGGAACCTCGGCAAAGAGTATTGACTTGCAAATTAATGTTCTCAAGTTCGAACTCTCATGACACCTTATTAGTGTATGTGAGAAAAACTACTTCCATTGTAGTTTAGACTATTGCTTATACTAGAAAAAAAAATCTGTTGTTTCAAACTTGGTTAAATTAATTACCAAAAGATATGATATTGGGTTTACCAAATATTCCAAATGACCCACTCTACTGTGGTTTAGTCTTGTTTTAGTAATATAAATTGTTTCATATGGGGGAAGAGGATTGGTGGGTGCTAGCTAATTACAGTTTGAAATTGAGAGGTACAGACAGACAGGGTGCAGTTGTGAAGATAAATTGTCAAGCATTCTCCTGTATTGGGATTCTTGACATTTCCAAGTTTCTGGTTTAGAGCTTCTTGTCAAAGATTGGGCACTCTAATTTCTACTGATATGGAAAATGGAGATGACAAGACAATTCTTCTGCATAATTTAGAGCATTTTGAAATGTGTTGTTCCTTGTTTTGCATATACAATTTTTGCTTGTTGACTTCACTGAATCTGTGCTGATATGGAAAAGAAAATATGTGTCTTTCTTTTGGGTAAACTGCTGTAGTGTTTTGGCTATGTACATGGTTGACCACATTTTCTTGGATACCTCTTTTATTACAAAGATATTTGAATCCAATATGCAATGTTGAATGAATACCAGCCCCATTGAATCCATGGCAATAAACCTGCAGCAAATTCACATTTACATCATGATCAAAGATGAACTTCATATCAGAAAGAAATAATGCCCTCCTACTACATTGACCTTTGACTAAAAACCCTTACGGTCATATCCACCTCTGACCTCAGTCAAAGAGGTTTTCTCCTCTGTGGGAGTAATTGCAAGTATGAACCTGCTGCTAATATGAAAGGTTTCCACTCAGCTCTTCAGTCCAAACTAGCTGGTATAATAATACCACTTCATCTTAAATTAATTTAAATAGCTTAGATGGAAAATAAATAGATAAATAAATATATAATGTGGCATGCTTGGTGGGACCCTTGGAATTAGACTTTTAAGGGGTAGAGTGCAATTAATCAAACTTTTAGTTATTGCTCTGCAGTCTGCAATTCTTCATCAAATAAGGTCCAATGGATTTGGAAGGAGGGCAAGCAAACTTGATCCACTGATCACCACCACCACCTACAGCCTACAGGCTACATACATGCATGACTTGAGTCCACGTGGTCAAATTTACCTGGCCTCGCCACGTGATCTTTAGCTCAGTTCAGCTAGGTGTTTTCTTCCTTGTGTGAATAAAATACATTAAATTTGAATCAATTTGGAGGTTTAGTTTAACATATGCACATAAGGCATCACCTAATCCACAAAATTCCAAACCAAACCCTCTATGGAATGACAGCGCATTTGGATTGGAACTATGAAAAAAAAAGACCGACCAACATTTGGGAATATTCTAAACATAATTTAAGCTAACGAACCCTCTCCAACCAATTTTTTATTTCTTTATTCATAATTCTATGAAAATCTTTGGCGACTCCTCATTTTTTTAATATAAAATAATAATAAAAACTTTCTTTTTTTGGAGCACCAGATACGTAGTTAAGGTAGGTGGATTGGTTTATCTATGCAAATTCAGTTAAGGTATTTTTGCTTTGTTGGGCTTAGGCCGGTCATATATATATATATATATATGTATCTATCTATTTATCTATCTATCACGTGTGTATGATTTTAGCTTTTAGGCTAATAGCTCCCAAAAGGACCCAATAGGGTGGGAGGCCTGGCTGCCGTAATCAGCCATTGTTTGTCTCTTGGCTTGGCGAAAGCAGCGATGGAGCTCCCAAGAGATCATGGTTGTAGCCACAACACAACAGAACAAACCCTCCTATCATACTGATACCATAACAACAACTAAGACTAGTATATTATATAATAAGTCTACACACTCCACCATAAAATTAGTCTAAAATAAAATGGCATGCCTTCCTCTACATTGTCTAAATAAAAGACTGAAATTGAATCAAATCAAAGTGCATGAAATACATGTCATAGGATATGACCCATTAATTGAAGTGTTGCTAAATAAGAGGATGGTTTAACAGCACAACTCTTCCTGCAGCAGCTTCCTTCAAAAACTTTGTCTTGATTTTGTTGAGTGTGGCTACAACTTCTTTCATACTTATCCTCTCTTCTGGTAATTCTGCACAACAAGTAAGAGCTAATCTCATAATGGCTAATATGCAATCCCTCTTCCTCACATGATCATCATCTTCCTGCTCTGTCCCAATCCCAAGCAAGTTGGCATCCACAACTTCATCTATCTTTCCATCTGGTAATACTAGTGAGTTTGCAATCCATTGCTTTATATTCATTTCCCCATCAAACATCTCATCTGTTGGCTTCCTTCTTGTGAATGTTTCCATCACTACAATTCCGAAACTGTACACATCCCCTCTTGTTGAAACCATTCCTTCCAATCCATACTCTGCATTATGAATTATACTTATATATTCATGTGTGAATATATATATTAAATGAAAATTATGCATCATTAAGGACAGCATGTATAGAATTGAAAGATATTAAATTAGCAAGTACATCACCTGGAGCCATATACCCAATAGTGGCTAGAGTCATGGTTTTGGTAATAGAATCTCTTCCACCCAAGAGTTTTGAAATTCCAAAATCAGCAACATGTGCAACCATATCATCATCCAGTAGTATATTGCTTGGCTTCATATCACAGTGCACAATAGGTACTGAATAACCATGGTGTAGATATTCCAGTGCAGATGCAGCATCTATCATTACGTTCAACCTATGTAAGATATTCCAAGAATTTTGAGAGTACAACCACTTCTCAAGGCTCCCATTAGGCATGTATTTGAGTACCAAGGCTTTGAAATCAACTTCACTGCAACAGCTGATGATTTTGATAAGGTTTCGATGACGAATATTGCTTAGCATTTCACATTCCCTATCAAAACTCTTGAAAGCCCCTTCTAGTTGTAAACTAAAAACCTTTACTGCAACATCTATTCCATCTGAAAGTGTCCCTTTATATACTGAACCAAAACCCCCCTTTCCAAGTAGGTTGTTTTCATTAAATCCATTTGTGCCCCTTAGAAGTTCTAGATGTGAAACTCTTCTCCAAAGAAGTTGAGGCAACGAGGTAGCCTCTCTTGCAACTTCCACATTCCTTTTCCTGCGTAGTACAAAGATAGATATAAAGGCCACAAAGAGAATTACTGATATGATCAATGGGATGATATATTTAGCTTTCCTCCAATTTGGTTCAAGTGTATCATTTTGCATGGTGGAACCTGAAGTCGGAATGCACCACAAAGTGCTTTGTTTGAGACAAATGATTGAGCGGAGAAGTGTTGGAAGGGTCCACCAGTTGGAATTTCTCCTTGGAGCCTATTGAAAGACAAATCCATATACTTGAGAAGTGACAGAGCTTCTAACGACTTGGGAATCACTCCAGACAGATTGTTTCTAGATAAATCCAATTGTTCCAGGCTTAGCAAGTCATCAAATGCACTTGGAATAGGGCCTTCCAAATTATTATTTGCCAAGGAGAGATAAGCCAAATTCTGAAGACCCCCAATTGTGCTTGGTATAATACTAGATAAATGGTTATTTGATAAATCTACCTCTAAGACAACTTTCAAGTTTCCAATATCTTGTGAGAGAGGTCCAATTAGAGAATTGGATGATAAGTTTACATGCAAGATATAGGCAAGTCTCCAAAAAGTAGATGGTATTGTGGAACTCAACGAATTGGACTCCAGTGATAGATTTCTTAGAGACGTGGTTAGATTTCCCAAGCAAGAAGGTATAGTTCCAGAGAGCTTATTACTACCCAAATATAAGTAAGCTAGGTTATCTAATTGACAAAGTTGGTAGGGGATGTACGACCCTCGCAACTTGTTATCATTCAAGAACAAAGCTTGGAGATTCCCTAGTCTTCCCAATGAAGTTGGAATTGATCCACTCAATTGATTGTATCCCAGATCTAAGTTTATCAAGCTGCTCAAGTTGCCAATACCAATGGGAATGTTACCCCTCATGTTGCAATTGTATAAATAAATATATTGAAGCGGTGATGTAGAGCAATTCCAAAAGGAATCATCAAGTCTGGCATTAAACGGATTAGCGGCCATGGATATTCTTGTCAAATTTCCAAGATTAGCCAAACAAGAGAGAGTGTTTGCTTCTGGAGTTGAAGTATCAATCGTCAAATTATTATTGGGTAACCTAAGCGACTGAAGGTTTGTTAAGGCACATAGCGTGCTTGGAAGAAACCCTGTAAATGAGTTGTGGCCCAAATCTATCCTCGTGAGCATAGAAGCATTGGAGAGGTTGGGGATTACTCCACTGAGGTCATTTGCTGCTATATAAAGGTGTTGTAGGTTTGGAAGCCCAAGGCCTATGTTTGCTGGGAGGCTACCCGATAGCTGATTGAAAGAAAGCGACATTTCTCTTATTGTGGAGATATTGAAGATTGAGGATGGGATGGGGCCATTGAGATTGTTACCTACTAATGACAAAATCTCTAAATTTGGAAGATCACCGATCTTGTCTGGTATAGTGCCTGCCACAATTTCACAAACGTTATAGCATTAGCACTAGTTGAAAAGAATATCGACTTGGATAGAAACAGCAATTCAATCTATTTTATTCTATCGTGGCCATTCAGATTATTACCAACAACTGCAAAAGACTCTAAATCTTAAAGATCACCCATCTCATCTGGTATAGTTCTTGCCACAATTACACAACCGTTGCATGTTTAACTTTATATGGATTTATGTAATCTAATCTAACGCTATCTACTCGTTCATGAACTTTAGTATAAAATGTCACATTCATAATATTAATTAATACAACAACTTTTACACGGAATTCTCTAAAAAGTTTTGTGTTTGAAACAAATTAAGAAGCCATAATTTGGGGATGAAAATATATGGTTTACAAAATGTCATAGCAAAACTCGTTTTTGTTTGCATATTGACTTAGACAGAACATTTAATAGGCAAGTCAATATGTTATATTCATGATTGTAAACCTTGCTATTCAATTTTGATGAATTTTCCAGCGATTTTGACAAAAAAAATTGTTATATTCATGAGTAACTATCTCCCTCATTTACAATATCAAATAGTTAAATAACGATAAATTATGCAACCAAAATAAAAAAGATAAATCATAATTGGATCGACATAATGAAATATCAATTACCCGTCAAAGTGTTGTAGTTAAGGAATATCTCCTTCATCATTGTTGAGTTCCCAATATTTTTGGTATGCTTCCACTGAAATTGTTTTCCCCCAGTGATAGTGTAAGAAGCTTTGTGCATTGCCATATATTGTCTGGAAGACCACCACTCAAGCTGTTTCTAAATAGAGTCAACGTAGTCAAAGAAGACATGTTGAAAATAGCCACAGGAATAGGGCCTTTTAGGGAATTGAATTGCACATACAACTTCTCCAGCTGATGTAAAAAGCTGATCTCTTCTGGAATTTCTGAAAAATCATTAAGATATATGCTTTAAACTCATGATTTATGCACATATAATGCACTGCAACAAAAACCGAGTCATATATACCGGATCACATCATGGCAAGGTAATGCAACAAACATACCGTTGAATTTGTTGGAGTCAAGGCGTATCGCCTTCAACATTGTTAAGTTCCCTATTTCTCTGGGTATCGCACCTGTTTATGCCAAATAAAGACTCAGAATACATGTATATAAATGAAATTAGAAAAAACACCACACTATATAATTTATAGAAAAGTTGTAAGATTGGCTATTTTGGAGGAAATTTTGGAGGGAAAAAAAAATCTCAAATAGTCACTTGGTCACTTTCTAATTGGTTTATTAGTATGTTACAATTTTTTCACTTGAAGGTACAATAAGGAATTTTTCTATAGTATTAGATTTGAAGTGTGTTTTTTATATTTATAAAAATCAAGTTATAATGGGCCTCCATGTGAAAAAGGTCATAAATATTCCCTATTATTTACAATCTTTCATCTATGTCTTTATCCCCCGACGCCCAACCAGTTTTATCATTTGTAGCTTACAACATGTACTCACTAGTTTCATAATGTAAGTTTTATAAAAACTTTCTGAGTATATAAAAAAAAACAAAAAACTCCCCAACATTATAGACTCAACCGTTCTTAAAATTAAAAACCAAATACATAATCTATTCAAGTGAGAGTTTTTGAGTATTGGATGACTTGCAAGTAAGAAAAAATTAGCATAATTTTCTAAAGAAAATAGAACACATCAGGCTTATAGATTAATAACAAGATGTTAAAGCATAATGATAGATCACCAATAGAGTCTAGATAAATGGTTGACACATATGTACCTGATAGTTTGTTAGCCCCTAGATCAAGTAATTGCAATGTTGATAAGTTGAAAATAGTCGTGGGTATGGAACCTGAAAACTGATTGCCATACAAAGAAAAGTTTTGAAGTTTGGGGAAGGACCCAAACCACGATGGAATGGATCCCATAAAATTGTTGTATCCGAAGTTAATAAACTTCAGGCGATGCAAATAGGACAATTCCCTGGGCAAGGTGCCATGAAAGCTATTGTTTCTTAAGTCCAGCTCCACAAGAAATGAGAGGTTGCCGAGGGGTGGAGGAATGGTGCCGGAAAGTCCCATGTAAGAGAGGTTCAAGACTGAAACTCTGAGGTGGCGAGTGCCACAAGTAACTCCAACCCAATTGCAAACGGAGGTGGTGGTTGACCAGTTGACCAAGATGTTGTGAGGGTCACTAGGGATATGAGATTTGAGAGCAAGAAGAGCAGACTGGTCCGTGGTGATGTTGGTTTGTGCTGCACCTGCTGTGCCTATAGAACTGTACTGCAGCCGCAGCACCAGCAAGAAGGTGATTGACAAGAGGAAACAACTTCTCTCCATGACCATGAGCACCGAAAACAGAGAAATTCCTTCCAACTTCAAATTGTTTTTTGTTTGTTTTTTCCTTTCCGATTTAGAACTTGAAAATCATTGAATAATTTGTTGCACTGTCAATATATGAAGGCAGAACAAGTTGCCAAAGAGTGGAGCACATGATTGCACCCTCGGGCAAGAAATTCGCAACAAGCCAAATGCAATGACTTAAGACGGTAGACCGTAGACTTGTAATGAAGGAAGAATGGACAATTGGGCATTTGTTTCCACTAAGGCATTTGTTGTCAACTTGAAATCATTGACTATTGCTTATATTCTCTATTGAAAAAGACATGGTAGAAAAACAACTACGTAAAGTTAATGGATACTCTTGCATCCAAAAAAATGCAAGACAAGTGATATTTAAGTTTGCATTTTATAAAGTTGTTATGTAAATTACATTTTATTTGGTTCTTTTTAGGTTACAATTGTGACTTTGAGTTCTTATAATTTTTTGAGCTTGGTTAAATTAATTACCAGAAGCTATGATATTGGGTTTACCTAATATTCCAAATGACACACTCTACTTGTTGAGATTTGGATTTGGATTATCAAGGGAGCTCAAGATTTTTGATAGAGTGAGAGAGGTAGCTAGGAGAAAACAGAATTTTGGAAATGTTCTCTGGTGTGTTCTGCAGAACCATTGCAGAGATCACGCCTTTTGTATTCATTCTAACTCTCTCATTTACATTAGCCAATCATTGCCATTGTGAATGTGACACATGGCAGTACAAGGCCTAAGAGCCGTTGAAAACTGGCTGACTGCTTTACACCTTAGACTTGGCATATGAGCTCAAGTCACTTAACTAACATAATGCTTAATGAAGCTAACAGTAAAAAAACAGACCAAGTAAATTACTAACTAACAAGAAATTAGCTAGTCAATTTACATTTCAACACTACTGTGGTTTAGTCTTGTTTTAGTAATATAAATTGTTTCGGGTGGGGGAAGAGGATTGGTGGGTGCTAGCTAATTACAGTTTGAAACTGAGAGGGACAGACAGACAGAGGGTGCAGTTGTCAAGCACTCTCCTGTATTGGGCTTCTTGACATTTCCAAGTTATTGGTTTAGAGCTTCTTGTCAAAGATTGGGCACTCTAATTCTACTGATATGGAAAATGGAGATGACAAGACAATTCTTCTGCATAATTTAGAGCATTTTGAAATGTGTTGTTCCTTGTTTTGCATATACAATTTTTGCTTGTTGACTTCACTGAATCTATGATGATATGGAAAAGAAAATGCGTGTCTCTTTCTTTTGGGTGTTTCTTTCTTGGATACCTCTTATTAAAAAGATATTTGAATCCAATACGCAAGTTGAATTTTAGACATTTGAATGAATACCAGCCCCATTGAATCCATTGCTATAAACCTGCAGCAAATTCGCATTTACATCATGATCAAAGATGAACTTCATATCAAAAAGAAATAATGCCCTCCCACTACATTGACCTCTGACTCAGTCAAAGAGGTTTCCACTCAGCACTTCAGTCCAAACCATCTGGTATAATAACACCAGTCCATTTTAAATTCATTTAAATAGCATAGATGGAAAATAAATAGATAAATTAATATATATTGTGTCATGCTTGGTGGGACCCTTGGAATTAGACTTTTAAGGGGTAGAGTGCAATTAATCAAACTTTTAGTTATTGCTCTGCAGTCTGCAATTCTGCATCAAATAAAGTCCAATGGATTTGGAAGGAGGGCAAGCAAACTTGATCCACTGATCACCACCACCACCTACAGGCCACATACATGCATGACTTGAGTCCACGTGGTCAAATTGACTTGAGTCCACATACATGCATGACTTGTGAGATGCAAATTTAGATGCATATGTGCATTCTTTTTTATATCCCTTGTAGGTAGAGCCTACATGAAAAAAGTGGACAAAAGTTAGCAAAATCAATTATACATCTTTAGATTTACATCTACCCCATTGGACCAAGAACCACATTTACAACACTCGGAGGTGTAAAGGGGATGTAAAAAAGTAGCTTTACAACCCCGAAAATACACCCCTCCACCATAAAATTAGTCAAAAACAGAAATAAAACGACATGCCTTCCTCTACATTGGCTAAATTAAAGACTGAAATTGAATCAAATCAAAGTGCATGAAATACATGTCATAGGATAGGACCCATTAATTGAAGCGTTACTGAACAAGAGGACGGTTTAACAGCACACATCTTCCTGCAGCAGCGTCCTTCAAAAACTTTGTCTTTTGTTGAGTGTGGCTGCAACTTCTTTCATACTTATCCTCTCTTTTGGTGATTCTGCACAGCAAAAGCTAATCTCATAATGGCTGGTATGTGTATGGAATTTTTCTTTCGGAAGCTGTAAATGGGTCGGGCTGCCGTGAAAGGCAGATTGATGAAATTGTCCCCTTTGTCTGAGTTCGAAAATTAAGCCCAAAAAATGCTTCAAAAGGGCAGTAGAGCCTTAGGAAGTATTTTGGTTACCTTCACCAGCCAAAACGATAGCAACTTACAGGTAATTTATGCATGCTTACAGATAAACTTTTGAGCTTGGCATGAGAGGCATGTGGCATGGAAGCAAAATTAGCATGAGTTGAGCACCAAAAAGGAAATATGGCTTCCTAGGGAGAAAGAGGAATGTTTAAGGTGAGGAAGAAGAGGTTTGCAAGCATATGTGGCTAAGAAGAGGAAAAGAAAGAACTATATTCTTCCGGCAGCTTGCCAGAAGAAGAAAATGCGAAATGAGGGTGAATAGTGCACAAGGTTGCTGGGCTTTTGCAGGTAACAGAGAAAGCTTGCTCTCTAGGTGTGGGTTGTTTTTGTTAGGTAGAAAAGGCCTCATTTTTTAGGCGTTGGAAACCATCACTTCCCAAGAAACCCTAATGGCTTCTACCCATTTTGGCCAAGCTTTTCCCTTCCTTTCTCATCTCCTTCCTTGACTTTCGTTATCTTGGTAACATTTCCTCTGCCTATTTGCACAAAATCAGAGATATTTTGGAGCTCAAGGCTCCTTTCCTGCGGGTGTTTCAATGGGGGATTTCCATTCCCAGCCATCTTCTTCCTTTCTTTCCTCATCTTTTCTATGGCCAGGGTTTGATGGGAGAAGGAATTGGGGTATGTATGTTGGTTCGAAGAGTGCTTCTCTTCCTGGCAGCTTGCACGTTAATATCCTTTGGTTTTTCGGGTGTTTTGTGCTTGGAAATTGTTCATTCCCATGTGGCTTTTGTTTCTTTTAGAAAAAGGGTTGGATCCTTTTGCAGCTTCTTACCTCCAATTGTGTGGGCCTTTAAAGTAGCAAGTCAACCTTCCAAACAAATGGGCTATCTTCATCTAACATTGGGCTATATGGGTTAATTTGAGTGGATCATTTTGGTTGGGCTATTTTGGTTGGACTATTTTCCCATGTTGTGCTCACCCATATGTTTGGGCCTAAGAGATAGGCTTGGGTTCCGAGGCTCCCAAGCAACTCGGAACGTCCACTTCTCGGTCCATCAATGGGCCTCATGACAATTTATTACCATCCATACCACAACCCACTCAAGCAAGCCCCGGGCATTCGAGTGGCTTGGGCCCACTTAGGCTTGTAGCGTGGTTGGATGTGTAATAATGATTTCCTGCTTGGCATAACATGTCTCTTGGCATGGCATATCGCTTGGCATGCTTTTAATTATTATGCTTGACGGGATAATTAGCATGGATTTGCAAAGATAATGCATTTTATAATCTTAATCTCGATTCCTAGCATGACGGATTATTTATTTTGCATGGCGCGTGGAGTGTGACTCGTGCATGGCGGACTTTTGTGTGCTCCAAGTCGGGTTTTTTCTCAATAAGGTATTGCGCTGGGCCTAGAATTCATTTGGGCCAAGCCGTGGATTTTTTGGGCCTCAACAATATGCAATCCCTCTTCCTCACATGATCATCATCTTCCTGCTCTGTCCCAAGCAAATTGGCATCCATAACTTCATCTATCATTCCATCTGGTAATACTAGTGAGTCTGCAATTCATTGCTTTAAATTCATGTCCCCAATAAAAATCTCATATGTTGGCTTCCTTTTGTGAATGTTTCCATGAGCACAATACCAAAACTATACACATCCCCTCTTGTTGAAACTATTCCTTCCATTCCATACTCAGCAATATGAATTATATTTGAGTTGTACTTATATATCCAAATGATATTTGATGAAAAGACCATTTTAAGTTATGTTGTTCGTAACTGAAAGATATTAAATTAGCAAGTACATACCTGGAGCCATATACCCAACTGTGGCTAGGGTAATGGTTTGGGTAATAGAATCTCCTCCACCCAAGAGTTGTGCAATTCCAAAATCAGCAACGTGTGTGCAACCATATCATCATCTAGTAGTATATTGTTGGGCTTCATATCACAGTGCACAATAGGTATTGAATAACCGTGGTGTAGGTATTCCACTGCCGCCACAATGTCTGTCATTATGTTCATCCTTTGTAAGATACTCAAAGAATAGTCTTGAGAGTATAACCACTTCTCGAGGCTCCCATTTGGCATGTAATTCAATACCAAGGCTTTGAAATCAAGTTCACTGCAACAGCTAACGATTTTGATAAGGTTTCTATGAAGACTATTGCTTAGGATTTCACATTCCCTATCAAAACTCTTGCAAGCCCCTTCTAGATTTAAACTGAAAACCTTTACTGCCATATCTATTCCATCTGAAAGCGTCACTTTATATACTAAACCAAAACCCCCACTTCCAAGTAAGTTGTTTTCCTTTCCAACTAGCCTCATATGTGACATTCAATTTTTTCTTTTCTAGTTGAAAGCGCTTGGGTCCCATTTGGTTCATGGGAAAGAAGGCTGGAAATCAATTGATTTCCCATGTTTGGTAAGTCCAGGCATGGGAAATGATTGCCTGGCACATGGGAAAGTAAGGGGGAAAGTGAAGCCTTCCTCCCAACTTGGGTTTTGTTTTCCCTCTTCATAGGAAAGTTTGGGAAAATGAGCCAATATTCAATGCACATTTTTCATGACCATTTTGTCCTCATTAACAATTTAGAATTACAAAATATCATTAAATGCACTTTTTTTTATTTGATTTAATATGGGTATAATTGGAAAATTATACAAAGTTTATTTTCCATTCCTACTCAAAACAAACATGGGAAAGGAAATAAAGTGAAATCTCCCGGTTACTTTCCCAACATTACCAAACGTGATAAAGGAATCTTTCATTTCTCATTCCTTAGGAAATGACATGGGAAATAATTTCCTCTCAAATCCGTTCCGTGAACCAAATAGGGCCTTGGAGCAGAGGGGATGATAAGAGAGCTGATCCAATATTTGGATGTGGCAGAGAATATATTTTGTCGTAATAACATTCATTTGGGAACACCTATTTATAATATGGTGCTGCATTAACTTGTTGAGGCTAAGGAAGTAGGTGTTTTCATCACCATTGGTTTTCCTTTCATTTGCAACTTCATGATATGTGAAATATTGGACTAGTGTTCATCTACTTTTCTGTTTCTGATTAAATGCAAAGTCAAATGGCAATTAAGATATTTAAAAATAGGCTTATTTATGTATATGCCCCCTGTGCTTCCAAACTTGTCTCAGATTACCACATGTGCTTGGAAACGTCTCAAAACCCCCCCCCCCCCCCCCCCCCCCCCCCCCTTTTAAAAATGGTCACATGTTACCCGGTTTGTCAGTATTATAGATGTTCCGTTACGTACTTTGGGCTCCACTTCGTTTCAATCTTTAACCTTTGGGAATAAGGGTTTTTCAGTTTTAAGAAAAGGGGAAATTGGGAGAAGAGGGCTTAGGGTTTAGAAAATCTGAGGTGGGATTTGAATTTTGGGAGAATCTGGAGAAGAAATTAGGGGTTTGTAAAACTCTGAGGTGGAGTTTGAAATTGGGAGATTCTGGAATAGAAGATTAGGGTTAATGGATCTGTGAGTGGAGTCGGATTTGGGAAAGAGAGAAGGGGTTCGCACGGTTTGGGAGAAAAGGGGGAAGGGGGATTTCAGATTTGGAGGTTTAGCTGGTTCTTCTCTGTGTGAATACTGACTGAATTGAATAAGAGATAGAAACAGGAGAATCAAGGCATGCCCAATGGTGTCACTGTGGGAAGTTAGAACGGATGCAGACTTCTTGGACGACTTCGAACCTAGGGCGGAGATTTCTAGTCTGCCCAAAGTCAAAGGTAAGAATGTTTAAGATCAAATTTTCAGTCATTGTTTTGGGCATCACAAATTGATAGAGTTCTTATTGATGAAATTTTCAGTCCTTGATCAAATTGAGCACATTTTCAGTCATTGTTCTTGGTTGATATAGGGAAGTAGAGAAAAAGGATGTAGGTTTTTTCAGTGGTTTGATGCAAAAATGTGTGAGCATTCTAAGTCTTTGATACCTGGTTTGCTGAGGAAGATTGATAGGGTGGAGAAGGAAAATGCAAAGATTGGAGCAAAGTCAAAAATATTGTGGGTTGCTATGTTGCTTTCCTGGTTGGTGGTGTTTGCCACGAAGATGAATTAGGAGGAATTAGGAGGAATTAAGAGTAATATGTTTTGTAATTTGGTGGGTGTAATGTGATTGAGAAGCAGTAGTTCAGTGGGCAATGTAATTTGAGAACAAATGCTAATGTAATGTAAGGTAATGTGGCAGTAGTTAAGTTGGTGTAATGTAATGTAATTTGGTAGGAAAACAATGTAATTTGTTTTGAGTTTTATCAGTAAGCATTAGTTCATTGTAATTTGTTTAGTGTTTAGAGTTTTCTTTGATCTGTGATATGAATGGAAATGTGTTTAGAGGTTACAAATTGTGACATACTAATAAGCATCATACCAAAAAGAGGTTGCAACAATATCTTGTGCATTGGATACCAAAATCAGGATACAAAAACAAGTTACTCATAAGCATATCTTGTTAATGCCATAACATCTCAATACCTTATCAATATAAGCACAAACCAAAACAGGTTCCAACCATCACATTACATATCAAATGGTCAATTACATCTAAGTACCTGACTCAAAAACCTAAACAGACATGAAAGCCTAATAAAACCAACCATCATAGACATCAATAATCCCACAAACCAACAACCCAATTGCAACCATTTCTAGACCATTAAAGTTATATAATTGCAAAATCTATAATTCCACAACATTCAAACCATTCAAAAAGAGTTTATCCTAATTCAAAAACAGGTTGCAAAAGTTTAACATCATCACATCTAAGGATGAAAAAAAGGATATTTGACAAAATGGCTCCTCTATTAATCTTTCATCCTCCTCTTATGTTGTTGTTCTCGAGGTAGTTTGGCAGATTGAGATGAATGACATGTTTGAGAAGCCTGAGTTGCTTGAGATGGTTGGGATTGAGAGCTGCTTGAGATGGTTGGGATTGAGAAGCATGAGCTGCTTGAGATGGTTGGGAGTGAGAAGCTTGGGCTACTTCAGATGTCTGGGATTGAGAAGGCCCTTGGGAACCACTTGCTTGTTTTCTTTGCCTTAATTGCATACTCTGTTGTTCGCTACATTGGTCTCCACCATCTCTCCTTCTTACCTAAAACAAATAATAATTAGGTAGGCATGATATGAAATTTTGATTGGTGAATACATAGTTGAAACTGTGGCACTTATTGGAAGTTTTTCCTTGGCAACTTTCCTCTTCCTAGTAGGCTTTATGTTGGGATTTCTAGGTTCCTAATAAGCAAAGTCATCAAGTCAGAAACCAAATCAAATAGATTTAAATGTAAAGCAATTTTGGATAATGACACATACCTTACCACCAATTCGATTATGATAATTGTACTTCCCACATTTTTGGTTCTTAACTTATGACAATAATCCCACAATACTTCATATTGTTTACTGCAAGACCCTTCTACAATGTTAACTCTCATGGCTCTTGCTCTGTACACAGTTGCTTTAAATGGTCTATAACCATAGTCTTAGTGAACTTGTTCTGCAAAAGAAGAAGCACTACAACACAAAAACCCTTCTATGACGTCTGATTTGCGTCATAGAAGGCATTTAATGACGCGAATCAGGTGTCGTTACTCGCGTCGTAGAAAGGGGGGTCATGGAAACTTTTTCAAAACACGACGTCTGTTATGCGTCATGGAATAGGGTTTCAATGACGCGGATAGCGCGTCGTGAAAACTTTTTTAAAACACGACGTCTGTACCGCGTCATGGACTGAGATTTCAATGAAGCGAATGGCGCGTCGTGGAAACTTTTTCAAAACACGACATCTGCTCCGCATCATGGAATGGGGTTTCAATGACGCGGATATCGTGTCGTGGAAACATTTCCAAAACATGACGTCTATTCTGCATCATGGAATGTGGTTTTAATGACATAGTTTAGACGTCGTTGAAATTCTTTAAATTTTTTTTTAAATAAAAATTCTTAATATATGTATTCCGTCATTTTAATTATGCAAAAAGAAAAATTCATATATAAAAAAAAATAAAGACACAAAGGCAAAGTACTTTAAATTATATTTCTATTACTCAAAATGATTCTAGTACATCATGAGAAGTTTAATGAAAATAAATTGTCATTAGTACATTTAAATTAACTAAGAAGTACATAACTTCATTCGTCTCTCTTCTCGTCAACAAGGAAATGATTCAGACATTGAAGAATAAGAGGTACGGGGTGATAGTAGACTATCCTCCTTCAATCTTCTACCATCTGCATTTGTTTGGGAGACACGTTCACTTCCAGCAAGTTGGCTTCAAAACACTTCACAGACCCTGAATTCTCAATCGCTTTCTCCTCAGTAGTATATATACTGTTTGAAAATGAAAATCATGGTTTGATAAAGAACTACATAATGCCATCAATGCTTAGCTGGAAATGTATCATCTCAGTGCACGATTAATACCTATCACTATCATAAAGAATGACAATATCTGCAATAGCAAGATTAATACCAAGTTCTGCAGCTCTGATAGAAACAGTGGAAGCAATGGCTTAAGTGCTTTTGGTGAACAAAACATGAAATACAATATTATACACTTGAAGTCAATAATAGAACATGAAATACTTGACTACCATTGACAGCTATAACAACCTCAGATATAAGAGATTCGACATCTTCCTCATCTATGACTCTAAGATCACAATTTCAGCAGCCTCCCTTGCCAATTTTTGAACTTCCTAACATTTCCAAAGCAACAATATTTCAAATTCAGCCCATTCTTTGTCCATTGCTAAAGTGAACAACTTGTTAAGATAAAGTATATATCAAGCCAATATAAGATTATTAGATGGATAAAAGTAGCAATTGACTTAATCAGAAAGTTAGAGGTGCAAGTAAGCAGGGCATAAGAGTCAAGGGTTAAAGCGTATAATGTGTCGAGATAAAATGGAAACAATAAGAAATAGAAAGTAATTGTGAAAGTAAAATAAAGTAGATTATAACTCAATTGGAGATGTCTTCGAACCATAGCTGCATCAGTAATATATATGTCAGATCCACAAAACATTCATAGGCATCTGACTATCCAAACAGAAAGATAACAGAAGCAATATGTCTGTGTTAGGAGAGATGCAGTTGAATGACTCGAGGCTAATTGAAAAACAGGGATGATGATAAAATCCTATGGCATATGGTCAATTGGTGTAAATCATATAATTCACTTGGTTTGAAGCCTTACCAGTCATCAATTGGACCAAAACAGCTCAATGTGAAGCTAAGAAGCGTAGTTATTACCGCCTTTCGGAACATGCCCTCTGAAACTTCCTTTGAAATTATGTCTTTGTTCTGGACCTGATAAGTGAGCCAAGCTCCCATCATGGCAAATATTGGTCCCTGTGATCAATTTATTGGACTTAGATAAAATTTTGAAAAGAAAAAAAAATTGAAATGTGGAATCAATCAGATAAAGAAGTTGAGGAGCAGCTTACTGTTCCACCAACAGTTGGCTCTGGTGTATGAAGAAAGCTAATCAAGTTGCCAGAGAACCATAGCCTCTGCACACTTTAGGCCCAAATGTCACAAGCCCCCAACAGCCAACGACTATGCGAAAGAGTCCTGAGTGCTGCATATACCAAATGTTTCTAAGAGGAAGTTCCATGAGCCAAACCATATAACATATCAATGCCTAACTTCCTAATGCAAATACCCTATAATTTTTTTATAAATATTTTCACATTCAAATCACTGCCCAACTTCCTAATGCAACAGAGCTAATAATATCAAAATAAATGTTAAATGGAAACAGAACGGAAACACGAACCGAATTGTCAATCTTGTACCAGAAACATGGGGGTCACAAGCCTCCACCATTCTCCAACCAGGATCAAATCATTATCTTTGCTCCATATAGTAATGGAAGAGAAAAGAGCCCTAAGTCAGAACTCCTAACTGGACTTGCTATCTCAAACAGAAAAACTGCAATATTTATAGAACCCAATATGCTTCTGCATCCAAGATGAAAAACAAAGAATTTTAACATTGACTATGAAATGAAATATATAGCAGCTAGGAAAAGCTCAGTTCCAGCATATTCAAATATTGATTTAGATGTTGCAGGGTCTTACATTAAGTAGAGATCAGAGATTTCATTATACTGCAATGAATCTTGAGAGGTCTAAGGACCATGATCATCCCTTGTACTTACAGGATTTCTGTAGCTCTTCTGTTCTTCCCTCTCATCAGATTTTTCAGAATCTTGATTGATAGATGATAGTTTTTCAGTAGGGTTGTCTTCAGTAAGATCAACAGAACTAAATGTATAATTCTCTGAGTCTCCATCTGAGGTAATAAAAATTATAAAATTAATTGCCCTTTGTTAGAAATAATTACTCACCACATATATTAGAAAGAAGCTACTTCTACCTTTATTAAGTTTTCTAAAATAATCATCAAGAGACTCCAACCCCTTCTTTAATCTCAACTGACCATTTCTAGTGAGTGGCTCCCTTGTCCTGTTTGACTTATCTGCAGGCAGATTTATGCCATTTTGGAGTTTCCCAAGATAGGAATCTAAAGATCTGAGTTGCTTCTCATTTGTACCAGAATCTGATGCATACCAAACTATGCCTATATTCTGCTTTCTTTCATTATTTGCTAAAATGAAACTTGGATGGCTTTCTAGTTCATTGGGTAAATGTTGCAGGACACATTTCGGAGCCGCATTTACAGGCGTGGCATATGGGTTTTTGACACAAAATCGTAATTACTCTCTGAAAATAAAACAAAAATAAAAATTCTAAATACTAACGCACAGCTAGAACCCAAATTCAATCAAATAAAATCAGAAATGCAAGTAGGATCTTGGATTCAATCAAATAAAATCACATACATATAGAATCCAAATAAAAACAAACATTCACATAGAATCCACAATTAAAGCAAGCTACAGACATCTAGAATTCAAAACAATCCTAAACTGATACCAAAACTTTGTTTCAAGCATGGAGGTTAGGGCTTTACAAAATCGCACCTTGGGAACTGTCACTCAGCCTTCACCTTCGAAGCAATTGGCCTCGAGCAATTTTCTTCTAGCTGATGAGGAGTTGAAGCTCTTGAATGTTCCAGTGAGAGAGAAGCCATAGATTGTAAGAGAGGGTGATGATGAGTTGATTTTATATTATATATTTAACCTCATTCTTAGTATATTTTGAGTAAAATTTTGGAAGAATTTTGATACTTTGAATTATATTTCCAATATAGGACTTTCGACTTCTTCTGAAGCAAAACATAATCAAATGTACGAATTTTGGAGTAATTCTAATCGGAGGACGTACGTGAGTCACTTGGCTTGACCGTATCGAAATTTCAGACTTTTCTACTAAGCTGTTATTTTCTGGCAATGAAATAAAGGAACAGTGTGCAGTGCTAGAATAGTGACATTTTGGGCTTGTATTGCGTTTTTGGAGCCCAAGATGACTTCGGATGGGTTCGTGGCCTTTTGGAGAAGTGTTCGAAATATTTTTATCTTTAAAACGAGCTATCTTGGGCCAGATTTGGAGGAGATTTGAGACTAAAACGTGGCTGGGCAGATTGTAGGCAGATTCTCCTAATCCAATTTGGACTTTATTTCCTAGTCTTATTTTATTTTAACTTATTTTCCTTGTGAGGATTGGGTAGCTAGGTTTTAGGATGTATTTAAGCTCCTTTTCACAGAAATTTGGGGGACTCCCTTTTTTACTTCTTTTTGGCTTTTGGAGAAAGTGCTAGGGTTTTGGGTTTTCGCGACTTTCAGGTGTTTTCATTCTTATTCATTCGAATGATATTTTCTTGGATTTCAATTATGAATATGCGTAACTAATTCCTTTTCCTAGGGCGAGGCCATAAGCCTTAGCATGAATATGTAATTTTATTAATTTGCTTATGAATGGATGCATGTTTGCTTTGAATTACTAATCACTGCGTTTAAAACTATCTATCTATTTTAATGACTGATCACCATTAGGATATGTAGACAAGTAATTTGATGCAATTTCTGTTGGAACATCACCCTAAAATTGAGGATGGCTTCTTGTGATTAGTAGTTGTAAGTTCACTTAAGGCGAACATCACGCTCTTAAGGGTTGCATGGTTTTTCAAAGGGTTTTCACAAAGCTTAATGAGTCTTGTATGTTTATATTTGATCTGAACATCACAGACGGATTGCATGTTAGATATACGTTTTCGCTTGAACATCACAAGGAAAATATGCATTAGGAAAGCCTAACCTTCAAAGCATACATGTGGAAATTCATAAGTAATTGATAGAATTGCATAGGATTGCGACGGTGATGGCTAAACCCTAGTTTTCTCTAAATTGTTAGTCTTTAAAAAGAAAACGTTTTTCTTCTTTACTGTTATTATCTCCCAACTTTTAGGTTTCTTTTACTGTTAGTTTAATCTTTTCAAACTCATAAACCTCAAATCTTTGGTAAAATCTATTTTAGTTATTAATTAAGAGTTAATTTAATTACAAATTAGTCAAACAATCTTTGGGGACAACGATGTTGGCGTGACTTGTGGATATTGACTTACTTTCCTTATACACCAAGAATTCCTATTATAATTATAATTGATTTACTTTAATTCTTGATTTCCTATTGTAAATAGATTTAAGAATTTATTATTTACTTGCCCATTCAGGTTTCGTTGTATTATAAATATGACCTCCTATAAGGAGAAGAATACACAGAAAATTCCCACAAACAAATATTCTCTCATAGTTTTCATATTTTAGCATGGTATCAGAGCGGCGATCTTGGAATTGCTGACTCTAGTTTCACACCCCCGCCACCGCTATGGGGGTTGGTGATTTTTTCATCCCTCATGGAGGTAGCACCACCGACTCCTTCTCTCCTTCTCAACCAACCATAGCCGAGTTGAGTGCCCAGATGGCTCAGCTCCTACAGATGCAGACTTTGGCCCCGAATCTAATCTTGAATCAGGATCCTCTTTTGACGACCCCGACACTGACCCCGACTATGACGACGACGATGACCTCGACTCTGACTCCGACTCCGACAACGACCTCGACCCCCCACTCCGATGATGACTCCGACCCCGACCCCGAATTTGTCTTTGATTCAGACCCCGATCCCGACTTCGACTCCGACTCCGACCCCGACTCAGGCTCAGATCCCGATCCGAATTCCTACTAAACATGTATCCTATACATCTTCCGCTGCACAGATTATGACTTCTCGACTAACGACCCCGACACATGGACCAGATTGCGAATATTGTGGTGATCCAAGACACACTCGTGAGACTTGTTTTAAATTGCATGGGTATCCCGATTGGTGGGCTACTCTTAAAGATCGAGGACAACGCAATACGACCAGTAATGGTACTGGTTATGGATTCCATACTTCCGCTAAGATTGATTTCAGGAGTTGGATAATTGATTCCGGTGCAACTGATCATATGACGTTTGATCCTGATGATTTTCTGAATACTACACAACCTCGACGAACCTGTATTGCAAATGCCAATGGTGTTACTTATCCTGTGACAGGGGCTGGCACTGTTGCACTCTCATCCTCTCTCACACTATCTAATACTTTACTTGTTCCATCTTTATCCACTAAATTGTTGTCCGTTAGTCAGCTTACTGAACAATTGAATTGTTGTGTACTCATTTACCCGAGTTTTTGTTTGCTTCAGGATATTCACACTAAGGAGATTCTTGGTCGTGGTACTAAGAGAGGGGGGCTATATTATGTCGATGACTTCAGTCCTGGCATGGCTAACAGTGTGACGCATCCCTTTGATAGCAAACAAAAGCAGATCTGGTTGTGGCACCGTCGATTGGGACATCTGTGTTTTAGTTATATGAAGCATCTTATACCAGATTTATTCTCAGGTTTCAAGGACTCGGACTTCACATGTGATACTTGTATTTTGGCCAAGAGTCACCGTGTGCCCTACCCGTTAAGTACGAACAAGTGTACTACTCCATTTACGTTAATTCACTCTGATGTCTGGGGACCTTCACCTATCACTGCTCCTTCTGGTGTTCGATGGTTTGTCACGTTCATAGATGATTGTACACGGATGACATGGCTTTATTTGCTGAAGAATAAAAACGAAGTGTTTTTCTGGTTTCAGTCCTTCCACAAACAGATGAAAACTCAGTTTAATGCTCAAATCCAGATTCTTCGCTCCGACAATGGTGGAGAATTTGTCAATCATGACTTTCAGACTTACTTCCAACAACATGGAATTATCCATGAGACGACTTGTCCTCAGACACCGCAACAAAATGGTGTTGCTGAACGAAAGAATCGACATCTTCTTGAAACCGCTCGAGCACTTCTGATTGGCGCTCATGTTCCTCGCCATCACTGGGATGATGCTATTGTCACTGCAGTTCACCTAATCAACCGCATGCCTTCTGGAGTATTGACCTTTAAAACTCCCTTACAGGTGCTTGCGCAACACAGACCTTTGCCCTCTGTTTTGGTACTCACACCCCGAATCTTTGGATGTGTGGCTTTCGTTCATCTCCACAAAAATCAATGTAGCAAACTTGATCCCTGTGCGCTTCGTTGTGTTTTTGTGGGTTATGCCACTCATCAGAAAGGCTACCGTTGTTATCACCCTCCTACCCAACATACCTATGTCACTTTGGATGTGACCTTTCTGGAATCTGAGTTGTTCTTCCATGACCCATCATCCAATTCTACACTTCAGGGGGAGATACGAAGTGAAGAGCAGAATTGGAGCAACTTGGAAAACGAAGAAATTCTCCTATGTACAGAAATGATTGATCATCCTGAGTTTGGAGCACAAGATTACTCTATGCCGAAAAGCGACCAATCGCCCATTCATAGCGATCAATTACCTGACCCACCTGATCCATACGAAGATATTTCTGATTCGAGTCTCACACCTACAGACAATACAAAACAACAAGATGAAGACCCCCCCTCTAACTCAACACTACCAACAGACCAATCTCCTGAGAATATCCTTGAGGTAACTACTCCTACTAGGCTTGTGCATTTAGAGGATAAAAATATTGGATATCAATTACCTTTCAGGCAAAATCGTGGAAAGCCACCAAACCGCTATTCACCTGATATTGGCAAAACATCCAAGTATCCAATTGCAAATCATGTATCCACTGAGAAGCTGTCTGAACCACTCAAGGCTTTTGTGCATCAGTTGTCTGCTATCCATATTCCAACCAAGGTCCCTGAAGCATTGAAAGATCCTAAGTGGGTCCAAGCTATAAAAGAGGAGATGAAAGCTCTTGAGAAAAATCAGACTTGGACATTGGAGACTATACCACGAGAAAAAAAGACTATCGGATGTAGATGGGTGTTTACTATAAAACACAATGCAGATGGATCTATCGAGCGATACAAGGCAAGACTTGTGGCAAAAGGGTACACACAGACCTATGGTATAGACTATGAAGAAACCTTTGCTCCAGTTGCAAAGTTAAACACCGTCAGAGTCTTATTGTCCCTTGCAGCTAATTTGGATTGGCCACTACACCAGTTTGATGTAAAGAATGCTTTTCTACATGGCGAACTCACAGAGGAGGTGTACATGGACATTCCTCCTGGTTATAATACTACTCAGACTGGAACAGTTTGCAGGTTACGAAAAGCATTGTATGGGTTGAAACAGTCACCACGTGCATGGTTTGGACGGTTCACCATGGCAATGAAGAACAATGGTTTCAAACAGTGCAACTCCGATCATACTCTGTTCTTGAAACATCGGAAAGGGAAGGTAACAACATTAATAATTTATGTTGATGATATGATTATTACTGGGAATGATAAACAGGAAATATCACAGCTACAAGACTATCTGGCTACAGATTTTGAAATGAAGGATCTAGGTGGACTCAAGTATTTCTTGGGAATTGAGGTGGCTCGATCGCAGCAAGGCATATTTCTCTCTAAAAGGAAATATGTCTTGGACTTGTTGACAGACACAGGAATGCTAGATTGCAAACCTGCGAACACTCCTATTGTTCAGAATCATCATCTTGGAGAATATCCTGATCAAGTTCCAACTAACAAAGAAAGATACCAAAGGTTAGTGGGAAGATTGATCTATTTGTCACATACTCGACCAGACATTGCTTATGCAGTGAGCGTTGTCAGTCAATTTATGCACTCTCCAAGTGAAGACCACATGAATGCAGTTCTTCGGATACTTAGATATTTGAAGTCTGCACCTGGAAAAGGACTTATGTTCTCAAAGCATGGTCATCTAAATATTGATGGTTATTCAGATGCAGATTGGGCAGGTAATGTAACAGATAGAAAATCCACATCGGGTTACTTCACATTCGTGGGAGGTAATTTGGTGACATGGAGGAGCAAGAAACAGAATGTGGTAGCTTTATCCAGTGCAGAAGCCGAGTTCAGAGGCATGCTAAAGGGATTTGTGAACTTCTTTGGTTAAGAAAGTTGCTTACTGAACTTGGGTATAAACCTACATCTACAATGAATCTCTTTTGTGACAACAAGGCTGCTATAGCCATTGCACAGAATCCGGTTCAGCATGATCATACTAAACATGTTGAGGTGGACCGACACTTCATCAAACAGAAGCTTGAGGCTAAAGTGTTTCAGTTTCCTTTTGTGAAATCCGAGGATCAATTGGCAGATATTTTGACAAAGGCGATTTCCAGTAAAGCATTCCACAATTCACTGGATCAGTTGGGCAGTGGCGACATCTATGCACCAACGTGAGGGGGAGTGTTGGCGTGACTTGTGGATATTGACTTACTTTCCTTATACACCAAGAATTCCTATTATAATTATAATTGATTTACTTTAATTCTTGATTTCCTATTGTAAATAAATTTAGAAATTTATTATTTACTTGCCCATTCAGGTTTCGTTGTATTATAAATATGACCTCCTATAAGGAGAAGAATACACAGAAAATTCCCACAAACAAATATTCTCTCATAGTTTTCATATTTTAGCAAACGACCTTGCATGAGCACTTATACTACAATTACCTTGTATTCTTGCAAGTATTTTCAGTGATTTTAACCCTATTGTGTAGGTACTAAAAATCCTATCAGGAGACAGAGAAGAAGCCAGAGAAAGAGAGGGAGGGTTTCGATGGGATTTGATGTGAGAGAGAGAGAGAGAGAGAGAGAGAGAGAGAGAGAGAAATTTGCAAAGTCTGAGAAGGAAGAGATCTGAGAGAGCATTTGGGATTAAAGAATGAATTAGAGATTGGAGATAGAATATGAGGCTTCTATAAAGGGAGAGAATTTGACCCCCAAAAAAAGACGCACCAAACTTAAATTTGGTGAAAAAAGGGCTGCACGCGAAAAATTTTGGGGGAAAAAATTACAAATCTATGACGCATATGCTACGTCGTTAAAGTGCTAAAGATTTTATGGCGCAGAAGACACTACATGTTAAGGTTATTGAAAATATTTCTACCCGTGACATGTAGATGACGTCGATAAATTAAGAAAAAATTTGGGGTACATCTATGACGCCGATCCTGCGTCGTTGTATAACTGTTTCATGACGTGTTGAGGACGTCGTTAAATTAAGAAAAAATTTGGGGTACATCTATGACGCAGATCTTGCGTCGTCGTATAAATGTTTCACTAACTATTTCATGACATGTTGAGGACATCGTTAAATTAAGAAAAAATTTGGGGTACATCTATGACGCAGATTCTGCGTCATTGTATAACTGTTTCATGACGTGTTGAGGACGTCGTTAAATTAAGAACAAATTTGGGGTGCATCCTTGACGCAAATCCTGCGTCGTACATCGTATAACTGTTTCATGACGTGTTGACGACGTCGTTAAATTAGGAAAAAATTTCGGGTACATCTATGACGCAAATCCTGCGTCGTCGTATAACGGTTTCATGATGTGTTGAGGACGTCGTTAAATTCACAACAAGCGGTAGATAAAAAAATCTTAACGACGCATGATACGCGTCGTCTAAATGTACTAGAATCAATGACACACATCCCGCGTCATTGAAAAGATTTTAATGACGTGTCCAGCGAGTGTCATGATAATGGTGTCATAAACTCACTTCGATGACGCATTTTAAAAACATGTCATAGATAATGACATTTCATGATGTGTATTTTCGATGTGTCATTAAATATGTGTCATAAAAAGACACTTTTGTTGAAGTGAAGCAATCCAATTTGGATTGAGTCTTAACTGCCCAAAATATCTTTCAGCCAACCAGCTAGCAGTAGCATGTATATATTTACTCCCCTTACTACAAACATGTATAGAATTAAAGGTTTTCACCTGTAGGTAAGTGCTACCACTAACACTTGAAACGTGGATAACAAAAGGACAGTCCTCTTCACATACTACTCTTATTTTGTTACGGTCATTATTCATAAACATCTTGGCAGTTGCAAACTTTAAAACTATTTTGAAACCTAGGTTTGCCACATCAATTTCAGGTCTAAAATCTTCACATTTTGGCATTCTATATTCTTCTTCCTTCTTAGTTCACCTACTGCTTCATCTTCACTTGAAGAGCTATTTGGGCAAGTAAGTGTAAGTGACTCTTCTCTATTGTCTGACTCATCATTTTCCTTTGCATTAGGATCATTGTCAATACAACTATGATCCACATAACCTTCAAACCACTTATCATCCTTCTTCAATAAGTCAATCTATTCATAACTCTGTGCATAGTCACTATCTTCAAAGTCTGCATCGCTGCTGTCATCATCCTCAGAACAAGAAAATTCTGGATCACTGCTATCATTCTCCACTTGGCTTGAAGTCACTAATTTCAAGTACAAAACTATCACCCTGCTATTACTTTTAGGTATTGCGCTCATACAACCTTGTCACGACCCGATTCGAAAATAAGGAAATATTCTCAAATCAGAGTGTGAGTCATACTATAGTCATAAGAATAAAATCCTACAACCATGATATGATGAGGAAAAGAGCCACAAATAACTACAAATTTACTTAACAACACAGAATCAGAGTTTTAATAGCTCGTTGTTAAATACACACTAAGATCTTTATCAAACGGTTGACTACTTACAATTATTAATTACACACATCAATAACAAAAGCCTAGTAGGTTGGTTGAGACCCGCTCCCTCAAACTTCACCTTGAATCCTGCACAATCTATTAGGGTATGAGCATTCTAATGCCCAATAGAGTACCATCCAACCCCTCAAAGTCAACTATCACAGTTAATCAAAGTGTCATGCATCAAACAACACAAGATACAGAAATTATGCAACCATACCAGATAAATAAATTTGCATATGCAGTGATGTCATGAACTCACTCCCTTCTAATCCCACTAATTCATACCTTAGGGCAACAAGCCTGTATGTCCCATACCATGCATTTTACCACTGTGACTTTAAATACCCTAAAATATGAACTAGCGTCCATTCGTCCCTTAACCCATTTTTCTTTTGTTTACGAATTTCTCAACTTTCACTTTTCATTAGAGGCCCTGCTTCCATCACCTCTATATATTCAAGCCCTTCTCCTGTCACTTGAATATATTTTACTTTTTTTCTTACTCAGATATATCTAAGGCCTTCTCCCACCCCTTAGATATACGTCAAACGACACACACACCCTTAACACCATTGTATTTATGATGCATATGTAATGTAGTGCAAACATAATTTATTTATGCTGAATAATAATACAGATAATAACAATAATATATATCAGGCTTAATCACATGAATAATAATATTAATCCAACATCAAAAATAATATTCGTGGAGAAACATCAATAATAATATTCACCAAGAAAAGCACCAATAATATTCATATTTATAGTATTATATACAAGCACCAAGATTAAAAGTGACAATCATTGGGAAATCAGGAAACCCTATCTCATGTCTAGCTAGCTAAAGTACCAAATTTGCCCTTCAGAAATTTTCGGAGTTGATGAATCTACACTTTTGATCCAATTCCTGAACAAATTCAAATCCAAATTATTATTGAGCAGTCTTCACTTTATTTCACCTAAATCCAACCTCAGCCTTCAACATTTCAAAGATTTTGCATAAAAATGACGAAAATGCCCTTAGGACCAACCCAAGGTCCAAATTGGCCAAATCTCATCCAAAATAATCTAAAACTCTATCTTATACCTTGTCAACACTAAAACAAGGCCAACTACACCCGTTATCCAAAAGTTACTATTTGGGTCTTGTGGGCCCCACAACCACCTATACTTTGCACCACCTCGGATTGACTCAAAACATATACCATAGGACTCAGATCGAGAAATTGAGTCGAATTGACTAAAAATATGGCATCGGAGGTTGCTAAAACAGCCGCCATGTACCGCCACTCGCCGGAGCCGTGAGTGGCTTGTTTTTTGTTACTGTTCATCGTCTTCCCAACAAAATCCTGCAACTTCCTCTGTTTTTAGTTTAAATGTCAGATATTGTGAGACATTTTGACCAACCTATAGTTAACCAAATTGGGCAAAATTGCAGTGGATTTGAAGCTTATTCTCTCTAGTTTCTAACCCAACAAACCACACTCAGAATGGAGCTAAAACAAAGGAGAAAACTAGCTCCAAAGTTGGACTCGTTGCTGGTTTTTCTGCAGAAAACATATTTTTTTCCAAACTTTGCACATGTGTTTGACGTATCAAACTCAACCAAATTCGACGAAACTAATTGTGTTTTGTTTCTTGCCAAGTCTAGTTTAAAATCCAACAAATGGCTTCCTCAAACACTCAAAGTATCGGGAGAAAAAGAGAGCCAAAGTGAGGCTCACGGACTGCAAATTTTCAGATTTGGTTCAAAGTTGTTTCCAACCATTCTAACACCTCCAAGTTGTTCCTAAGGCTTCTAAAACACTTCTAAACTTCATTCCTATCAATCTAACTCATCAAAAACTCAAAACGAAACCAAAATCAACAACACCCACACTTGAAAAATTGCTCTATCCACCCAACCCGAAAATAGAATTTCAACCTCTTTCAATTCAATTTTCCCAGCTCTCAAATGACTCAAAATACTCTTTAAGGGACAAAAAACACCCAAACACAAAGTTAAAACCAAAAACTCGAAATTTGACTCACCTTAGAGATTTTTCTTCTCTTCTCTTCTTCTTTTCCTACTTGTTCTTAGTTTTCTTCTCTCTCTCTCTCTCTCTCTCTCTCTCTCTCTCTCCCATTATCTTCTCCCTCCTGCCAGTAACTCACCTCCCCTAGTTCTTAGCTTCATCAAGAAAAATCCCTTATGCTAGGTGACTCACCACTTTGACTAGGTGACTCATCCTCATCCCTTCATAATGGAAGCTTTGAAATGAGGCAATGGGGGAAGAATGGGAGGAGGATGGTTTGATTCCCTCCACGTTTCAGATTCTTATACTCTCATTTTTTTTTTTACCTACAAGGATATTTTGGTAATTATCCACATATAAGGGTATTTTGGTCATGTTTATCCAACTTCAAATTAAACACACTTAATTTAATAATCTCAATCCAAAATCACTTGATGAAATACCTATAATCATTCTCCACCATAATATTATTTTTCACTAAAATATGAAAATCCACCTTGAATTTTTCGGTGTATTACAAAGCTAAAAGTGTACTATCTTATATTATTTGAATGAGTCTACCAGTTCCAAACTCTTCACCATAAAAACTCACATCATACTTATCGTCATATCCCAACTCTTTAGCCATTTCGAATAGCTCTAACATGGACATAAAGTCAACCTCACAATAATCAAACCAACTGACTTCACCACCCAAATAAGACCATTCATTGTCCTTTCTATTTTTAACTACAACAACACACAAGGACCAGACAAGGAGCACGCAAGGACCACACAATGATCACACCAGGACCAGCACATAATCAAAAAGTATACAAAAAAACAAAAACAAAACTCTAACATCAGTTCAATGCACATGCCAAAATCAAGAAAATCAAGTGAGAATCGGTCCACTTACATATGGGTTGACAACCTCCAGATTCTCTAAGCACCACCATCTTCGCACTATAGCCTTAAAGTATAACGCCAAGCAATGGTTTCTTCTCCAGATTCTCCCAAAATCGAACCCCACCTCAGATTTTCATAAACCCTAAGCCCTCTTCTCCCAATTTTCCCTTCTCAGCCAATTTCCCCTTTTCTTAAAATTGAAAAACCCTTATTCCCAAAGGTTAAAGAAGTGGGGCCCAAAGCACTTAATGGACCGTCTATAATACTGACGGAACGGGTAACGTGAGACCATGTTTAAAAGTTTGGGGGGTATTTTGAGACGTTTCCAAGCACGGGTGCTAATCTGAGACAAGTTTGAAAACATAGGTGGCATGTACATAAGCCTTAAAAATATGAAGTCATTTGGTTTCCCGGCAGATACTGCGACTTATCATATAATGATTGATTGTTGTAGCATTCTAGGATGTTACAAATCTGCTTGCGCATTGGTCTTCATGATGTTGCGAGATGGCTTTTATGCACTAACAGTGACTTACACCATATTCTCATAAAGGTAGCTTTAATATTATGATTACTCAGTCTGAATTATCATCCATCTTAGGAAACTGCTAACATTTATGTATGTGATCGAAAAGTGTAATTTTTCCAACTCTTGATGTGCAAACTAGTCAAATTTTAGTTCTGCTTTGTTTACATAAAACCCCCTTCCTTCATCCTTCTAAATGCTCTTTTTCTTTTTCTTTTTCTGACTAGAGTATTTGCAATATGAATGAAATTTCACTTTTTTTTTTTTTTTTTTTTTTTTTTACACTTCATTTGCAATATTTGCATGACCACATTTTTGGATGAAGTAAGAACTCTCACAAAAAGAGAATTTTTTGTTGTCCTCGTAAGTTTCATTTATGGAAAGTTCAGATGTTTATAAAGATATTTAAATGAAGACAATTAGTGAGTTCATTTTTAAAAAACGAAAAAAGAAAACAAATTAGTTACATTTTTGGTCTTCTCTGAAAATATAAGTAACTTAATTAAAGATGATGACTTTGAGGAAGATGTTGAATATTGTTTTGTTCCAGATTCTGTTGGAAGATGATGACATTGAGGAAGCATTGAATCTTTTGGATCAAGCCAGTTCAGAACGCAATGAACTTGATACCTTGCTATTTAATACCATTATTCTTGAAAAAGCCTGTGAAACAGGTTTTGAGTATGATATGTGAAGAAGATGGCAGCTTTCCAGAAAAGGCAGAATTTGAGGATGACTTCATCTTTGCTGAAGGCATGGAAGCTGAATCACTAATAGTAGAGCTTTTTAAAGATTCTGAAGAGAACCTTGCTGTTGCCCGTTTGAATCTAAGATGTTGGCTTCCCAATTTCATGGTCACCTAATCAAATCCCAGTGGTGGATACCACCATTTCGGCTTACAAAAGATGCAACCTCATGAGCAGCTTGATTACAGCTGCGAGGGGCATGAATAAAAATCATTTCTTGGAATTCTCTAGTCATAGCCTGGATATCGAAAATCAAACCATCAACCTCCGCATCCACTAGTCTTTCTCCTTTCACCATCTGGATGGCAATTAGAGAATCAGATTCCACCATGACACGAGCAAAACCTCCTTGCTCGCAAGCAATCAACACTGCACGGATAGCATCTACTTCAGCTGCGAGAGCAGACCCATACCGCAAATCCCCTTGACCTCCTGCTTGCATCATCCATCCTACGAAATCTCGAATCACCCACCCAAAACCCCCCGTATTTGTCTGCACCAACCAAGCCCCATCACAATTTGCTTTCACAAAACCATGTCGGGGTTTTTCCCATACCGCTTGGACCAGTGCAGCTTGGTCAGGGGGTCTTGGTAGCTCAGCGACCAGCGGAGCCTTGGGTATAACAGCTTCATTGTATTCCCCCACCTGCTCTACCATCATACCTGATGCATCACTCGGATGTATTTGTATTCCTTGGAAAACCATAGAGTTACGACATTTTAAAATTCTTCAAAACCCATAAGCGAGTAGTTGCAAAAGCTCCTCTGACTTTTCATAACCTGCATATTTCCGCTTTAGAAAAGTCCAGCAAGCTGCAAAATCATTACCCTCAACAGTAGCAGTATCCAATTGGAGAGGACATGCAAACCAAAATGCTCGGGCAAAATCACACTGGGAAAAAATATGCATCTGAGTCTCACCTTCCTGATTGCATAACCCACATTTATTCTCCACATCCATACGACGTCTCCGCAAATTATCCTGCACAGCTAGAGAATTTAAACAGGCCCACCACAAAAAAGATCTTATTTTTGGACTAACCTTTAAGCTCCAGATGCCTTTCCAAAAGGATTTTTGCACCTTTTGATTACTACACTCACCTTCACCCTTACGGTTTAGCTCCCCATTCCTGTGCAAACTCTCAGCAAGTTCGTAACCTGATTTTACCGTATAATTGCCATGCTTTGTGAAGTGCCAGAGTAGCTTATCAGGACATCCCAAGCGACTAATAGGCATTTTTAGTATAAGTTGTGCTTCAGTCTCAGAGAACCACCGTATCACTTCATCCCTTTTCCAAGCTTTGGTAACAGGATCGATCAAGTCTTTAACCCAAACAGGCATCTCAGGATGAGGGGACTGGACCTTAAAGGTATAAGGTTGAGGCATCCAACGGTCTACACAGATTTGAATATTCTCCCCATTGCCAACTCTCCATCTCACACCAGCCTCAAGGATACGATGCCCCTGAATAAGCCCTTTCCATCCCCAGGAAGAACTACTCCCTGCACTTGCAGATCAAAAATCACGCCCCGAAAAATATTTTACAAATTTATAAATAAACTCAATCCTAGACATGTATTTATAAAAAAACCCAAGCACTATTTAAACATAGAAATACACCCAAAATCAATCCCAAAGTCAACTTTTTGGGTGTGTTTATAAATGGGTTTTGAGTGTGTGTAATGATGGGTTTTGGGTGTGTTTATATGTTTAAATAGTGCTTGGGTTTTTTTATAATTTCAACTCCCATTTTGGGTGTTTTAGTGCAGGAGAACATATAATCCTCCAACACGTTTTCGCCAGCAAGGCCAAGTTGAAACAGATCAAATCCCGAAAACCTAGGCCTCCCATGTGTTTCATCTTGCTCATCTTTTGCCAGCTCACCCAATGAACCCCTCGGCTATCTCTGGAATTCTTCCACCAAAAATTGGCAATATCACTTTCAATTTCTTTACATAAGCTCACTGGCAGTTTAAAACAAGACATGGCGGAAGTCGGCAAAGCCATGGCCACGGCCTTAATCAGAACTTCCTTGCCTGCCTGAGATAAGAATGCTCAGACCAACCTAAAAGTTTGGTAGACAGGCGCTTACGGACCCCTTCGAACACAGCTTTCTTAGAAGCACCAAAATCAGCCTGCAAACCCAGATATCTCCCAAAACCTTCTTTTTCCTGTACACCGAGGATGTCAACCAACTGTTGGCGTAAATAGTCGGGACATTTTGGGCTAAATAGAGCAGAGCTCTTGTCAAGATTAATGCGCTGGCCGGAACCAGATTCATAGGTACTCAAAATACGCTTTAAGCAGACCACTTCAGCTTCCTCTGCTTTACAAAATAAGACTGCATCATCCGCAAAGAATAAATGAGAAACAGAGACGCCAGTCGCACAGAATCTAAAGCCTTGAAGGCTACGCCTCGCCTCTGCCTTATGAATCATAGCAGTTAACCCTTCCGCACAAATTAAGAATAAAAAAGGAGAGAGAGGATCCCTTTGCCAAATACCCCGCGTAGGTAATATGTGGCCCGTGGGTTTACCATTAACCAAAATATTGTAGGACACTGTACCAATGCATTCCATGATCCACTGACTAAACCGGAAGTCAAAACCAAGTGCGTGCAACATCTCCTCCAAGAAGGACCATTCAACTCTGTCATAAGCCTTTGCCATATTCAACTTGAGAGCCACATTATGATTACCTTTGCCTTTATGAGATTTCATAGAGTGTAAAATCTCATGCACAATCAAAATGTTATCCATAATCATCCTGTCCTGTACGAAAGCCGATTGGTTCAGACTAACCACAGATGGTAGGACTTGTTTCAACCTGTTCGTTAGCACTTTAGAAATAATTTTATAAAGAAAATTACATAGAGCAATTGGCCTCCACTGTGTAATCTTAGTAGGGTTCTCGCTCTTCGGGATCAAAAAAATAAAGGTACGATTTATTTCTCTTGACATGCGCCCAGTCTCAAAAAAACTTTTAACGGCCATAATGACATCCGCACCAATTACCTCCCAATAGTGTTGATAAAAACTACCAGTGAAGCCATCCGGTCCCGGAGATTTTGTTGGGTGCAGAGCTTTGACAGCTTCCACAATTTCCGTGTCAGACACAGGTTTAATTAGAGAGGCATTTTGCTGGGGCTGCACTTTCCGAGTCACACACTCAGTAATCTCCACAATTTGTGTTGGACGGTCAGTTGTAAAAATCTTTGAAAAATACTCAAAAGCAATTCGCTTCATATCCTGAGTATCATCCTGCCATTGGCCAAATTCATCTTCCAGACCCTTCATTAAATTACGACGACGTCGAGCTAAGGTCGTAGTGTGGAAAAATTTGGTATTTTTATCCCCCTCAGTTAACCATTGCACTCTGGATTTCAACTTCCAGTAAATCTCCTCTTCCTTAAGTGCTGACAGTAACTTAAATTCCAACTCCTTCACAGTACTTGAATCAAACACAGTTTTTTGATACTCAGCTCGCAATTCAGTCCTGAGAGCATCAATGCAGACCTGAGAATTCCTCCATTCTCTGCGTTTCCAATCTAATAAACCTTTCTGAAACCAAATTAACTTGCCATGCACTTGATCACACTTGGAGCCTCGCAGTTCCTTAGCCCACCGATGTACTACCACATCCTTGCAACCCTCATGACCACCCCATCTCAGATCATAAATAAATCTACCTTTCTTCCTTTTCTTCACTACATGAGTCTGAAGGAGCAACATAGAGTGGTCAGAGCCTTCCACTGCCTGATGAAAAACGGTAGCCTCAAGGTAGTGTTGGAGCCATAAAGTAGACCCCAACCCTCTATCCAGCCGTTCCTGTATACCACCTTCCTGCCTCCTATTACGCCAAGTGAAAGGATAACCCACAAAACCCAGATCAAGCAACTGACTATCAGCCACAAAGGAACGGAAGTCATGCATACTCCGCTCTGTACGATTGTTACCTCCTTGCTTTTCCGAGCTATCCAAAATATCATTGAAATCCCCCATTACTAAACAAGCCTCTGGACACCATTCAATCCGAGTTTGAAGAGTAAGCCACTGGGTCTTCCGAATTTTATCATCTGTGCTTGCATAGATCCCAAAGAAGCGCCAGGCATACCCCTTCTCATCATCCGTAACCAAAACTTCAATAAAAAAATCCGAATATTTAACCAAAGCCACGTGCTAAGCCTCATTCCAGAATAAACAAAGACCCCCACTTAAGCCCCTTGCTTCTACAACATGCATAAAGTTCATACCTAAAACCTTCTTAAGAAAACCATAGCGCTGACTCCTAGTTTTAGTTTCCAAGAGTAGCACCATGTCGGGGATATGGAGCTTGACTTGCTCCTTCAGGCTTGAAACTGTCAGATTACCCCCGATACCCTGACAGTTCCACACAAGGATTTTCATGGCACTCGTGGAGACCCGTTTTGGCCGGTCTCCACCACCTGCAGCAGATCATCATTTAGAGCTAGACTCAGGCACCGTCGTGCCTTCTTCCTATCGTTGCCATGCATAATAGGGATTGGCATACTCTTAGAGTCTGTCGCAGACTCCATGCCTCGAATAGTCTCAGCGTAGTCCCGTTTGTTCTTCCTTTGGTTCTTCCCATGGGCCGATCTGTGCATGGTCTTCTCAATAATGGGCCCCAAATTAAAAGGATTCGACCCTTGGGTACCAGTGACCTGCTCATTCCCCATCCCAATCATGAGGTCAAGGCCTTGTGCAATAGGATCAGCGTTCGCATGGAGAGAATCACCATGTTCCACATTGAGATCAATCAACTATCCGGGCTCCGTAGCCTGTCTAACCCCGCCATGATCCCCCAGCACCTCCGCCTCCACATGCACGTACTGAGTAGCAGCCAACTCCTCCTGAGTAGCAGAAACATTCCAGCATTCCATACCTCCTCTCTAATACGTCTCTCACGCTCCTCCTCATCCCTCAACGAACGGATTCTATCTTCCAAAGAGGAAGTATATGATGGCGATTTGCTAGGCGAAGAAGCAGTATCGTCTAAACCCACATCTCTCGGCACAGGTCTGGTTCCACTGCTTTGCATTACACTTCCTCGTTGTGATGCCAACTCAACCCCAGCCTGGCTAGGACCATCATTACGCCATCTTCCTCTTATATTGGACCTGCCACTACCGGACCCCTCGTGAAATCCACTGCGGCTCCCAAGGCGTAGACGACGGCCTCTCAGATCCTCCTCCGCCTCGAGCCCAGCAAAAGTTCGCAAAACTTCCTCACTGCTTTCCACTAACAAATGGTCTACTGTAAGTTTCTCAACACAGGTGCGACTTGGATGTCCAAGACACCCACAAACAAAACAATACTCAGGGATGTGTTCGTATCGAAAGGACACCCACTTGGAGCCCTCGTCGGGGAATTGAATAAAAGCACCTCGCATCAGAGGCTGTTCAACATCAAGTTGAATACGGACTAGTAAAAAACGATCGATGCAGTCCTCTCCCTCTGCCTGATCAACCTCCAGCACCCGACCAACAAGTGATCCAATCTTTCGAGCGACCATCGTCGTTATGTTAAAGGGGGGAATGCCATGAAATTGAACCCACATGGTACTAAGACGAAGTTCGACCTCTCTGGCATTCGTGCCCGTGCATGTTTCAGCCAAAATCACTAGACTTTCACGAAAGGTCCAAGGTTCCATGTCTAAAACCCTCAATTTATCCTTCTTATTAGCGAACCTCATTAAGAACCGTCTGTCCCCAATTTCTTTGATGGAGACTCCATCCACACCTCTCCATAGCCTGGAAAACACAGAGATGAAACCGTCCCTATGAACAGCATGGTTAGTCAAAACCCTAGTCACCATGGTGAACTGCGATCCTTTCCAAAAATCCCCACACTCCTCCTCGGCAATCTGAATACCCACTCGCTCCTTCTCAGATAGACGCAGGCGAGACCCAAAACGACTTTCAAGTTCGTCCATTGTACCTGTTGTAGTGTGAACTTGCGTCTCAACCAAGGAAAAGGTCGTAAGCCGTCAAGGAAAGTCAAAACCCTAGTCACCGCTCTAAACCCTACCCAACTCTCCTTGCGAGAGACCCATCAACTAACTAATGTTGAATAAATAAAAAAACCAGACCGCTGATATATTAGATTTGTGTTAGGCTAGGCTATATTTGAGAAAATTAGGGTATGCCTTCTTATCTTTTTTGTTTCATTACGTTATTTTGTAAGTTACTGCTTGTATATATTTAAAAGGTGAAATCGTGCAGCAACTCTCAAACAAGATCAACTGTGCCTCGTAGGAGCAGGAGGCATGTTTCCGCAAGGGAGGAGATTTTCTCCGCAGCTTAGAATGAGTTGTTCTCCCTCTAGGGAGGGAAAGAAGGGTGCTGCTGGCAAATTCTTAATTTTTTACAAATTTATAAATAAACCCAATTCTAGACATGTATTTATAAAAAAACCCAAGCACTATTTAAACATAGAAACACACCCAAAAATCAACCCCAAAAGTCAACTTTTTGGGTGTGTTTATAAATGGGTTTTGAGTGTGTGTGATGATGGGTTTTGGGTGTGTTTATATGTTTAAATAGTGCTTGGGTTTTTTTATAATTTCAACCTCCATTTTGGGTGTTTTAGTGAAACTCCCTTCTCTTATTCTCTTCCGATCCACATCGTCGGTCGACGTTGACGTTCTCAAAAGTTCACAATTTTAGAAAAAAAAAAAAAAAAAAAAAAAAAAAACTTATTTACTTTCTTGTTGGGGGGGCCAAAACAATCACACAACACATCAAACACACACAGTTTTATGTGGTTCACTCATAATTGAGCTACGTCCACAAGGTTGCTAGGGTTTTTCACTAATTGTATAAGAAGATTACAAGTACAAGAGCACTCAAGTCTGTTTCCTCACTCACTTTCGTCACGTTTCTTGGCCTCCTCAAGTCTTATTTATAGCTTATAAGACTAGAGGTTACAATCTGGTTCGGAATAGGAAACAAAATAAAACAAAAAATAAATATAAAAAACCCGAAATCAGAAGGGAGGAACGTTGCTCGACACTGCAGCAAAAGATACCACACTTGGGATACTGAAGCTCTCTCAACTGCTGAAGTGCCCCACAAGACTGGAGCACACTTTGAATCACATTATTCCGGCACTCTTGCAATTTTCCAGGTGCCTCTGTTCCACAAAAGCTATCATCAACTTAATAGAACTAGAATGAAGTTTATGCAAGTGTATGATATAACCAAGCACAAAAAATGATAATGCACGCAAACCAGATACAAGGATATAATATGTGAAACAAAAATCACATGCACATCATATAGAATGGAAAGATGCAGAGAGAGAGAGAGAGAGCCATGGGAGCTTTGAAATTGGGTCAGAAGTGGAGAGGAAGACATTGGGTCCTTCAATTTAATAAAGAGAGTGGGTGTTTCAAAGCAACTATTGGAAAAAGGCTCGGGTAATTTCAAAGACCCTTCAAAGTTCTTTTCAAAGCACAGGTCTTTCAAAGACACCAATTTCGAAAGCCATAAGGAAATTTTAGAGTTACAATTACCTAAATTCATCACATGCACAACTGAGTCACTTGTATGATCAAAGCCAGGATGCCTAATCAGTTTCTTCTTTTAATCACTACATATCCATGGAAGAAAAATAAGAAACAAAACTGAATGTTATTATCATGTCAACGTACCAACAACAAAAACAATGTTAGGACCAAGGGGTCATCATCTAATACATACATACCACTTTGTTGGTGACCTGCTGTTGCACAATCACAATCAAGCCATAATGAGTTTTTAGTGGGGACCCAATCTCCACTGACCCAACCCTTAATAAGAATAGTATTCATGATCGTCTGAAAAAGAAGAAAATGAGGAAGCTAAGGTTGGTTGCCATTTGGATGAGAGTGTGAATGCAAAAGAAAGAAATTAGTTAGAAAAACGCACCAGGCTATGGATAAGTGCTAATGTCTGGGATGTGAGCAATCTTGGACCAGTCCTCACCTGTTTCTTTCTGGCATCTTTGCTTTAAGATGGGGCAATCCTCAATTATCAACCTTTTTAATGAGGTGAGGCAACGAAGCCCTTCTGGAAGTGATGCCAAATTAGGGCAATCCCATATCCAAAGCAACTGAAGTGATTTGAGGTTGTTGATCCCTTCTGGTAGAGATGCCAATTTAGGACATTTTGAAATATGCAGTCTCTTTAAGGAGAGGAGGCGACCCATCCCTTGATCTGGAATTGATACCAAATTAGGACAACGCCTAATTAAGAGGTGCTGGAGTAATGTGAGGTTGCCGATCCCTTCTGGTAGTGATGCCAATTTAGGACAAAATGAAATATGCAGTCTCTGTAAGGAGATAAGGCGGCCTATCCCTTGATCTGGTAGTGATGCCAATTTTGGACAATTTGAAATATGCAATCTCTGTAAGGAGATGAGGCGACCCAAGCCTTGATCTGGTAGTGATACCAAATTAGGGCAATCTTCAATTTCAAGCTTCTGGAGTAATGTGAGGTTGTCAATCCATTCTTCTGGCACATATTCTATATCCTCAACGCTCATAATCTCCAGAGATTTTAATTTGAAGAGAGCAAGGGAGGAGGGAAGGACCTTCCAGCTACTTCTCAATAACTTTAGTTTATCAAGATTTGGGCATAGTGGCATGGAAGTTAGGTTAGGACAACTCCATATAGCTAAAGTAGAAAGACAAGGAAATGAAAAAGCTGAAGCTGTTTCATTCTTCCACCATCCCTTGAGATTAGGGCAATCAGATAGATAAAGACTCTCTAAGGAGGGAAAGAAGTTCGTCGATGGAGAAGCAGCTGACATCATCATCTCATCACTGGCAAAGTCTTTAACCATGTCTTCTGATATGTGCTCCAAATTCCTTAACCTCGAAAGCCTAAGACTCTTAAGAAAAGGTAAATGATCCAACGGTGGAAGATGTTGGCATCTATCACACCGAAAAAATCCGAGATTAACAATATTTGTGAGAGAATGAAACCAACTCGCAAACCTCGCACCCGGGTATTTGTCCACGACTAACTGTTTTAGACTTGAATGGGGCTGCAGCGCTTCCATTGACTTAATAATTACATCACTCTCCTCCTCAATCGCATCACTATTTTCTCTTTCAATGCGCATCCAATGTAAAGTCAACAAATAAAGATGGCGTTTCTCCTTCAAAACTGCACCATCATAATTCAATTCTGACATCATATCTTTCTTGTACCTCAAATTTCTGATCTCCAACCCTCCTCTTAAATCCTTCAGCTTCCCCAACTCACCGAGCCCTGCACCGTCCCTCAACATGGAATTGTTTTTGCTCAAAACAAATCTACTCAAAGTACGAAGACAAGTCAATTCACCCAATCCAGGTGGAATTCGAGCCAATTCATAACAACATTCCAGAATGAGATGCCTCAAGTTGATCAATTTCTTAATATCTCTAGGCAGTTCCACAAGAGAGTCACATCTTGAGAGATTTAGTGTTTCCAAATTTTGAAGTTTGACTATCCAATTTGGAAGCCTCTCAATGGGATTAGCACTAAGATCAAGATATCTTAAATGTTTCATTTTCCTAAGACATTTTGGCAATTTTGTAATTCTCAATTCATTCAAACTCAACATACGCAATGACTTAAAATTTGAAGCAATTGTAGCACAAAATGACTTATGGAATGACTTCCCCCACCACAGCTGATCTTGGCTTAGGAAAAGAAAAGTCCTTAGCTTATTTGATTCCGCCAAGGATGTTGGTATTTTCCATTTCGACAAATCAACATCAAAATCGAATGATACATGAAGAAGACGTTTTGCATCAAAATCAGTCTTATTGCGATCTATTATTGTGCTTCCCTCCCCTGCCACTTTAACAGCAAGTTCATTCATGAGATCATGCATTTTACAGCTTTTTATTATACCAAACTCATCTTTTTCTTCTTGTTGGAAAAAAGATCTCCAAACTAGTTCGTTATAATATTCATAACCAACATCTTCCAAGCACTCATTAGGATTTGAAGACTTAACGAACCCTTGTGCCATCCACAGCTTAATTAAATTCTGTACGGGAATCTCATAATCAGGCGGGAACAAACTACAGTAAGCAAAACAATGTTTCAAATGTGATGGGAGAACATCATAACTCAACTGAAGTGTTGGTAAAATATCATTTTCTTCTTGCCATATTGCTGAAAGCTTGTTATTCTTGAAAGCCGACCACTCAGAATCTGGATCTCTAGTGTACAACATCCGTCCTATGGTCCTTATAGCAAGAGGAACCCCCTTACATTTTGTTGCAATCTCCTCCCCAAGGGCCTTAATGGTTGAACTCATTGGCTCTTTTCCATCTTGGAATGCCATTTTCTTAAACAAATACCAAGACTGCTCTTCACTTAAACCCCTTAAGTTATACGGTTTAGATGTGTCTGTTATCTTTGCAACTGTTTCACTACGAGTAGTAATTAGTATTTTACTACCTCTTGCACCGCCCATCAACAAGTCTTTTAAGGCAAGCCAATTTTCACGATTTTCATTCCACACATCGTCTAACACAAGGAGGTATCTATTCCCATCGATCTTCTTCCTAAGCTCATTTTGCAACTGATCCATGTCAAGGTTATCCGCTTTCAGGATTTTCTTAACTAGTATATCCAATTGAAATGAATTGGAGACACTTGTCCACATTTTCGGCTCAAAATGCTTTTGAACCTCTTCATCGTTGAATACGAGTTGGGCAAGTGCAGTTTTTCCCATTCCTCCAAATCCCACAATGGAAATGGTGGACACATTCTCTGTGTTCTTTGTAGAGATGGGATCCAAATCCAACAAAAGTTGAATAATTGCTCTTTTATCTTCATCTCTTCCTATTATTTTATCCTCCCGGACAAATGAGTGAGTGACCCTCTCTCTTCTTACTAATTCTACATCTTCACGCTTCCTTTCTAATTGACCAAATGTTCTATTCGAGGCAATCTCATGAAGTCTCTTGTTAAGATCTTTTATCTTATGACCCATTTTCAGCCCAAAAACAAGCTGATTTGAGCTAGAGAAGAAGATGCGTACCTGCTTTGAAACAGTATTATTTCCAGATACCATTTGTCTCCACTGAGCTTCAGTATGAAACTCATCGAGCACGTTGTCAGCTTCATAAACTGCATCTTCTACGCTTTCAAGCCACACTTTGACTTCATTATTGTTGGCTTGTTTTTGCTCAGCATCAAGAAGAACAGCCTGGAGTTGAGCAACTTTTTCCTTAAGCTTTCGGAGCTTATCTTTGACACCCCAAACCAATCCAATCTCTTCAAAAGCACGGGAGCCCAACCTTTCAATGATCCCTTGTGCAATGTTGAAGAGGACTGTTTCTGCCATCGGAGAAAGGAGAAGAGTGTTCACTTGGAGAAAGGAAAAGGGTATTCTTGCCGAAAGTTGTGGTTTGTTGATAGAGTAATTTGGTGTGGAACAGCAAGTGGAGCAAGAGTATTAATAATTGGACAAAGAAAAGAGGAAACATGCGTCAAATCACGTGGGAAAGCTTTGAATATTTGGTGTGGAACAGCAAGGGGAGCAAGTTGAAGAGGAAATGCCAAAATGTTTGACTCAAATACGCTTTGGGTGGTTGTGGCATTATTTTAATGGAGGAGTCCAATTGGTTGGTGAGTTTCCAAGTGGATGGGTGCTGCGGTTTTGGTGTCATGTCAATTCCAATTGACGCCGGTGCCAAGCTATCTACTTTCATATTAATCTCTATTTTTATATTAAATTACTAATACTATACAATATCATGTAATGTAATGGTACATATCAATTATTACCTTCTATAGGCATGCCAATTTTTTTTTTCCTTTTTCTCTAAGCATATCAGTTATTATTTATTTATTTAATAGGCTTTTCAAGCCAGTTATCTACTTTCATGTAAATGCAAAGACGATAGAGTTGAATACATATATATAGACATGAAATGATACATGACCAGCCTTGACTATAAATAAATAAATAAATTCCCAAAAGAGGAATACTAGCTATATTTCTCATATGATCTCATCTCAGCCAAGGTCTTAAATATCGATAGTTTTAGAAATATCGGTGGTTCAAAAACACGGAAACATCAGAAAAATATCAATATCGATAAAAATTGAATAAAAACCACGGAAATTATAATAAATACATGGAAATTTTTAATGAAACTTTAGAAGAAGTTTATTTAGTCAATCATCTATTATTTTGACACAAAAAATTGGAAGGAAATGCATTGCATAGTGGGTTTGAGTGATTTAAGTTGATTATATTGTAAGCTAACAAACTCTAGATCTGTGACTTAGAAAAATTTGGAGTAATGAATGAAAGGTAATTAAACACCTAGCTAGCTAGTAATTTTTTTTTTTTTTTTTTTTTTTTTTTTTTTTTTAAAAGGAATTTCATTCAATAATCAAATAGCATAATACACGGAGATGAAAACAAAAAGATGTGCAAGTTTGGGCCTCTGTAAAAAACCTTTAGCATAAAAAACCCCCAAAAAAGGAGGAAAATCCGCCAAAGGAAAAAAAGCACCTCCCACTTGCCATCAAACATAAAGATCAACCATTAGCTTCTATATCTGCAGAAAGAAAAGGAGTTAGCCATAATGGCTCCTCCTCAATCCATGTGAAAAAATCAGCGTTCCGAGTGCCAAATTGAGCTAGCTCATGGGCAACCTTGTTACCTTCTCGTCGTTGCCAATTACAGGAGAAAGATCTAAACCACCCCTGCATCTCCTTGATATCTTCCACTATATTCCCTTCAGCTTCAAAACACTCTTCATTAGAGTTGATTCTATCTACCACCCCCTGCGCATCCATTTCTAACACTATGTCACGAAAGCCAAGATCATATGCGAACTGAAGACCTTCCTTTGCAGCAGTTAGTTCCATAGCTTGTGCACTAAAATGTCCTATCACTTGTCGAGAACAAGCAACCATAAACTCTTTATTTCCATTGCGAATCACTACTCCAACTCCCCGTAATAACCCAGCAAGTTTGGCTGCCCCATCAACATTAATTTTGTACTGACCATCCAATGGGGCATGCCAATTAACAGAACTCTGACTAGGCCCTTGCCTATTATGGGAGCATATAGGGGCAAGAGTTACAGAGTAAAACTCCGTCTGATAAGCCAAAGCTTTGTTAAACACTGATACACTCTCAAGACTGCGTCCTTGAAACAACAGATTGTTTCTGTCATTCCAAATATCCCAGCATAGAAAAGCAAAAGATCCACCTCCTGTTTACTTGAGACCACAATCACAGCTTGCCAAAGTTCCTTGAAAGATGTAATTCTCCACTCATGGCGATTGGCACTCCAAGGTGATAAAGACCATATTGCTTTCACTTCACTACAAGCCCATATTGAATGAATAACTGACTCCACTTTCTTCCCACAACGTGGACATATTGGAGAATTCAAGATCTTCTTATGGTACAAATTTTGTCTACTAGGCAAAAACCCCCATATACATCTCCATAGAAAGAATTTGATTTTATTAGGCACCTGCAAACTCCACAATTTTTTCCATAAAAATGTACCATCTTGTGTCGAGGACCCTTCCATGCCATTTTCCCTTTGCTTCTTCATGCATGCAACCATATAACCACTCCTGACTGAGTATTTGCCGCTTTGATCATAATGCCAAATTAATTATCCTCTCTATGATTTGAAGCCAGTGGAATTTGGAGGATAGCCTTCACTTCTTGTTCCCAAAAATTAGCTTTTAATAGTTCTTCATCCCATTGTCCAGCTGCATTAAACAACTCACATACTTTCATAGAAACATCGAATTGTGGCGTTGAGATAATCTTGAAATTCATTGGTAAAAGCACCCACCGATCTTGATAAACATATATATCTTCACCATTTCCAACTCTCCACCGCAAACCCGCCTTCAACAAATCCTTCTCCCATATCAACGAACTCCAAATACGTGAGGGTCGATACCCCAATCCAGCTTCTAAAAAATTACAATGCGGAAAATATCGGGCCTTGAAAATTCTCGCTGCCAAGGAATTGCAATTAAAGAATAATCTCCAACTTTGTTTTGCCAGAAGAGCTTGATTAAAAGCCTCAAGGTCTCTAAATCCCAATCCTCCAATCTGCTTGCTCACACATAATGTCTCCCATTTAGTCCAAGGAATACCCCGCATATTCTTACTTTTAGACCACCAAAATTTAGCCATTAAGCCATGAAGTTCCTTACACATCCCCTTAGGCATCCGAAAGCAGCTCATCGAGTAGGTGGGCATAGCCTGTAACACAGCTTTAATCAGGACCTCTTTACCAGCTCTAGATAGGAGCTTTTCCTTCCACCCACTAATTCGTTTTCCGATTCGATCTTTGACAGTCCCGAAAATCTGCTTTCTTCCTCTACCTGTCACCATAGGCAAACCTAAATATTTTTCATGGCAAGACACCAACGGAATTTCCAGTAAATCCAAAACTATTTGTTTTTCAACAGCAGTAGCATTTGGGCTCAAATTGAAAGGCGACTTTGTAAGATTGATCTTTTGCCCAGAAGTCTCCTCATACACTTGAAATATATCCTTCACTGTTTCACATGATTCTTTAGTTGCATCAAGAAAGAGAATACTATCGTCGGCAAAAAATAAATGATTGACTAATGGAGCTCCATGAGCAATTCGAATCCCACGCAAACTCCCTATCATTTCAGCATTCTGCAACAACCTTGAAAAGCCTTCAGCACACATTAAAAATAAGTATGGTGAAAGAGGACACCCTTGTCTTAACCCTCTCTGAGGAACAACATGCCCGAATGGATTACCTTTCCAAAACACGAAAAGGTAACTATTGTTAAGCAATCCATTATCCGTTTGACCCACTCTGAAGCAAATCCCAATCTCAACATTATTGCTTGCAAAAAGGACCACTCTACTCGATCATAAGCCTTAGCCATATCAAGTTTAATAGCCATCTTCGTTTGTTGTCCCATCTTCAAGCCTTTCATAAAATGCATTGTCTCAAAAGCTGCCATCACATTATCAAGAATTTGACGTTGTGGTACAAAAGCACTTTGCGACTCGGAGATAACGGAAGGCAATAAGCACTTGAGTCTATTTGCAAAAGCCTTTGCAATAATTTTGTAAATCACTGTACACAGACTTATTGGTCGAAATTTAGTCACTCTGGAAGGTGTCTGCACCTTAGGAATTAAGGAGATTAGAGTATGATTAAATTCTTGGACACTACTTTCTCCATTCAATATCTGCAAGCACTTGTGCGATACCTCGTCCCCTACAATGTGCCAGTAACGTTGATAAAAAAGAGCCGGCATTCCATCATGCCCTGGTGCCTTCGTAGGATACATGTTGAATAAAGCAATCTCCACATCTGCTCTAGTAAAAGGTTGGAGTAATTGGTAATTCATTTGATGTGTCACCTTTGGCTCAATCACTTGTAAGACTCTCTCTATATCCCTGCCACCTGAAGTAGAAAATAAATCATTGAAAAAATTGTAGAACATCGAACCAATAACTTGCTTATCTGTTTGCCAAAATGATCGTCGTCGTACAACCCTTTTATTGTATTTTTCCGTTCCCTTGTGTTGGCTCTTTCGTGAAAAACCTGGTGTTTTTGTCCCCTTCCTTTAACCAAGCAACCCTGGAACGCTGCCGCCACATTACCTCCTCTTTCTCGAGTAAGACAACAATGGTCCTTTCTACTTTTTTCTTTAGTAACACTTGATCTTGTCCCATTCGCCCCTGTAAAACCTCCAGTTCTTTATGGGCAGCAGCAAGCTGCTTTTGCACATGCCCAAAAGTTAATTTATTCCATTTTGCCAGTTTCCCTGCACAATTCTTAATTCCCTCCTTCACACCTCCCATAGCGTCAGTTGAATCCCAAGCCTCTCGAATAATATCTTCACAACCTTTCTCAAGTGTCCACATTTGTTCAAAATGAAATCTTCTTTTTTTCTTTGCCTCCACGATGGGAGCATAAGTCAATAATTCACCAAGTATCGGATAGCGATCTAACCCCGATGCTACTAAATGATATGTCAAAATATGACCATAATCCGCACTAATTCTCCCATTAACCACACACCTATCCAACCTTTCCTCCACCATATCCCCACTCGGGTATGTTCTAGCCCAAGTGAAAGGACATCCTTGGTATGGGACACTACGCAAGTCGCAATCCACCAAGGCTTGGCGAAAAGGGTTCATTTGATATGTAGGGCGATCTCGCAATCCTTTTTTCTCTGAAGCCATCAAGATTTCATTAAAATCTCCGATGACTAGCCAAGGTCCATAGACTGACTGTGAGAGACGTCGAAATAATTCCCAAGAAAATCTTCGATTTTGGGTTTCTGGATTCCCATAAAAGCCCGTCAAACAGAAACAATAATTATCTGAAGTTTTAACTGATACATGTATATGACCTGTCGAGTATGATAACAAATTCACCTCCCAACCAGTTGTCCACATCAACAATAAGCCTCCCCCTAATCCCACTCTTCCCACAGAAATTCCCCTTGTCATACCACATTGAAATCTTCTTTTCTCCATTTGAGCTTTCGTCATCCGCATTTCCATAAGGAACACCAGCTCGGGTTTTTTCTCCCTCAAAATACGCTTGAGAGAATGGAACGTCCCAGGGGTCCCGAAACCCTGGACATTCCAACTTAAAATTCTCATTGTTCGTGGTGGGCCAGTCCCACTGGGTCCCACCACGTGTTCTATCTCAACAAGTTTAACCTCTTTCTCTATCTTCACTTTTTTTGTTACAAATGTATTTGTAACAATCTCTTCCTCACATTTTCTTTTTCCCCCCTCCTTTCCCACATTGTTATCCAGCCCACTACCTGTATTTTCTCCAATCGGTTTCACTAGTCGTGCTTTGCGCTTCCATCTCCCTCCACATGCTTTAACCAATTCCTCTCCTCTTGTTTCAGAACCGCTGACATTATCAATTTGCATAAGTGCATATTGTTCAACTTTATTAGCCATATCTACTGATTCCACTTTCTTAGGTTCACTTTTCAATTCATTCTCTGCATCAGCTTGTGCCCCTCCTTGTACCATAGCATCCTCATTATTTTTTAATGTGCCCAATATCTTATGAAAACAATCTGCTACTGTCTTAACATTGTCTCTCGAAAGAGACCCAACATCATCTTGTTGAGTGTCTATCTGATTTATCAGCACAGCTCCATTTCCCTTGCTTTTCATATCACCTCCCCTTCTATTTTCCTGATCACTCAGAATTTTAGGCATGGTATATGACTTATCAGCAGCTACTGCTTGTGCTGTCTCCCAAGCTGCCTCGCGCAACGCTCGTTGAATTTCGTCTTCTTCTGCCTTCCGTCGGCGAGCAGCCTCAGCCAATTTGTCAGCCAATGAATTCCCCTTCACAGATTGTGAATTTATTCCTCCCTTCACTGCCCCCCTTTTGGACTTGAATCTATTTGCCAAAGATGCATTGTCAACTAAATCATCCTCAATTGTAACTGAACCACCAGTACCATGTTCCTTATGTTTAAAATAATGCCCATGTGGCCCACCTCTAGGCCCCTTATCTCCACATACTCCTGAACAATCTCCTTCTTTATTCCCAAAAGATCGTTGACTATTCCTCTCTTCCTCCTGCTTCCTTGGACTGATAGTTCTCCCCCTCCCCACCTCAAACTTCGAATGTAACCAAGAACCATAAGGCTTTTCTTTTGCTTCCTTCTCTATGGCACCCACAATTTTGCACTCCTTGACTACATGGCCAATCCTCCCACAAACATAACAAAAATCAGGTAGTCGTTCATATTTGAACTCAATCACTGCCTCTAAAGAGTGGTCAAATTGCAGCTTCATCACTCTGCGAAGAGGTTTGGTTACATCCAACCGAACCCTAATACACAAATACCTACCCAAACATTCACCATCTGCTCCTTCCATCACATCAATGCATTGGCCCAACCTATTTCCAATCTGGCGCCCTGTCTTAACAGTCATTCTATTTAACGGCAGATTGTGTGCTTGAACCCAAAAATCAGCATTCTGAAGAACCATTCTGTTCGGTGCTCTATTACCATCTGGTGTTTCTAGTAAGACCAATTGTTTATCAAAATTCTAAGGTCCCCCTTGTATCACCATCTCCTTGTCCCGCATAGTTGTGAACGTGAATAAGAAAAGATTATCTCGTAGGTCCTTCACACCCACCTCTCGCATCATACCCCACGCCCTCAACATGGTTTGTTTGAAAGCCTCATGGTTGAAACCTTGATCAATGAGTACCGTCCCTACCAAACAGAGATGGAGCCGCTCGTTCATCGTTGTCGTATCATCTGATTCAATGTGAAGTCCGTCTTGTTCTTCGTTAGTTAACGACAACACCTTATCAAAAGAACACACCACTTCCTCCACATCTTCCTTCTCAGCCATAAAATCCATGCTATCCAACAGAGATAACTAGTTTCGAAAACCCCTAATAGGCAGACAAGTAGCCGCAAAGAAACCTAGAAGAAAACTAGGAGAAAAACCCTAACCCTAGGCAGGGAGTAGACTCTCACCGAAATTCAGGAGAGAGAGAAAGACATACGAAATTTGAAGAACTAAAAAGTAATTCACAATCATAACACCCCCTAGTAATTTATTTATCATTTTTTAGTATAATATTTTACACTTTATAAATTGCATAGTAAGATACATGAATAACCTTATTTCACGTTATTTACTGGACATGGTACACATTCTTATATTTATTATTTATCAAAAATTGAAAAATAATTAAAGATGTAAACCAACTTGATTTTTCATGAAATTAGGCACTTTACCATGCTTAAAATAATAGTGAAGATTGAATATTAACTAAGAACATAAATAAATCTATCTAAGGAAGAATTAAATAGTAAATAAAGAAAATAATTATAGAGATTTAAGTAATTAAGCAACAATTTGAAGGGGAATTTAGTAATGTAAGTACTTATAATGAATAATAAAATAATCAATAACATTAATGGATTAAATAGAAAAAGAAATAATTATATTAAGTAATTAAGTAACTAATCAACAATATAAAACAATAAGTAATTATGTTAATTTCTATTTTGAGAAATAGCTCGCAAGTATTAGAATATAGATTCCATAGCTTATTATCACAAAGTGATGACTAGCGTGGTGGTTACAGGTCGTAGAATGGGGAATGGGTTCGAACCCCTGCATGCATGAAGTGAGTATTTGCAATATCGCGATATATTGACCATTTGTAGTTGCCACTTGATCCAAAATATCAGCGAAATTATCGATAAATTGACGATATATAGATGGAAATGTGCTAAAATATCGTTGCCCAAAAAAAAACGATAATTTGTTCTATGATCCCAACTAAATGATTTGATGATCGAAACCACTTATCTTCAAGGTTTCCTTTTTAAGATCATATATGCAAAAAACTCAACCATATCGAAAATTATTTAGACATTTTACTATTATAAATAAATAGATGAATTTAATATTTTGAATAGACACAAGTTTGACATTAAAATTTAACAATTTCGACTACCATACAAGTTATAACATATCAAAAAGACGAAAACGAAAAGATAAGGCAGTTAATTTTTTTTTTAATAATAAAAACATCATATACAATGACAGGACCTGACCCAAATTCCACTTTGGAACCTAAGCCGAACCCTGTGCGTGTTCGACACCTGGCAAGTGCCTGACACTCTTGACCAAAATACCCTTCTAAGTTTCCTAGATTCTTTTTCTTCAAGTTTGACTTATGCCTAAAATTCGGCAAAGTCTCCCCTGTAATTCGTTCGTTTCCTAAAATTTTCACATGTACTACAAGCACTTAAATATCCCCATTCATTCAACATATACAAAAATAGAATTCATGCAACCAAACATATATCGCATACCAAAGTCCAAAGATATTGACATGATAATATTCATGACAAGCTATGCAAAAAAGGAGGTGTACAAATAAGCTAGGCTGATATATACACCACAACCGCCACTTGATGCAATAATATTATATTAGGCTTACAAGTGAGAATGATAATAAAGAATTTATAAACTTCCCTCAAATTTTGAACTTCAATCAATCACTAACAACCTCAACAAGATTTTGAGCATAAAAGAAAGACCTCAGTTATTAATATAAATAATCAACCATATTGAAAATTATTTAGAAATTTTACTATTATAAAATAAATAGATGAATTTAATATTTTGAATAGACACAAGTTTGACATTAAAATTTAACAATTTCCTACCATACAAGTTATAACATATCAAAAAGACAAAAATGAAAAGATAAGGCAGTTAAATTTTTTTTTAATAATAAAAACATCATATATAATGACGAGACCCGACCCAAATTCCACTTTGGAATCTGAGCTGAACCCTGTGCGTGTTCGACACCTGGCAAGTGTCGGGCACTCTTGACCAAAATACCCTTCTAAGTTTCCTAGATTCTTTTTCTTCAAGTTTGACTTCTGCCGAAAATTCGGCAAAGTCTCCCCTGTAATTCATTCGTTTCCTAAAATTTTCAATGTACTACAAGCACTTTAATATCCTCATTCGTTCAACATATACAAAAATAGAATTCATGCAACCAAACATATGTCGCATACCAAAGTCCAAAGATACTGATATGATAATATTCATGACAAGCTATGCAAAAAAGGAGGTGTACAAATAAGCTAGGCTGATATATACACCACAACCGCCACTTGATGCAATAATATTATATTAGGCTCACAAGTGAGAATGATAATAAAGAATTTATAAACTTCCCTCAAATTTTGAACTTCAATCAATCACTAACAACCTCAACAAGATTTCGAGCATAAAAGAAAGACCTCAGTTATTAATATAAATTTTGAAATAATAAACATATAAATTTCAAAATCTCATTGGCATAAAACGAACTTTGCACCCTATCATACATCAGGCCTCTTTAAATCAGATAAATCGTTCTACCAACTAAAATTGATCCCAACCTTTAAAACAACATAAATACGTTAACAAATTTCAAAATAACTTAATTGAACGGCTTTTCAATCACTTGGTCTCACGACTACACCTAGTAACTCTAGGTTGCCTACGTACCCTTAACAAGAGATCAAGCCACGCGTAGTTCTTTCAATGTGATTGCAAAAAATTCTAGTTCTCATGTTAGTGATATACTCACCATTATTCACAAGCTCTAAAGTATATTCTTTTCAACTTTCCCAATTCTCCGAACAGTTCATACTCAGAACATAAGTAGGCCACTCACTGAACTTCCTCTATTCATAAATCAAATTGTATATTATTGGCTTAAATTATATATATAATAATATAAATATAAATAAAATAAAATAAAACCAACAAACTCCGAAGATACTTTTATCCTTTCCTTCGAAACTCACATAAGGCTCATTATATAAGTATATATATATATATATATATATTCCTCTTTTACTTGTAAAACAAACTCATTGCTTAAGAAATAACGGTGAACTGTATAAAATTCTTAAAGTTTAGGAAATTATTAATCCTTGTCTCTTAATCATAAAATAGGTATTAAACTTTTACTCCAAAAATATCAGGATAAAATCATCAATATTAGTTAAACATCTTAAAACTCAAATACTCTCCACCTAGGCATACCCCATTCCTAATCCGTCAATTCTATTAATACCGTCAATTCCAATATTAATCCGTCAATTCCTTGTGTCATATTATATGACACACCCTCGCAGGCCTTGGTAACACAAAGTCAATCCGAGCGGTATCCTCGCAGGCCTCATGGGACCATTCGTCAGTCTAAGCCGGGGGATATATAGTCGGCCCAAGAACGCATATCCTCGCACCGCACGGTTCAGGTGTCCCCGAAACCTCATAGGGCATTTAAGTGGGGGGGGGGGGGGGGGGGGGGGGTGCTAGTTATTATTATTATTGTTTTCCCCAAAAACTCCTAAAATTGGTTTTAAAAATAAAAATAAAACCAACCTCATTTCTACATAATTCCCCACATTCTTTTATCCTTCCTTTTACATACTATCCTTACTCTTTTCATCCTTCTACATAAAAAGCTAACCATATATTTAAAGAATATAACTAATCAAATAATGAGGGGTCTATGATTTAGTCTTGCACTGCTGGAGATAGTAAAATATATATGTAGTGAGCAAAATTTAATGGGTGAGCTATGTTTAGCCCTCCATTGCTGGAGATGACCTTAAGTTCATTTTTTCTAATATGGCTACAATATATCAGAGTACCCAAATCATATTTGGTGTGGTTTTTTTTTCTTAATATTCGCTTCATTTTTGTTAAAATAATTTCCCCAAATTATTTATAAAAAAAACTATATAAAATGGACTTTAGAAACACACCCAAATCTTATTTACAACATAACAAAAGGCTTTTAACTTCTTTAAATTACATAACTGTCATTTATTTCTTAAAACAAACCCAATCCAAAAATCTTATAAAAAAGCTCAAAACACTCAATGGAGTATTAAGTATTTAATAATTAAAATTTAATTCATAGGGTCAGCTGTTATTTTTTGAATTTTTTTTGGTATGGTTATAGAAATTAAATGTGCAGGATTTATTTATAATTTTAATGCTAAGAATGAGTATATAATTAAATATCTCTAATAATTTTCAACATCCAATGACACTCCACTAAAACCCATATCATTTACTGGCACTAATGTCCCAGGTTGTGTCGCAGCTCCGGATTTTGGTCCAAGGTCAAAGCATATGGAATAGTGGAATTATATATCCCACGTTTTTAATAGGATAAATTATCCTATAAAAGTACACAAATAAAATGGGAAATGCACGTACATACTCACAAACCAGAAACCTTAATCAAGAATACTCACCTTAGAAATTTTTAACCACAAATACTCACTTCCTCATGTGAAAGTACTAAATTGCCCTCAACATAAATACATCAATATCCACTCTTTATCCCCTAAAAAATTCATTCTCAGAATCTGAAACCAACCTCTCCCAATTCCTCTCCGCTGTCGAACCAAGAAAAAACTGGAGGGCATCCAACCAAGTTCTTCGATGATTATCTAAACCTCAACTAGAAGAAGCTTTGACCACCACCTTAATTGTTGAAACGATACCCCCAAAAGGAAAAGAAAGAAGCAGCGACAACAGCAACCTGCGACTCTATTGCTACCAGGTCCCTCTTTTCTAGTTCCTCAAATTGCTTTTGTAGGTAACTCTATGTCTTGAATCACTTTCCTTTTCCTTTTCCCCTTCTCTGCAACTGGCAAAATCCAGTATGACTATTATTATATATGTTCTCAATCTAACCACCAACCACTTCTTGACACTCAATTCTCCAATTGGCTAGGCCATAAAAAAGATAGAAGTGTAAGAACAATAAAGCCCAAGTGTTCAATTAAGATAGGTAGGGTTATCCTAGAATTGCTGAACTTATCCAAACATGGCTTGTGTTATTTGATTAATATAAAAATGTGAAGAAAAATTTGAAATTGTGATATTTTATAGGCTGCTTCAAGACCAGTGCGTGGCTTGTCTACATATATATGCCAATAAATTTGATGGCATGCAACCCTTATTTGTAATTTGAGTTTTAAGCTATTTGTCCCCTTCTTCAATACCCATAAAGCATTTTCCCCAAAATAACACGAAACATAAAAATCAGATCTTAATTTTGTCTAGCGTAGAAATAGGTTAGTTAGACAAGTTTTTCCCTCATTTAGAAGCTTAAGTGTGAAATTTTAGGTCTTTGAATTGGATTTGATTGACATTCTGGGTTAGGTTAGTTTTGCTAAGAACTTTAGTTTTTCTGTTTTGATTTCCAATTTGGTAATGCAAAGAAATGAGTATACCTTATGATGGGGATGCAAATAGATTGATTTATTGCTGTTATTTGCAGAAATGGATACTGTTGGAATATTGGTATTCTACAACGGAAACTGGGTTCGCAAGGATAATATTGAGAGTTATGAAGGTGGTGAGGTTGAAGGCATAATAGTATCACGGAACGTAACATTTTCTGAGCTTGATGGTGATATGAACGGTCTTGTGCACTTGCAAAACCATAGTTGTACGTGTAGGAAGTTTGACTTAGAGCAACTCCCGTGCAAGCATGCTATTGCGGTATGTCGACACTTGAAATTGAATCCCATACTCATTTGCCTCTTCATATTACACTTGAGCTACATGGGCAGCTGCATATGCAAAATCCATTTATCTTGTACAACCTCAAGGGACATGGGTTTTTCCCGAAAATATCCGATATGTAAATATCCTCCCTCCTATTTCAAGGGTTATGTCAGGCCGTCATAAGATGCAAAGAATACATTCTAAAGGAGAGGACTCACAACAAAGAAAATGCTCAAGGTGCGGTGTGAAGGGCCACTATCGAAGTACATGCAAAGAAGCTATCCCCGTCATTAACAAGAAGCAGATCATTTAGATGTTACAATTGTTTTGTTTGTATGTCTCATTCCATTAAGTGGGGATCTTTGCTACCTAACTATATGTACAATTTGTGTTCCTAACATGTCACTGTTTTTGTTTTTGGAAATAGGTATCTTTATAGGTACCCAATTGTATAGATCATGATGCAGCTATTTATAACATTTATTGAATGTGTATGTATGATGTTTATGTGCATGATTGGTGTAGACACGTAAAGCAGGTGGCTAGAAATTTAAATTGAACTGTGGTGCAATACAAGGGTAGTGGAATAAAGGGGCAATACAAAGAATTCATAGTCTAACTACAATTTGTTTGCCAAGACATACATTAAGAAAAAAAAAAGTGCTAAGACTGCAATAGAGCAACGATAGGAACACAATAAAAGGGCAATAAGAAGGCAATACGTAAACCTGGAAGTCCAACTTTAGCTCTATAATTGTCAAGACAGAGGTGAAAAAAGAGTTAAAACAGCAATAGAGGTACAATAGGAAAGCAACATAAGGGCAATAAGAAGGCAATACTTAAACTTAATAGTCTTTCAACTTTGTAATTGCAAAGACAAAGGTGAAAAACAATGTGCTAAAACAACAATAGAGGAGCAATAGGAACACAATAAAAGGGCAATAAGAAGGCAATACGTAAACCTGGAAGTCCAACTTCAGCTCTATAATTGTCAAGACAGAGGTGAAAAAAGAGTTCAGACAACAATAGATGTACGATAGGAAAGCAATATAAGGGCAATAAGAAGGCAATACTTAAACTTGATTGTCTTTCAACTCTATAATTGCAAAGACAACAATAGAGGAGCAATATGAACACAATAAAAGGGCAATAAGAAGGCAATACGTAAACCTAAGTCCAATTTTAACTCTATAATTGCAAAGAGATGTGAAAAACAAAGTGCTAAGAAGGCAATACGTAAACCTCTTAGTCCAACTTTAGCTTTGTAATTGTCAAGACAGAGGTGAAAAAATAGTTAAGACAACAATAGAGGCATAATAAGAAAGCGCAATACATAAACTTGAGTTTACATTGCGAGGCTACTTATTAGCTAAACATATACATATGCAGTTTCTCTATCCACTCTAGTTTCATGGTTACTAATTCATGAAACCACAACTAATAAATAAGGAATAGCTGATCACATCAAAGCACAACTAATATCCAATTCCACTCCTATTACAACAATGTTTATGTGGTGAAACAAAACTGGTGGCGCATCTTCATTTCTCAAGCCATCTTCTAACCGTGAAGAAACCAGTAGCTTTTGTCCAATCTCGAACCTCCAAGTGATGAGCTGTGTTATGAAGGTGATATTCTCTCGCATGTGTAGTTCCCCACTCCCCATTTCTGCAACATTCCCAATTGCTTTTTATTCACCAAAGTATGACAACAAAACTAAAGATTCAGAAAAGTGCGAGTGTAAACATTAAGTTAAAGTATGTGACTCTCTCACATTTGTAATTGGAATCATTTAGTTTCTAACATTTGTTATTGTATTACCAAAGCTTCCTACATAAATTACAATTCTTCTCACAAGACATTCATGCCCTATTACATACGAAATTCCTAGACTAATTGGTAAGGAGCTTCCTAACCTAGAACACCAACAAGAGAAAATCGCAAAAAGTGGAACACATAAAGCACAAAGAAATTGTCAAACAAAATAAAAGGCACAGAACCAGACATCAAAACACCTCAAAGGGTGAACAATCAATGAATAATGGGGTAATGTGGAATTGTTTGACTCAAGAAGCTCCACATGTAATTTATAAGCTTCCTAAAGAAGGCAATGGTGAACAGAACAACCAAAATTTTCTGAAGCAGTATATATCAGGGGAGGTCTACTTAATGCTCTTGCAATACTTCAAATTTTGGTCAAGGATCTCATGAAGATACCTATTTTCAGCTTTCCCATGTTCTGATAAATAATAAAATCAATCGCAACAAGACCTATTTGCATCCATATCAGGTTTTGATAAGGCAAATGCAACAATTTCTAATTCAAAATTCATACACTTCATATAAGGAATTTCAGCAGAAAACATATCCGGAAGCATATTAAGAATCACTATATCAATACTCAACAGAAACCCACATGATACGAACTAAAACCCAATTAATTACTTGCAATTGGTGATCAATCTCTGTAGTTGGGTGGGTCATATGGTGGCTTACTAATTATGTAACTCGTTGGAAATAAAAATAAAAATTATCACAGAGTTAGGAACAAATCTAAAGACAACAAATGCAAAAGTTTTGAGTTGAATATGAGTTGTAATATTAGGAACCCTAACGACTTAATTGTGCAAATTTAAATTACTTATTTTGACAAAATAATGACATAAAAGTACATAAAAAGAAAAACAAGAAAACTAGGGATTGAGAAGAGAGAAGATTGTCATTACCATTCTCTAGAAATTTTGAAAACGATCTTCTTGCGTTATGCCTTTCTTCCAGATGTGCTATAATGCTATGAATTGATTCGCCGTTCTAGATGTGCGATGGGGACGACAGAGGACTGCGAGAGAGGAAGGAAGAGTTGGGAGGAATTGGGTTTCAGAGAAGGATACATGGTCAATATAGTATCTATTTATATGAAGGGCAGTTTAGTACTTTCACATGAGGAAGTGAATATTTGTGGTTAATATTTGCAAAGTGAGTATTCTTGATTAAGATTTCTGGTTTGTGAGTATGTACGTGCATTTCCCAAATAAAATTATAGTGGTATCCTACTACCCACTAAACGAGGCCTAAATATTGTGGCGTATCCAAAACATGGCGGACTGAACAATATAAAAATTGATGAAAGACTCCAAGCTAGGACTTGACGTTCCATTCGTGAAAAATAAGTTTTTTTCTTCAGCTTTAAGTCTTTAATTCATGGCTTTCGAGCCCACGCGTGTGTTTGGAGCTAGGCGGAGAGAGAGAGAGAGAGAGAGAGAGAGAGAGTATACCGAGAGAGGTAATAAAAATTTCGGTTTTTCGTTTTCATTTTGGTTAACAATAGAGAAGGGAAAGTAGCTAAAAAGAAAATCATCCACTAACTTATATAACACAAACAGAAAATGCATAACAAACCATTGCATTCCATCAAGAAGACCACACTCCACTGTGTTAAACCTTAACGCACTTGTTAATAAAGGGCCACCCAAAGAACTGCAGAGGCTCCAATAATGCATCCACACCGCGGTTAATGCCCATACATGCGAGGACCTCTATGATAGATCAATCTGTCCGCGCCTTTTTTTAACTTAAATTTTTTTTTAATACCATTTTTTGCCATATATTTGCCATTTCTCTCTGCAGTCGCCACACCAGTTTTATGTTACACCACTTCTTCCCAATTATGCAATGCACACTCAGGCGATATTTTCCCCTCTTACACTGATGTCACCCTTAATTGGCGAAAATCTCCGAAACTAAGTTTTCGTCTTTGTCAAGCTGAAATATTTCTGAAGCTTCTTGAACATACTTGGCCGCTTAGATAATGTTTTCTTAGTGCCCTTTTGTTCGCCTGCAAACCAAAATTCACTTTCACATAAATGTAAACAGTTCTTTAAACTTTTTTAAGAAAGGAAAGGGAAATAAAACAAGATAACGTTACAAGCAGACGGGATGTGCCTGAATGATACAAGAAATGAAATTCATACAACGATCCAAAGGATGCTGCTAATGTGATTGCAATGCAGGTTTATTTACATTTTCTTGAGATCTGATCAAACAGTGATCCTTTTTCTATTATAGCTTACCACCAAAAATCCAGAACCATATTCACATAAACCAGAACAAGAATTTCAAAGAAGAGGTGGGTCTCCACAGCCTCATACGTGCTGTTAAGCAGCAGCTCCATGCATGTCTTATTTAACTGCAGCCTTTTATTTATTTATTTGTACATAAGAATTACATAATGTGGGAAAATTCTCAAATATAAAGATTAAAGATAATTTATAGAGCAAATTCATGAACTGGTGATGTTGCATTAACCAAAATAAGGGAAGCAGAAGCAAGACAATACAACAATGAAATTGCAGCATAAGAAATAGAAAATAAAGCAACTAAGGGCACTGAAGATGAAGCTCGTTCGGATTCCCCCACAAAAATATCCACTTTGCATTGATCAACTGTCTTTACCACCTATTGCATAATAAAGACTGGCCCTGAGTTTTAGTCCCGTTTTAAACTACTGCCTCCCTAAATTAAATATAAAACGTGATGTTACCATCCCAGTAAATTACCCAATTACTCTCATGGCAATCCCTTGACACAATTACCAATCAATCCCAACCACCCTGGACATTAAACAGCAACCAAGAACATCTCTTGTATTAGGCAGATAACTCTGCTCCCTTTCAAGATCAAGAACTATAGCTATAACTAGCTTGGGATGAATATAAAATTAATTACTTTTAGAAGTGATATCCTAGCTTGAATCCACATCAAATTACCTTTCTTGCTCACCCAACCTAAACCAACTGACTCAATCTGAGCTAACTAGAACTACTTCTACCCGAAATGTGAAGATCACAATGTCAAGCCTAGGCCATCTTCAGTTAGATCAACAATTAAGACCAAGTCATGGCACAAAACTCCCACTGAAAATATACATCACCACTCATCAAATCATTGAAACAGTAAAGTGTTGGATTTGGTATCCATAGTGCAGGAGGTTTTCTTTTGGGTATCCTTGTTAAAATTGGTTTCTCAATCATAGTAGGTTTTGGTTTTGCTTATTCAAATAGGACTAGGGTGACTTGTCCCAGTGGAACTAGGGGTTTTTGAGGGTGCGTATAAGAGTTTCACTAAAACACCCAAAATGGGGGTTGAAATTATAAAAAAACCCAAGCACTATTTAAACATATAAACACACCCAAAACCCATCATTACACACACTCAAAACCCATTTATAAACACACCCAAAAAGTTGACTTTGGGGTTGATTTTGGGTGTGTTTCTATGTTTAAATAGTGCTTGGGTTTTTTTATAAATACATGTCTAGGATTGGGTTTATTTATAAATTTGTATAAATTCAACTCCAGGGTGGGTGTTTTGTAACACCCAAGGGAGTTGAGAGCAAGAGCCAAAAGGTTGAGAGTAATCTTCATGGGTTTAAGAGAGGGTGTACAAGGGGCATCCTACTAGATACGTGCTTGAGTTTGGGATTAAATCTTGAGATGCTATTCTTGTACTTTGTTTTGTTTTCTCATATATAGTGAAGGTGAAAACTCTCTGGATGTAGGGAGGATTTTTCCAAAACACGTGGGGATTTTTCCTACAAAGTCATTATCAGATAACAAAATTCACTTGCTAGCCTGTAATGTAATGCGATCAAAGGACTACAGAAGTGTGAATTGAACTCAATAACTAAATAGTACAGTTACCATCAGTTGCAACATCTGGTGATGATCCAACAGAACCCAACAGCTTAGGCTTGGTTTTCCAGTACTGTTGAAACCTTTGCCTTGCATATTCCATGTAGTCAAAGTCAATATCATTCACATGTTCCTGAAAAATTGAAAAATAAAATATAGTGGATACAAAATTAGTAGAGTCCAAGAAAAACAAAGTATGATTACTATTTCCTACCAATTCTTTACAACGTATCCTAAATCTTGCCACAGAAAAGTACTGCTACCCAATATTTTAATCATGTAAGAGGTAGGTAAAAGCCATGAAAACAACATTGAAATTATGAGTACCGATATTATTCCCCATAAGCCCCCAAAACAGATGGCTTGCAAGAGTATAGTTCTCAACGTCTTGAACCAGCTGCTCCACTTCATTCTCAGTAGGTTGATTGCCTGCGTACAGATCCCATAATTGAGAGGAAAGCAATACATCATTCCAAGTTCCTAAAAGAGATATTTCATATTTGAACATAATCAAGCATAAGATATTACCTGAAGAATTCAGGTACAAACGAGCAAACCGCTGGCGCTCCTCCAAACCTGTAGTGAGAGGGAGGTCAGAATATAGCATGGCAACAGAAGGAAATAAGAAAAAGATAGACATCAAAGAATGTGTCACAACAGATGACAAACCAGGATATTTGCTGTAGTCCAAAATATGAGGTGTATCGGTGTGATAGTCAGCCGCCATCTCACAGAAATGATTTGATATGTCAAATGCAACAGCATTATAACTTGCATACTCATAGTCCTGGCAAGAAAGGTTAACACATCATCAAATTTTTTTGAATATTCTGGAAAAATAATTATGTCAGAAGGCCAAACCAAAGAATTTCATCCATGCTGTTCATGGCCTATCATGTGCACATTGAAGAAGACAGAATTTGATATTCTATGTATGCAATAAACATGGTGCTGAATTACTTCCCAGGAAATGAACCAAATAATTGGCCTTAAGTCAGAAATTAAGCAAAGTCAGGCATCAAAACTAGTGTAAGCTTAAATTTAAACCCTAAACCTAAAGGCTACTTTATAAGCCTATCATAAGTTCAAAAAACAAAAACAAAAAATCAAAATCAAAATCAAAAGGTTGAAAAGAACAAAACCTTCTTCCTAGAAGCACAGTCAAACTCAAACTATCTTAGTAAAGGAATCTTTCCATCGGAACTTCAGATAGGATGAAGGAAAAGCCTATATACATAGGTATATTAGGAACTGAAATACTATCTCCAAATGATTAATGATGACCTCAGTCTTAAATTTGTTTTCTTTTCTTCTGGGTATTTTTCATCAGTAGGAATTATATTGTAAATTTCTTATGCTTAAAGCTATTTGAAATACTTTTTATTCTTTCTATCAGTGACACTTACCATACTAAGATTAGACATCTGCTAATTAAGTGATTGTCTTATAACTAGGTATTCCATTGTTGCACGTAAATGAAATATAAATAAATTTGAACAAAAATGAAAGGTATAATGAGAGACTTACAATTATGGTTATTGATTTACTCCCTTCCTCGAGCATGATGTTACCGTACTGTAAATCATTGTGGCAAAAACCCATACTTTGAGAAGGTCCTGAGAGTTCCTTCTCCAATAAAGAGATTTCCTTTTCAATGGAATCTAACTGAAAGGCATTAGCTTCTTCTGGGGTAGACAATCTCTTAGCCGTACTGAGCCAATTTCTGGAACATTTACAAAGAATTCATTGCAGCTATAATAACAGTAGAAACAATTATGTCGGTGACAATTTAATCTCATTTTATTCTGAGACATAGTATTATCGCAAAGAAAGGCCGAAACAAAGAAATGTACCGCAATCTATCCCACAGGGTGACATCCTTTGGGCCAGGCATATTAAGTTCATGGAACTCCTTTAATTTAGCAGCTATAAGAGCAGATATATCTGGATCACGTAGATCACATGCTGAGAGTGTCTGAAAGTTCACAAGTGAAAGAGAGAGATATTATGTTACTTTAAGTAAAGGAACAAAGTGCTTTTATATTTTACGAAGAGTTATATAAGTCTGTAGTTGACTTCTCTATTCAATTTATCCATGTAACTCAAGAAATGAAATAGATATGCATTTATCTTGCTTAAATGAACTCCAATAACAAGAAATATAGCACCTCAAGTGGGATTAAGAATTCCCTAAGAAAATAATTATTATATACCAAAGAGCTATAGAAGGTAGTCATAAAAATTGAAAACTTGACACTACGAGTTGACAATTTGGCACCACAAATTTAATCTCATGTACCAGAAATATATACTAAGCTTGATAGCAATAAGAACCTAGGCATATAATATACTTCTCAACCGAAGTAGAAATGGCAGAACAAATTTGTGTGGTCTTAAAGTTGGAACAGTAAGGATCCAGAGAAGCATCATAAATTTTAATCACAAGCATGAAAATGTTTCTGTCAATATTATTATTGAACTCCCTGAAGTTCCTCAAAATTTTATACCAATACAAATGTAACATTTGATTGTGACATCCACTTACAATATAGAGAGAGAATTAGAAAACAACTTTTTTCTTTTTGTAAAACATGCCACATTATTATGAGTTTGATAAAGAACGACAGTAAGATAAGTAAACATGAAAGTACCCGCGCATGGATGAACTCTTCAATTCGGCCATTTGGAAATCGCCCAAGCAAGCGAGGTCCCTGACCATTCTTTGACATGTACTCAAATGTTCGGATCTCATTATCCCTGTCAAAGAACACATCGACACCCTCACCATAAATCCTAACCACAACTTTGCGTGAGAGCTCCCCTGTCTTTGCTGGCCACTTTATTTCGAAAACCTCATTAGTCATTGCACCCTTGAGAGGGATCACCTGGAGTGCCTTTGAATCAACCACATCTTCCCACTGGGAAGCCAATGATTGAAGAATCTCCCTAGCTTCTGCTGGTAAACGATCTTCTCTGTTTTCTATGACATTTTCCATGGCACCCATTACAAATGATCAAACTGCACTTCCACACCACGATGACGAGAACTACCCAAGCAACCTAATATCAATGTGTAATCCAAGAACAAAATAACAGGAATTAATATGACTTTTTGACTTCCTAAAAACTTTATCATCTAACTGTCTAACATGACATAAAGCCAACAAACTGAAAACATATGTGAATAATAGCTGTACAAATGCTAAATTCAGAGCACACCCGAATATGGCTAAACCATCTTGAAGTCAGAAAGCTCAGCAACTAAACGTTCACATAATCTTCACTAATAAGCAAGATGGTATGAAGAATTTATCATAAAACAATTTAGCATCATGTTATACAACAATCTGTCTATCTCACAGGCTCTCGCTGGTAAGTCATTCAAAGCAATAGAAAGCCTAAGTTGTACAAAAAAGAGTCAAACCGCACCCAGTATATGAATTCCAAAGATTTCAATTCCATAATTACACAATTAAAGAGAAAAAGGCTGTCCCAGACATTTTAAGAACCCACCATCAACCACATCAAGTGCTTCCAATGATCTACAACATGCAGAATGATTATGATATAATCAAGGGGTCAAATTCCATTTCCTCTAAGAAACAAACATAAAATAATTCCATTTTTACAGCATGCAAGATGCAAACCATGTGAGCGCTGAACGAAAGCCACTGCCTAATTCATTTCTGAACAATCATCGACCGCAATTGAACAATTCAGTCTCTTTCCCACCATTTCAAGGTTTCCAAACACAAAAAATCACACGAATCGGTGAGAAAGAGAATCCAAAACCAATTCTCTAAATTAAGGGAAAATATGGCGGTTCTTTTTATTTTTTTAATTTTATTTTGCATGCAATTTATTCTGAAGAATATATTAAAAGAAAATAAACGATTAATTTCTGCATACAGTTTATTCTGAAGAATCAAAGTTATTCTTCACAGAAAAGCCAAAGGCAAAAGGCAAAAGGGTGCGAATCTTAACGGTACCTGGAAAAGAGAACCGGACCGGAAACGGAACTGGATGGAAGCGTAGGGAAAGGAACCGCACGAGAAGAGGGCTCGGAAGGTCAGCGACAGGGAGGAGAGCCTCGCTGTCGTGCGGTTTGGAGACGAAGGACGGTGACGAGGAAGAGGGCGGGAGATAGAGGTGACGGTTTGTTTGTAATTTTGGGGATTGAGGAAGTAAAGGGTTGGGAGGACGAATTTGAGCCGTTGGATTTAAGCGGCAGAAAAGCCAGAAAGTTTGAGAGCGTTTGAAAAAGTCAGAGGGGATAGCAATGAAATAAAAATGAGGGGTTATTAGAGCACTTCCACTTGTAGTATCTGTCTTTGGAAAAAGTAAGATGTGTTTTCACCTATTGTCATGGCAAATGGCAAATACTATTCACTTTTTCGATTTTTTTAACCAAAACAATTAATTTGGAGAAATATTTTTTAATAAGATTTTGGGTTCCTACGTGTCAATATTTATTATAAAATTCATATCTCATAATTCGAATGAATTTTTTAGATAAAATTTTTGGTTGCCACGTGTCGATATTTATTATCAATTTCAAATTTCAAATAAATTTCTCTATAAAACCAGAGACTCAGCTCATACCTCTCACACCAATCTTCTCTATCTTTTCATTTCTCAGATTTTAGATTTCATACTCCACTCTCAATGTCAGACATAGAGAGATGCTTGGAGAGGCAAGAGCGAGAAATTAAAGAAAGAAGGCATAGACGAGTTGAAGAAAAAAGAGTGCAGCAAGAAGAAGATGAACAAGTTGCCATTGCAATGGGTTTACTCGATCTACCAAGCCAAAGCCGCCGCCGTTGTTCACAAGTCGGGCGTGGCCGGACGTGGACAGACATATGCATTCTTTGGGTAAGAATCTTTTGGTAGATTATTTTATCCCAAATTATGTGTATTCTAATGTTGATTTTCGAGGGCGATATGGAATGCAATCCCATTTGTTCAATAAAGTCATGCATGATGTTTGCAATTACGATGCATACTTCGTTTAGAAGTGTGATGCTGCTGGGGTTTTGGGGCTTTTTCAAGAGCAAAAGCTTACAGCTGTTATACGAATGTTAGTGTATGGTTCATCTGCTGATCAGGTGGATGAGATTGCTAGGACTATAAAAAGCTTGGTCAGATTCTGTGATGCAATTGAAACTCTCTACAACAGGGACTACCTTCAAAAACCTACGCATAGGGACCTCTAAAGGCTTTTACAAAAAGCTGAAGCTCAAGGTTTTCCAGGCATGATTGGAAGCCAAAGCTCGAACAATTTTTTACCACCTCCCAACATTGATCATGGTTGAAAGATTTTTTGCCTTGCTCAATGGCACCGAATCACATTTGTGCTTGCATAATCTATTAAAAAAAAAATTGAAAATGCAATAAACATTTAAGAAATATTGGAAATGCAAGAAACATTTAAAAAATATTGGAAATGCAAGAAACATTAACAAAATATTGGAAATGCAAGAAATATTAAAAAAATATTGAAAATGCAAGAAACATTAACAAAATATTGAAAATGCAAGAAATATTAAAAAAAAGAAATTTAGGACTTTCAAATTAATAAAACGGAAATTACAAATAATTTACCTAATTGCTAAGATTTTCCCCCGCTTCTATGGTTGTCCCCCCATTTTGCCAATGCATCTCTCCATTTCTCCAACTCTTTATTCCAAAAATTTCACTTACTAGACAAGGCCATTTCCGTACAAGCCGAACATGATTTTTCACAAAATTCGGTATGAATTTTTCTCCACATATGAGAGAATTTCATCTCATTGCTCGTGATCAGACAATGCCTAATTTGGACCCAACACTCACAACAGAACATCTTCCATGGTGCTCCACGCCCCTCCAATTTTGAAAGTAAATAAAATGTTGAGTAGAGAGTGAATAATAGTAGAAGGAGAAGAAAATGTATGAGGATTTGGTGTTGAAAGTGAAGAATATTGGTAAGTATTTATATAAAAAAATTCCAAATTTTTTTTGTATTTTAAAAATATTTTTTAGAATATTTTTTCATATTTTTATTGCCAAAAAAAGGGCAACCATTGGATTAGAGGAGAAAAACGGATCGGAGCGCCCAGAGGCCACCACATGGCTTCTAGCCGTTGGAGGAAAGGAAAGGCCAATGCCAGCCTGGCGTCAGCGCATGGAATTAATTTTTTTTTTACTGTTGGCATGTGAACTGCACGCACCAACGGTAAAGAAATTTAAACCCGCTCGCTGACGTCAGCTTGCCCTTGGGCTGGAGCATGGGCTTGTTTTGCCTCCAGGCCAGCCCGATTTCGTGGGATCTTTGTGTTGGCTTCTCTTGATTTGGGATTATTCTTGCTTAATGGTTGATATGTACTATTAGTTTGGCTAGAGCCCTCTTTGTATAGGGTTTCTTTATCAGCAATTTTGTGTAATTTCCATGTTCATTAATCAATATCCCCTAAAAAAAAAAAAAAAAAACAAAAAAAAAAAAAAAAAAAAAAAACTAAAAATTAAGTGGGCACCCTGCAATTATAAATTTGATTTTTGGATCAAGTCTAATTATTTGGCCCATTCTAGCATTCATTCATAGCCCTCATAATTAAGGGGGCTAATGTTGAGGCCCAAAATATTTAAGATTGGGCTCAAAAATATTCCTGGCCTAGTGCGATATTTTGAAAAAAAAAAAAAAAAAAAAAAAAAAACTCGAAAATTCATTATATGCACATGCACGCGGGCCACGCCAAGCAAATGAGCAACACACCACGCTATAAGCTTAAGTGGGCCTAAGCCAAGCGAATGGCCGGGGCTTGCTGAGCAGGTTATAGTATGGATGGTTACGAGCATTCACAAGGCCCATTGATGAGCCAAGAAGTGGAAGTTTTGGGCTACTTGGGAGCCTCAAAACTTGAGCCCAAATATGTGGGTAAGCATGAAAGAGAGAAAAGATAGCTCATTACCTTAGAAAACATAGCCCATCACCTTAATAAAAATAGCCTATCACTTTAGGGAGTTGGCTCATTTCCTTAGTAGACTAACCCATCACCTTAGGAAGGCCCAAATGACCAACAAAATATCTGAAAGTCTCCAAGACAACCACGACAAAAGCCAAGGGTTACTCATGTGTGCAGGTTGCTGGGAGTCTCCAGCACATGGCCAAGAAACAAACCCCAAGGCAAACCACTTGAAAAACCAAAGGATATTAGCACGCGCAACACCCTTCAGATCAACGCTGTTACCCATCTTTTTCTCCTACTAGCTCTTGCCATGAATAGAGGAGGAAAGAAAGAGAGATGGTAACCAAAGATTGGAGATTGCCACTGGAACAGCTGCATGAAGGCTCTAGAGCCTCCAAAAATCTTGTCTTTAAGTGCTTGGACTAAGGAAGATTTCACAAAATATGGATGAATTAAAGGAAGAAAAGAGAAAGGGAGGGAGAGACTTGGTAGATTGGGGAGGAACCATCTAGGGTTTATTGGGATGAAGGAGCTTCCAGCACCTATAAAAAGAGGCATTTTCTACCCATCAACATAACCAGATCTAGAGAGCAAGCTTCATCTCTCATTCCTGAAACCTCTACAATTTCGAGCCCCATTCCTTCATCTCCTCTCATTTTCTCTTCTGGTAAATTGTTCCAGAACTTGATAGAGCTTTCGTCAAGCTGTCAAAAACTACTCAACACACCCATTGTTATTCCCCCACATCTCTCTCTTCAACGAACCCTCTTAGAATTCCTTATCCTTTACTTTGAAACCCTTGTTTCTCATAGGAACTCACAGCCCTCTCTCTCTTTAATGCTAAACTCGTGACTACTTTGCTTCCATGCCACAAACTTTTCAGGCCAAGCTAAGAATCTATCTGTAAGCCATTGTTGGTTTCATTGGTGACGGAGACCAAGGTGTTTCTTAAGGTTCAGCTACCCTTTCGAAGTACTCTTGGGGTCTGATCTTTGAACTCAGACTCAGGGGGCAATTTCATACATTTGGCTCTTTACAGCAGCCCAGATCCATCAGTAACTACTGGAACAAAAAAGCCCCCACAAAAGGCACTTCCTAATTAGTTACGAATATCAAGGCTAGGTTGAGGCGTTACATTTGTGAATCCGACACGAACTCAAACTCAATTTGTATCCCAATTTCAAATATACTTACATTATGTATATGAATGCTTTTATAGGAATTTTCATGGGTGTGCTCATCTACCAACAACGCCACTGTCGATCACCATTCATCCCTTATCCTCTCTCTCTCTCTCTCTCTCTCTCTCTCTCTCTCTCTCTCTCTCTCTAACTGATAATGGGAGGCCAAAACCTCGCCGCCAAATCAAAGGTTGACAACTTTGGATCTAGTAGCCAGCAAGGTTTTCGACCTCCCATATTCATCAAAGAAAATGTTTTACTTGAATTTGCACATTAGTTTATTCGTTTACCAACTTGAAATGGACCCATATCAGTAGCTCTGTACTTAACCCGTAACTCTACGTATTAATTTGATCTAGAACTCATAGCACTAACTAGCTACTATGCTACTAGCACGTGACTGCATTCTAATTTCCAATCCAAAATATTATAAATTTGGTGTGTCACCATAAATTTTACACAAATAATTAATACACAAACTACAATGCACGAATACAATTTAATTCTTCCCACGGACCACGGCGCCCTTTCACACACTACTTCCCTCTTTCTCCCCTTCAACCCCTTGAACCCTCCCTCCTCTCTCTACGCATCTCACCTCTCTACACTCTCCACTCTCTCTCTCTCTCTCTCTCTCTCTCTCATGTTCACGGCAGACCCACCGGCATCAGCCACCGGTGTCGGCATCGGCTACGGCATAGCCATTGCCGTCAGCATCCTCTTCCTCATCTCAGCCATCATGCTCGCTTCCTACGCCTGCGTCAAAGTCAAAGGAGCCTCCGCCACCGCCAGACCCCACGAAGACCGCAGCGTCGCTTATAATAACGTCTACGAACACCGCAACCGCAGCGAGGCCGTAAACTCAAATGACCCCGTCGATGTCGTAATGGGCCTCGACGGGCCCACCATCGACTCTTACCCGAAGCTGGTGCTCGGCGAAAGCCGCCGCCTCCCCCAGCGCAACTACACCGTTTGCTCCATCTGCTTGTCCGAGTACAAGCCCAGGGATCAAGTGAGGTGCATCCCGGAATGCCACCATTGCTTTCACGCTGAGTGTGTTGACGAGTGGCTTCGTATGAGCGCCACGTGTCCCATCTGTAGAAATTCTCCGGCTCCCTCGGTGGGTCCAAGTCCTCTGTCCGATTTGGTGCCGCTGGCATTCCATGCCAGGTGATATTGTGATTTTCTTAATTAAAATTTTGGCTATTTTTTTTTTATATATAAACAAAAAAATAAAATATTATGGCTACACTAATTTTTTTTATTTTATCTTTTATTTTGGGGTTTTTTTACAAGTTATTATCTCCTCGAGCGATGGAGCACATGAGTATATTTAAATTCATATTGGAGGTGAGACTTTGAGAGATGACATTGAATAGAAAGTGGTGAGATTGCCGTGGATTGCGGTTGAATTGCATGCGTAGAGATTTGATGTCAGGTGTTTCATGAGTCTTTCTCTTTCTGGTTATATACATATATATACTTTGGTCTGCCTGCATTTTAAAGTCTTATCTGTGCATGACATGTAAGAGCATTAAAAAGTAGGATGTGACTGGAAATGGTATAGCTGTTATTTTTATTAAAAAATAAAATAATATATATAGTGATTTTTTAAGAAGGGAAATTCACACAAACGGTACCGTAGAGAATTGAATCCATCACCATTTAAGAGTACACTAAAATTCTGAGTCAATTCAACTGATCCGATGATGATGCAATTTGAGGTGGAACATGTTGAAAATTGAGATGTTGGTTGGTATAATTTCAAACAATTATGTTGGAGAGATCATAACGACAAGGCCATGATGCCATTACAAGGTTTATTTTATTTATTTTATATTTTATTTATGCCCCACTTGGAATATATATGAAGGCTCATTCCAATTTGGAACTGATTTGGGATGCGATTATTCAACATACAATAATGCTTCACATTGCTAAATCTGTAATATGTAGAAAGATAATGTAATCCAGTAAATATGGTCCAAATAGCAACACGTTTCAAAATATAAGCTCTCAATTTCTTTATATAAATTTCTAGGCTGATACTTGAGCTTTGACTGGATTACGCACCGTCAACATCCCAAT